GGGAGCCCAGACTGGGGTGCAAACCCCCCAACAACGAAAATAACTTTTAGCTTAAGCATGGTTTCTCTTATGCTCTGCACAAGAAAGTTTGTAGTTTTTCTCTGTGTTTTATACTTATTTTATATTGGAGACTCCAAAAAATTATTCAAAGCTTCATGACCCGAAATACTAACTTTTGCTCAAATTCTAGACCCAACCTGAGCAACCCTGTCCTAAGGTAACCTGAGCAACTCTATCCTACAGCAACTCTATTCTACAAGGATACGAGGCCCCCCCCCCCCTGCTCCCTTGGAAACAAATCCCGCATCTCTAGGCTTCAGTCCAAAACTGGATTATTATCAATAGAAATTCTCTCACGGAATAGAGAAAAGAAGAAGCGAAACTCTGCGGTCTCTTTGTTGTGTTTGCGACGCAAGGAGAGCAATTGTCCTTGGCGCACCATTGCGGCAAAAAATAATTTATTTGTGCATGCAGTTTTAAAAAAAATGTGAATGTACATTAAAAAAATTGTGTACACAAACGTAAATTTTTGAACTTCGAAGTTGTTAATTTTTCTAAAGCACATTAACAAATATCTGTGTGTATCAGGTCAAGTTAATTTTTGTGCATGTATGCTCAAATTTTCGCGTGCGGACATTGTCTGTGTGCGAACTTCGCTCCGTATATGTTACAAATTGATTTGTGTGTTGCAAAGAAAGTGGTGTGTGTGCCATGTAAAGTAAAATCACGCATGTTAGAACCTTCTGGCAAAAATTTGCTTTTTTAATACTCCAAAATATAAGAACCTGTTTGGCCAAACAATTTCCAACAAGTTCTTATATGTGGGGTTTCAAAATTTAATTTGCATACTTTTTTAGCAAAATCAAAAAAGTGACCGAATATTGAATTGTTAAAATAGAACTCAAAATGCACAATGTACGTTAAATTTGAACTGTTATTGTGAAACAATTATTGCTACTATTTTATATACAGTACTTTATCATCGATCAGTTTTTTGTGTGCTTTTGGCAACATTGGTACACTAGTAAATATTTAGAATGAAGAACAGACCAGATTTATTTGCGGTACAGAATTTGAAAATGGCTTTGAAAAAAGCAAAACATTTTACAACATGCTAAAAGCTATTTCGTCTGACACTCCTCAGAGCATAAAACGTCAGAATAAGGCTCCGAAAGAACATGATGGAAAATATATACCCAGTTGTGGATCGAAATAGGCCAATCAGAAAAACGCAAGCACAAGACCGGTATAGTTGACCAATCAGTGCCGCGAGCCTAAAGAAAAATTACCACTGGAGTCCAAGAGAGAAAACGAACTCCTTCTGTCTACACAATGGCGGCTTTTTCGTTTGTATGTAGATCGACTCCAAAACTACTAGATGGAAGGACGACCGGGCTCTGCCAATTATCCGAAACATGTCGTCATTATAGAGTTTTGCACAGTCTGGGTTGTCTAAAAGATGTTGACCGATGGCAGAATCACTTGTTTTAACAATGTTTCTAGACCTACAAGATTGAGGAGGTTGTTTTCTTTGAGGGGCAGTTTTGTTTCTTATGTTGGAAGGAACATGCTGTTTTATTCTATCCCCCAATCTTTGGACTGTGCGTCCTACGTAGCTAGAATCACACTGGCACGTAAATTCATAAATGGCGGAGCTTTTTTGTTTTGTAGGAACGCAATCCTTTTGAATGGATGGAAGGGCTCTCTTAGTGCTGTAAACAATGCGAGGATTGACAGAAAAGAAACATTTATTTATGGCTTGCCTAATTTGACTCTCGAATCACAAGGAAGTGTTACCAATCCAAAGTAGTTTCAAATAAACTGGGCACTTTTGCGAACCAAACTTTTGAACAGCCTAAAAACTTGCGATCTTCTCCTTAGTATAAGATAAAATGACGTCTTCTGTCCACAAAGATCGTTTTATATTTTTCCAGTTCAGCGCGCAGTTTAGATTTCGAGCAGATCATAAGTGCCCTATGTACTAAAGTTTTGACAAGGTTGACTTTGCGTTGTTTTGGGCAAAATGAATTCCAGCGTATGTATTGACCGGTAAAAGTAGGCTTGCGATATACACTGGTAAGAAAGCCAGTGTTAGACTTTTCGACCAAAACACCTAAAAATGGTAAGGAACAGAGTTGCCAGATTGAAATCTATAAAAATCCCGCATCAAGACATAAAAAATCCCAGAATGCAATAGATTTTCTCAAAAAATCCCGAGATTTTTTTGTGATGTTCTGATGACGTCATTTACCACAGGGACAAAATTTTGACCTCTGTGCAACGACTTTTCAACTTCTCTATCTTGTGCAACATTGTAATTGTACGGACCAAAGCATTGACAAAGGAGTTAAAATTTTTCTTGACATTTTTATTTCAGTTGCGTGACAAGAAACAAAAGGAGACCATTTTAGACGAAAATAGCTGTCAATCCTAAGTAAACTGATGACACTGAAGATAAAAGATAAAATTTATTAAATAACATAACAATGTAACTGAATAAAGTTCGATATTTTTAGGGTATTTTAGCAGTTTCTATTCGAGAAGTCCATCACCAAGAACAAAGTCATCGTCTGCATTGACTCTATAAATTCTTTCTGTGATGAATTTCCTTTTCATAGCATGGGTGACTTTGAAATTATAGCAATCTTCACCTCTCCATTGAAGACTGCTATCCACACGGACTAATGTGTCTGTAGTGGGGCTTGCCACTAGCAAAGTGTGGATGAAATGTGCCGCTCTTATTCTCGTATGAATGCTTTGTTACTAACAAATCTATTCTGAAAAACTTTTCTAATCCATTCTCTAAAAATCCCGAGAATTTTCCCGAGATTTTTTCACCGAAAAAAATTCCCGAGAAAAATCCCAACAGCTCTGAATATTCCCGAGATCTCGGGATAAAATCCCGAACCTGGCAACCCTGGTCATCCACATAGCGAAAATAAACACCTGGCTTTTGGTCGCAGACAAACAAACGCTCTTCATGAAAGCCAACAAAGATATTGGCCAAAGCAGGTCCCAGAGGGCTACCCATAGCGACACCATCCTTTTGTTGGTACATTTCATTGTTAAAACTGAATTCAACTGAACGTGTTGCAGTTTCCATCAGTTCAATGAATACTTCCTCTGGGGATGGTGGGCTATTAAGCTCGCTCCGGTACAAAGCGTCGGCACATATTTTGATGGTCTCACTCAAAGGAACATTTGTGAAAAGACTACTAATGTCGAAAGAACACATGAAAGATGTTTTGTTTTCGATGTTCAAGTTTTGCATGAACTCAGCGAACGTAAAAGAATCCTTGATGCAATGTTTTGAATATTTTTGAAGAACAGGGTCCAAAACTTCAGTAAACCACTTAGCCAGTTCTTGTTGTGCTGAACCAATCATAGACAAGATAGGTCTAAGTGGGACGTTCGGCTTGTGTATTTTAGAGAGGCCATACATTTGTGGTCGTTCAGAGCCAGTGGGTTTTATCCTATCATAAATTTCTTGTAGCCAACACTTTAAAGATGTCATTGTTAGCCCGTAGAGATTTTAGTGTTTGGAAATGTTCTCTACGCAAAAGAAAACCAGAGTGGAGAGCCCTTCCATCCATTCAAAAGGATTGCGTTCCTACAAACCAAAAAAGTTCCATCATTTATGAATATACGTGCCAGTGTGATTCTGGCTACGTAGAATACACAACCCAAAGATTGGGGGATAGGATAAAACAGCATGTTCCTTCCAACATAAGAAACAAAACTGCCCTTAAAGAGAACAGCCTCCTCGATCTTGTAGGTCTAGAAACACTGTTAAAACAAGTGATTCTGCCATCGGTCAACATCTTTTAGACAACCCAGATTGTGCAAAACTCTATTATGACGACATGTTTCGGATAATTGGCAGAGCCCGGTCGTCCTTCCATCTAGCAGTTTTGGAGTCGATCTACATCCAAACGAAAACGCCGCCATTGTGTAGACAGAAGGAGTTCGTTTTCCCTCTTGGACTCCAGTGGTAATTTTTTTAGGCTCGCAGCACTGATTGGTCAACTATACCGGTCTTGTGCTTGCGTTTTTCTGATTGGCCTATTTCGATCCACAACTGGGTATATATTTTTCATCGTGTTCTTTCGGAGCCTTATTCTGACGTTTTATGCTCTGAGGAGTGTCAGACGAAATAGCTTTTAGACCAGATTTAATACTATTATCTGATAATGAACAACAATATCTACTTTGTAGAAATTAAGAGACTAACTAAGAAACTATTTAGACTAAACTGTCAATAAGTACCTCATAATACAAGAACCTGTCTTGCCAATTCTGAAAAAGTAGGTTCTTACACGCAGGTTTCTACTGTAATTCGCCTAGTTGACCTCGTTTTAGAGGATAAATGACAAACCATACACCAACAATCGGTGTGATCGTTCCTTTCCAGAGTAAATGCATCTTTTGCCATTTTCATGGGATATTTGCCTTGATTTTCCTTTCTTACCGATGACAAACTTCGATAGCCTCGAATACATTCACACATGCGCTTGCGAAAAGCGTTGCCACTTATGAATGGAGTTGTCCTTCTGCCTTTTTCTGTGGTACTGTGCAGCCATAAAATGTCTTTTCACTTGGCAAACATTGGCAAAGCGAATGAAACATTTATGGGCGGGCGGGGGCTGGTGGGATAGTATGGATATTGCACGAATTTTATAGCTTCGTTGAGATAGAACTGCCCGAATAGAGCCTGGAATGCGATTTAGACAGTGGGGGCTGCAGCCCTCCCCTCCCAGCTGTCTCCTACGACTATTTTGGCAAACACCTTTAACAAAGAGTGAGAATTATTTCTGTTGGCGAAATGAGCATTTCATTTTTGTAATAAATGCTTTGAGTAAGCATGAGCTCTGAAGGAGTGTAGGAAGTTTTATTTCTTATATAATGTCCAAAAACTTTGAACATCTGCCTCTTCTCTCGCAGTGAATTTTCCGACACCTGTTACCACGTTAGGTGCATCTGTGTACGCGGCGAAGGCGCATTTCATGTCTTGTGTCACTGTCTTTGCAGCAAGAGAGGGCATCTGACAGTTGCGGTTCATGAACGAGAGAGGATGGTTCCTTGATTGTATTATTTGCGTTTAAAATAGTAACACAAGGTTGGCATGAAGGAGAATATATCTCCTGATGAGTGGAGGTAGATTTGAATTCGATGATGGAGGAATCTATTGTGGTGAGTGGCTCGATGGAAAAGCCCATTCTTATGGAATGTGTACAGGCCCGAAGAATCAGGGACGGTTCGAGGGATTTTGGCGTAATGGATTTGAAGTATCTGGAGTTTATCTTTGGCCCGACAATCATGTTTATAAAGGAGAGTGGAAAGCTGGTAAGATAAATGGCTTAGGGGTGGAAGATTGCCCTACATGGACTTACTTTGGAGAATGGAAGAACGGACTTCGGCATGGAAGTGGCGTGTTGATCAACAAAAAAACAGGATCGCGTTATGAAGGAACATGGACTTTTGGCTTGCAAGATGGGTACGGTGGAGAAATCTACAACGATGGGGGTACGTTTTCATTTTTCTTTATCCTTTTCCAAGGGGATTTTTCTTGTTTCAAATGCATCTTTTTTATTATAAACTTAGCTAAACTCACCTCAGGTGCTACGTGCAGTCGTTCCGTGAAAGTTTTTTAACTAATGCCCTTCTCTCTGTATTTCAGGGCACAAAATAGAATTGCCAGTTTTTAGTTTACTAGTCAAAATTTTTATTTTTATGCTCAAAAGATCAAATACCTGCAAAAAAATTTAGTCCATGGCAGGTAGTGAATAGTGTTTTTTGTTTGCCACTGTGGCGTTTTGTCTTGTCTTACCAAACTGACTGGTTCGTTAAAAAATTATGTCATTCCGACAGAGCTTAATGGAAATCCGTTTAAGTTCGATAATAAAAGCTACTGAATACAAAGATGTAACGTTTTATAACCAAAAGTCCTTCGAAGCTCAGAATTGATTCATTCCGTTTGTGAAATTCAACGTTGCTTTCAAGCGATTTGCCAACGTGGAAAGCAAATTCTCGTCATCTGCTCTCTGTTGATGAATGGGATCGAACTAATCGTTTTCAGACAAGACCTGATTATTTAAAAGTATCATTATGCAGCCATTTCTGGTCGGAATGTTACGGTTTGCCTTGGGATTCCATCAGCCCGATCGGGTCTGGTAAAACAAACAGTAAAAACAAATATTAGAAGTAGTAATTGTTTTGTGTGTCAATATTTTTCTAAAACGGTTTGTTTGTCGCTAGGTTACCCATACCTCGAGATAATAAAATCTAAATAAATTTCAGACCAAATAATGGCTTGAAGGTATCTGTAAGGAAAGAAAAAAATTCCGTCTGTACACATTTCGTGGGGACTTCTATTTTATATAAAGTTACCGGAGATGGCTATCCATAAACTTATTTATTGGCAATTCTAACGAGCCCACCTTCCTTTGGTTTCTGAAATAGCAGCTATTATTTACATGCATGAAAACAGAGGTGGCAATTTAAAAATTAATGCAGCAATTAGCAAAAATTGATAGCTAAAGAAGTAATTATTTACCTGTGCAAGTAGGTAAATCAACATTTATGCTTCATTTGAATTCTCTTTGCACCTATAAAATGTCTGCAATTTAATAGTGACATTGTATCATGAAGATCTTTAAAAATATAAAAAAATGTTTGTTTATCAGTAAAATGTTTCAAAGGATGGCTGAAAAAGCTATAATTTTTGAAATCCTATAGATTCATGAGCTTTGTAGTATTTTCATTTATCACACAAATTTCAGCAGTGAAACGCGAGCAAGAGCAAAGAAAGAATTGCTTTTTCTTAAGAAAACATGTACTTGCAGAAAGTGAAATATATTTCAGAGTTACTAAGCAATTACCTAAAGATATTTTGTTTTGCCAAATGTAAAAATGTGTGGTAATATGTGTTAATCACATGCAATTTGAGTCATTTGCCACCATTCTGATAAAAATAGACTGTGTACAGAATTATTTAAACCCCTCCAGTAAGGGATCATTAAGTGGTTTGAAAATGGATTTGGAATGAATTGGACAAATGTTCCCTAAGGGCACGCTATGGAAAAAATAAGCAGAAAAAATTTGCCTATGCAGTATGTTATTTGCTTTGAGTTTTTGTGGCTACATAATTTCCAGCGTATTTGGTACCAAAGGACATGGCTGATTAGCTATGGGGCTGTCATACCCTCAGTTTTGACATTTGCATTAGTTTTGATAGAGTTGCAAGTTGTTGAGAGGGTTGTTTGGCTGGGAAATTCACCTAATTGTAAATGGAATAGGAGCAAAATTATCTAAATCTTTATCAGTAAATGTTACTTTGGCTATTTAAATGTCCCAAAATGGCTGTTTAAAAATGTCACCATTGTCATACAGGTCCAAATTGAATGTCAGTAAGGTAAACTGTAAACTGGAGCTTAACATTTTTCCATATTTGTCACGTCTCCTAGCTGTTGGCCGGTAAGCCGTTTGTGGAGATTACATAATCCAGTTCTCTTAAAACAGTCGTGTTAAGCAACCTTTGCACTATTACAACAATCAGCTATATTGATTAGGCATGAAAGAATGAGGAAAATTGAGAGGTGCACACATAATATTATGTGTCTTCTTTATTTAATAAGCGTTTAGTCCTACACATCACCTCAGTATATAAATGGCAAAAAGCAGGTTATAACTTAAAGAACAACAGGCTGACATTATTAAGTTGCAATTGACACATCCCTCTTTCCATTGTTTCATTTTTTTAACAACATTCTTATTCATTTGCCTAAAATCTATCCATTGAAGCAAAACTTGGACGTTTTGTGTTTGTGGTATTTTGAATTTGCATAGCTTGACCTTCAAGATTAGAAGGGTGGAGATCGCCAAGAGAAAAATTCACCAGAAAGGACATTTTTGGGGCTATTTTTAACCTACTGATAGGCATTTTTACTGATCAGCTAACGATTGTGTGGACAAACAGAAGATTTCAGACATACTCATGATGAATTGGGGGAGGAGGGGAGGATTTACTTCACACCTCCCTAATCTCTGCTTGCTACACCCCTTATTGAAGTTTGACAAGAAGACAAACTCTGAGAGACAAGTAGACAAACAAATTTCTTAAAGATAAATGGATAATTACCTAGCAACAGAAAGGAACCTTAGTGGTAATTCTTTCTCGAATCATGCCACCTTGCACCTGCATCCAAGAACAAAATCAATGCTTTTCACATTTGATTTGATCTTATCACTGTTATCTCAGCAAAATTTATAGAAAAAAAGCATCATCTAAAATTGTTGTAAGACTGCAAACAACACTGTTTCTTCATTTGTGGGTGCAAGAATACTTCGCTTCTCAAGGGTGGCCAGTTTGTTATATTCAAAGTTAGGTATATTTCTCTGGCCATGGCTTGTTTTTTTGTAGCTTTTTCTACTACTGTCTAATGGCAAGCTTGAAAAGTTCACAATTATCTAGACCTACTTTAGGCTCTGCTTTAGATATTAAGAAATTTTGTAGAGAAAAATTGAGCTTTGTTGTTGCTTTAAAAAGTTAATCACACTGTGCCCTTGTTCCCACAGTGGAGCAGTGTATTTTTTAGGGTTTTCACTAAGTTTAAAAATTCCATTGGTCTGGCATAAATAGAGTGGGTTTAAGAAATGTCCAAGTGAAGTCAACCTTGCACCATAAATGTATTTGGCCTAGGCTCAATATGTATAGGTTTGTTTTTTCATTATCTACAATATATGAATTATACTACTGTCTCCAACTGTTAAAGTAATTTCTCATAAATATTGATGTTTTGGTCAGTAGTCTGGGTTTGCCACACAGTTCAATGACTCAACTTTGCAAAATTTCTAAATCTTTTCAAACATCAACAGAAATGCCATGTTTTTATAAATCATTATAGTGCTGGAAAAACAAAAATTGCAATTTAACTTTTTTGATGAAAAATAGACTGGAATATGAAGTTTCATTTGAGATAGCATAAATCTGACTATAAAATTTTAGCGTAAATGGAAAGATCGTTAAAAGAATTCAAATCCTAAATCTAACTCGTGATTGATGGTGACTTTATTTGATTGTTTTTGGGCTAGAAAAATATCTTGGTTTTTTCTAATCAAACAACGCCAAACTTGTACTATTGTAACTACCCAAATGGCACCATGTTCTGTGAAAGGTAGATTATTGATAAGAAATGTGAAATCATAATGCAATGCACCCTAACATAAGGGAGTTCCAAATATATATGCTAATGGAATATATGGATTTATATGTCAGATTCATTGTAAAGAGCACGTTTTGTGTATGAATACCTGGTTATCTGTGAGTTTCCTGTATTTTGCCAAGAACTGTGAAGGAGTTGTTTAAGCAATAGTTCTTTTGAATATTTTATCAAGTGAACATAGATTTAGGCAATATGGTCACAGCAGCTGTAATCTCTTACTTAAAAAAGATCTATTTTTGTGATTTGTATGAATGTTTCTTTTGTTTATTTTGGGCAAGGTGTTCAAATACAAATACATGAATATCCGATTAGAATCATTATATGTGGAATAGCGATGGGTCAATCGTAGTAGTTTGTCGAATGTTATCTGATAGATAATCGTTCCGTGTGGAGAAGTGCTTCGCCACCAAGGCAAATGTATGTTTTATGTTAATGTGGGTGGTACTCTTTCCTTGCATACGTGCTTAATAGAAATTACAGATATTCAAGTAATATGCAGAGACTGAGCAAATTAATACAGAATTGGTATTGCCGGACGTTGTCTATAGGCTTGAACATAGATCGTCCGAGGATACTTTTAAGTGCTGGTTAGGAACCTACCCCGAACGTATGACGATTTCAACTAGAAATAAAACAGGAAAAAATTTCTTTGAGCTATCGAAAGCTCTATTTTCAAAAGTTGCTTGCGTTAACAATGACAGTTTTGAAAGGAGAATTTCTTCTTTGAATAACGAAGGTTTTGAATTATCAAGCAGTCTAGTTAATGGAAAATTCAAGCACAGTTGGAACAGTCATGCGTGCTTGAATATCCAATCGAAGTATCGCCTTTAAGATCAACTTCAAAGCTAAAATGTTGTTGATCGTAAGAAGAACTGCTTTAATTTATGCAAAGTAAATCATTCTTGATTGTTTATTTTAAATTTCTCTTTCAAACATGAACTTTTAAGATGTATACTAAATAGTATTTTTGTTTATGCTTTGAGCCTCTAAATTTTATGCTTTGAGTCTCTTACCCGCGCTTTTCTTTTAAAATGTCGATGCACACCACATTGTTTCGAGCTGTTGTCTTTCAGTGACCTAAGCAACATCATTGAGATAAAGAGGCCTTATTCTGTTAAGCACTGTAATTCCCCGAGCCGTTGTTAGCCCAGGTCAAATACCAGAGAAAAGAATGAGAAAGAAGAGCCCCCAGAGTTTTGCTTTTTTAAACTTTTTCGCTGTAGTAACTGTCTCCATATTGAAAGATCTTGTACTAGGTACAAGCTAAATGTAACTTGTATTCCTTGTTTTAAGTACCCTTGTCGTTCTTAATTTTTATGCGATTCAAAGAGGGTTTATTTGCGGTATTTATTAGAGACCAGGCGCTTATTAGTGAAAATACACTTTGGTTTATTTTGTAGTTTTCCTGAATCATCTGGCTATGTAGCTGGCTTTTGATAAAACTGAGTGCCATTCGAACGACCTTGCTGTTTTGATGTTTTTTTAATTATTTTTTGTATTTAATGAACCAACGGTTCTTCGTCGCCTACACATCATTTCTTTATCAAATTACTGGGTCCATTTGTATTCAATTGAGATTTTTGGGTGTGTCGAGAAAGATTGCACTTTGCGATTGTATAGTTTTGCCTAAAATATATATTTCCTCGCTACAACAACTCAATTATCGCCGGATTATGTCAACAAGCGTTGAGACCATTAATATTCATTGCAAGAAATACTTGAAAAGAAAGATGATAGTTATCTTTAATATACATTTCTATTTTAGAAAAAACATTGTTCAAATGTTTCGTTTCCTAACAAAACTGTTGATGATTCCACGTGTTTTCGCGCAGTCATTCAATGACATATGATCGCCTTTTTCTATCAAATTCTTCCTATTTTTCGTTGGCAAACCAGTTTCATTGAATTCATAATAGCAGACCTAAACCATATTTGGTTTCAAGCTAAAATGATTCTCGTTTCTTGCTATCCGCTTCTTTATAGTCCTTGGGATTTGTCCTTCTTTCTGAGTATTAAATTCATTTCAAGGGCATCCTAGACTTATACAGACACAGACAAGACACCATCTTTTCGTGGAAAGGCCAGGATCTGTTTCGAAATGTCGGGGAGAAGGCGCTATGTTTTTTACAAAAAGTAAAACTGTAGCTCAAAATAAAGTCCTTCAATTACGTTTTATAAAGTCCTAAAATGAATAAAACTAATACTCGATCGCAAATGAACTTAGTAGTTGTTTTGTGATGCGTGATTCGTGGACATAGAATAACTGTGCCGTTACATTGCTTATAATTCATTACACAGAAACAACCATAAACAATTGGGAAACTCTTATTGGCGTAAGAAATTTGTGGTTGCTCAAGCCCCCTATTTCACCCCTGTTATCTCGCCCTTGTTGTGAAATGTATTTCTACTTTGTTTTTATTGTCCCATGTATAGTTTGATGTTGACAATTGTGCACGCTCTTTATCGTGGCCCGTAAGAAAGAGTGGCAGAGAGATCTGAGAAAAATGTGACGTCTTTATTGAAAAATTGGGCAAGGGTATTGTCATAGGTATTGTAAACATAATAAAACGAACGAAATTAATGATATTTCGTTAGAACCAGGGAATTCACAATAAGCAAGAAGCACATAATTCTTGTAAATAATATTATATTCATTGCTGAACTCAACCTTTTTTACGGTCTTTTGGTGCTGAGAAAGTTATACCGACTTCAAATTTCTGGTTATATTTTTAATTTAAATGTTTTTAAGCTGTGCTCTTTGCATAAATTCTGTGGAAGATAAATGAATTAATGTTAATGTTGAGTTAATATTTATAAAGCAGTAATCATTGATTCTCGTAAGCTTTGTCTTCACAATGTCTGTGAAAACCCTATTGTTTTCTGGTAGGTAGGATAAAACTGTTATCCCTTGTTGTATGAGAGCGCTAGCCTAAGCAACTAAAATGATTTTTCGATGTCTGAAATCCTAAATTGATTGAAATACTGTTATGTTTTGTCCTGCGAGAAACACGCAGCTGTTGGAGCTAACGGTTTTCAAAGGATGCCGTTTTACTAACAGATTATTTTGAGAGCGAAGGAAGAAGCTTTGAAAGTGATGACCCCATGAGCATCTAAACCTGTAAAAGTTGTAATATTTCAATAAAGCTGAAGAGCTTGGACCCAGATGACGTATTCAATTTTTGCTCGATTTTCTAAAATGTTTTGAATTTTTCTGTGATTCTTCCTTGAATAGAGTTACAAATCCATTTGAAAGGGGGTTTTACAAAACGTGAGTTTGCTGAATAGGCTTTCTTCACGACAAGCGACGGCTCCTACGACACGGCTGCAACAGGAACAACAAAACTAGCGACAAGGCTTCTAAAGCCCTGGTCAAACGATCCAACATTTCGCCCAACAATTCCCCCAACATTTCGCCCAACATTTTTTTCGATGTTGGAAGGTGATCCAACGTTGGTGGTCAAACGATCCAACATTTCACCCAACATTTCGCCCAACATTTTCTGGCGCAGATCGAAAAGGGAATGGGTAGTAGGTAACATTGATGTTGCTCAACAACAGTAGGCACACCAGACGCTTACGATGATGGCCGCACATAACGATGCGCCACATTTCGATCCGAGAAAACGAAAGGCAATTGCCGCCATAGCTATAAATGGTATCAATTGTAAACAAAGTCTAGAGTCGAAGCGAGAATCGAAGCGAGAGTCGGAGCGAGAGTCGAAGCGAACGAAATCAACCCGAGAAGTCAACAACAATGCTATGATTGAATTTTGGCGGTCTTTTACCGACTACGCGTGCGCAGAGCCAACAATGTTGGCTGAGGTGGTCAAACGATCCAACATTTCACTTAACACTTTAAACAAAAGAATTGTTGGACGTCGGCAGCCAACATTTTTTACCTCAGTCAAATTTCGTCCAACATCGAAATTTACGATGTTGGGTGACCCAACAAGGTGGTCAAACGATCCAACATGATGTTGGGCGAAATGTTGGGTGAAATGTTGGATCGTTTGACCAGGGCGTAACAGTGCGGCAAAAGTTTTCGACAAGACTGAATTACACAGTAAAGTTACCTACATTTATCTGATGCTCCGCCCATGCAAACAATTACAACATATGATAAAAGGAGATTTAATTTTAGATATGATGTGATATGATGTAATTTTAAAACCTGATGTTCAATCTAAGCGTCATGGGTTTAGTCTCTTTTCAAAGTTGAAAGCGATAGAATTTCATCCACCGGAGGGAGCGCTTTGGACTGTAAATTATGCAATTTTATTAATTTATTCAGATATACCTTAAAGCGATAGTAAATGCCTATAACTCTATCTTGAGGCTACCGGGTTGGTTTGAGAATTTTCGCTGAGAACTTTAATATTGTTAAGATAGAACCAACAATTTTATTGGCAACCCCCCCCCCCCTCCCCGCCTGAAATATAGAAGCCACGAATCGCCTTCCCTCCCCAACATATTTGTTTATACCTTCGTCATTTCAGTAGATAGTCTCATCCAGAACACAGAGGGTCGACCACCCATAACTTGCAAAGATTCAGTGGAGCGATTCTTCCTTCTATTTTTGTGTAGGAAATGTGCTCAACAGTTCCTCGAACCAGTTTTCTTCCATCATGTGCTCTTTTTACCTATTGATTCCACTGATAACCTTTGCTAACTTTCACACATTTCCCTGCCTTTGCTAAAATTCACACACTCCGCGTTAACACCAGTATCTACAATAAAAGATCACAAATGGTCAGTGTGATGATTGCACTAAACGTTTCTCTGCATGGATAAAACTACCCAACCCACTCATGCATTCTTTCTGCCGTTAAAAAACATCGTTTCGTTCATTGCTTACGTAACTGCGTCGACTTTTGCCACAAACAGTGTTTTGTGACGCAATCAATGCCGATGGGAACTCCTTAGGTATGTGTGCGTGTGCGTGTTTGGGGCGGGGGGGGGGGGGGTTGTGGGGGAGGGTGAGTCATCTAAATTTGACTTTCCTCGTGATTCTCGATAATCACCTTCGAATTTTGATGTCTCATCACATCAGTATAAAACGTGATATGGCGGACATAACAGAGCTTGATCGTGGCTTGATTATATTACATTTTGACAATCAAGGCGAGGATGGAAACTGTGTCGTCACTGGTTTCTTTGCAATATCTTTAAAAAAGGCCGTTCAATCACTTAAGAGACCATAGTATCTAGAAATTTCTGAACATCTCCCTAATCCACCCAACATATTTCCGGCTGCTGCTGCCCCCGAAAAAGCGCATTGATTCTTGAAAAATCAAGTCTGTTCTTTTTTGTCAAATTTTATTGAGCTAAAATTTTGTTAGCTCAGGGTACTGAACTTAAGAGACTTTAATCAAGTTTTTTTCGCAAGTGAAGATCTCTGTTAATTAACACGAAAACTAGTTGACTCGATGACTCTTCTAGACGCCACCTCATTTCTTCTTGGGGTCATTTAACTCTTTAACTTGACGCTCAAATTAGCATTAGTTTTGGCTTTACCCCATTTTTGATGAATTATAGGATCGATGATCCTGGCCTACTGTGAGTTATTTTATGTTTTATTTGGGAGTTTAGCTATTTCGCTATACGTATATGAAAATTGAGCATTTTGATAAGTTCTTGAGCAAATCTTTTAGTATATTTTTTTATAAATTTCAGGCTTTAATTAGTATGTAGTTTAGCTATTATTTTTTGCCTCCTATAAAATGTAACTAACTGATTGTAATTCGATGTAGTTAACTTGATCATGAAGTTTGTTTTTTGTTTCTATGCTTCCCATTGTGATTCTTTGTATCTTTATTTCAGCATATTATATGGGCCAGTGGAAACGAGGCTTTCGAGGTGGCTATGGGATAAAAGCGAGCGCCAACGCAGTCAAAATGAATCGTCTCCCACGTCGAATGTCTTTGTTGTTCCCTGGTGGACAACAAGCTAACTCAATGCGAAATATCAACGACGATAACAGAGATTTAAGATCCCAAAACGCAGCTTCATCGCTGCAGACATCACGTGATAATTCATTCGATTATTATGAAACGGATCGCTCGGCATCACCGAATCCTCTCTTCAAACGCGCGTACTTTTCTTTGCGTGGTGAATCGAGAAGCGGTGAATCGCGAAGCGGCAGTTCTCGCAGTGACAGTAATGAAAATAGTGACACAATAGACAATGATCTGTCGCCCCACCGCTTGTTCTCCCATACGCGAAGATCCCCCGTTGGACAAGATTCCGTCCGGACTGATATGACGAGTCATAGCAGTGGCTTTGGCACAATGAGTGAAAGCTCTTCTAGCAACTCACTCAATGTCAGCATCAACAGTGCAACCTCTGGAGAAATTTACAAAGGTGAGTTTGCATGGCATGTCATTTTGAGCTAAAAACAAATATCAGATTGCAAATGTAGTGCTGGTAATTTTAGAAATAGACCCTAGCTATTTCCAATACAAGAGGTCAGATTCTAATACCTCATTTGTTAATAACAAAAATAGTCTTGGTGTTTTTTTTTCAAATTTTGTTCCCATTTTTTTTCTCTCTGTCATTTCACCGCCATATTTTGGTAGTGCATATTAGATCTGAATTTTTGTTACCATTTTCAGAAATTACCATTTTAATTAAAATATCTCTTATTCAAGGGGAGTGGATCGCAGATCGTCGTAATGTTTACGGCACCAGTGACTATATCGATGGCAGTCGATACATTGGTTCTTGGAGAGAGAATGTACGAGATGGCTACGGCGTGATTGTCCAATCGAATTCAGAATTATCAGGCAAATGGCGAAACGATGAGCTACTTACGACGGTTAAGAAAGGCATCAATTTAAGGTCACCGCGAATCAAGGCGAAAGTTCGAATAGCTGTTGACGGTGCTATCGAAGCTGCTAAATTGGCTGTGGAGAAAAGTAAAACTGCTTTGTCCAGAGGCGTATCTGCGAGAAAAATTGCCGAAGCGGCTAAAGACGCAGCCGCAACTGCAGCGAAACATGCTTCAGTTGCCAGGGCACGGGCAGCCCAGTTCAACATAAAGTTATCCGAATCAGGTGAGTAACCTTTAAATTGTCTACCGTGTAATCTTACTTTATTTTAGGAAATACTTTGCAATGAATCGGTATCTTCTTGACCAATAGGGCTTTTGATATGCACATCAGAAAATGCTTTACCATGGCATCAGGGGCGGCTGGGAGCAAAATTCGATTGGTATTCAAGGTAACTAGCAAAAGCCACGCCCAAAATGCCACACCTTTTTGGAAATTGAGAAAGATGTTTTCGATACTAATTCACTAAAGAGTTTATATTTTGTTATCAATTATTTCAAAATATCTAAAAAACTTCACAAAATGTCACAAATGTTCGCTTGAAACAGTCTATTTACTTCTTTGAAAATCTATCATATCTCCGCTGGTTACAAACTTTAAATCTATCTACAATGACATCCTTAAAAGATGAATTTTTGGCAAGATTTCTTAACAATTCATGTTCCACTTGTAAGAAAACAAGATTGTTCTTTCTAGTTTGCATCATATTCGCCCTGCTGCTTGAAATCACCCTCTTCATTCTGCTGAATACACGCTCGCAATGCACACTTGTCAGTGGAATAACAACTGCCAGCTCAAGCAAATGAACAGCTTGTGGAAGGGCATCTTCAAGCTGTGCACCTTTTATCACCGTTAAAAGGTCTTGTATAGACGCAATTCCTTCTGGGACGGTCTCTATTTCGCCAGTTGGCTGCTCTGGTTGAAATTCATCTCTTTCTTCGATTTCTTCAGTTTCAACCAAATTACTTTCCTCTCTGTCTGCAGTTTGCAACTTTTTTAAACTCGTGAGTTTTCTTGAAATGATCTCATCTCTATCCCGGACAACTTTCTTTAGCAGAATAGCTATTTCAGAGTTGTTGTATAAAACATTGAGGTTATACTCGGTTGCCACAGGGTCCGTAACAGCAAATGGGTAGAGCTGTCGCAGCTCGGCTAGTAAAGCTCGTTGTTCACTAGAAGTTGCGAACTTCCTCTCAAAAAACTTTGTGGGGTGAACTAGGTTAATCCACTTAAATTTCTCAAGGTTTGAAAAGCGCCAGGCTAGTTGTGATAAAAACATTGTCACTATTTCTTTCCCGAGTTCCACAAGGGAAATCTTCCAGTTTTCCGGGCCATTTATGGCTGCCTCCATATTCCTCCACCCAACTCTGGCACGAACTGTCGGGATTATTGGGTCTAACTGCATACTATCCTCCCAAATTTGATTGAAATCAAAATCATTTAAGGCCGTATGAAAGTCATTCAACATTGACTTGACGATAACGGGATCTAATGTTGGCCGTTGCATCACTGTAATCATAGGCGTACAGTACTCGAAAATTTTTCGATATAGTTTAAGCATAAATATAAATTCAATCGCTTGTATTTGAATCCCTAAGCCTCTCGACAAACTTTGAGTTTCGGCCTTTCCTGTCATTGGCAATTTCAAATAAAACTGTTCCAATGGTTTCGTAGCAATTGTCAATCACTCGAATTGCCGAGTCGCGTGATAACCAACGAGTGTCCCCAGGCTTAGGCAGGTTATGTCCAAGATGATTTGCTCGTTTAGGACTGCTTCGGAAGAATGTCACAATTTTATCGGTGGTTCCAAAAAATTTCGCTACACGTGGAATTTTGTTTGCTGACCTTGATGCACATAATGACATTCGATGGGCGACGCAATGATTATAGTAAGCCACTGGAAAAAGCTCAAGCATCCGAGCTTGAACTCCATTAAGGTGTCCACTCATTGCAGGGGCTCCATCGTATGACTGTCCAATTAGCTTGTCTTTACTGTTTTCAGGTGTTACCTCAAATTTCGAAAGTGTACTTAGCAGAACTTTTGTTAGACCTTCTGCTGACTGATCTTCTGAGGAATCAATTAGACCCAGCAAATGCTCTTCCACCTTTCCATCATGCAAAAGTCTAATCGACACTGCAGACTGCTCTACGTTGCTGCAATCACTGGTATCGTCCATCATCACTGCTAGATACTTCGAATGGCTAATTCTGTGTCGAATTTCACTGCGAACCTCTTCAGCTATACAGTCTATTAGCTCATTTTGAGGATCGTGAGATGTGTAGGTAACACGTTCTTTATCCAAGAAAGATCGCAGTTCCTGGCTATAATGTGCTAAAAGATCCATGAGCTCTATGAAATTACCTCTGTTTGATGAGGTAGCGGACTCATCATGACCTCGGAAACCAAGGCCTTGGGCTGCAAGGAAAATAACAATGTCAATGTGATAGTGTAGCATTCTCCTGTACCTCTCTGCAGTTTTGTTATGCTTCGCTACAGCTTTTCCTGTTGCTTCATCTAGGGCACAGGCAATGTTTACATTCCCTAGAAGCTGATAGGCAGTGTGGTACATTATATGCTTCTTAGAAGACTGATGGCCAGTGGCAAGGTTCCAAAGATTTGAGCGACCAGAGTTGTAACCACTCTTTTGAACAAATGATTCCTTCATCTATAATAAAAAAGATTATTTAATGTTTTGGTCATGATAACCATCTAACTTTGATTATTGAGTTACTGCTTTTGATAAATTGTATTTCGTATGTTTCGTAATGCACAATTCACTTCATTCAATGAATTACCATTAAAAATTCGAAGCTTCAAGAAATTGTGAATTTAAAAGACTCTCTGTATTCTACTGATCTGACAGTTTTTTGTTCCTTTGCCTTACAAGGGTGATAGATTTCGGTGCAACGAAATTGAGCAGGATGCATTCAGTACATAAAGTGTTTGAGTACGTAATCCAATCGTTTCAATGGATGCGTTACGAACATGTTGTAGGCTGCTGGGCATAAAAAGCCGATATCAATGTTTCCCTACGGCCTGAAGCCTTTGACAGAAAGCAGTATAGACTCGCAAGGTATTCGGGTTCAATTCTGAATAGGATGGCCACTGGCCGCGCGACAAATTATACTGATATCACTATCTTCATTACATAGCCAGATACATTTTACATAGCTAAGTACGCTAATGAATTAAAACAATTACTTACTTTTGAAATGTCCCCCATAACTAGGCATGGCCAGCAGAAAAAAGTTTCTTTTCCATCTTCATTTACAGCCCCGCAAATCCATGAAAACCCCTCATACACAGTTTCACTTGTTCTACCATTATAGTTAATTCTTGGACAAGGTCTTCCTTCTTTCTTCAAACGAAGTCGTTGTTCGTGTGTTAAAGTTCCTCTTTGCACTGACCGCAGTTCAAAAATTTTCGAAACACTCCAACGGTGTTGAGTATCCAAAATGCGATTCATGATATCTGTATAACGAGGAAAGATGACTTGCTCAAGGTATTCAGAGAAAAACTGAATACTTTCCCTTCAGAGACCCTTTTGTAAAGCACCGCTGGTTCTTCGATCACTGACGTCACTTTGGGTCACGAAAACAATGCGAACATATTCAGGATGGCCACTGAATACTGAGCCGCCGCCTCCGGAAACAACAGGGGATTAAAGATAGCCTTGCATGTGGCGCCAGAGCAATATTCTAGAAAAATCATACTACGAAAATGAGTCACGACAGTCTTCCTTTTCCAGGGCTAAACTCTTTACACCTTTTTGATTGTTTTGATGGAGAAATTTAATTCGCCTACAAAGCCCACATTTGGAAAAAAAACTAGTATTCACGAATACCTTGAATACCCCCCAGCGCCGCCCCTGCATGGCATCATGCAGATCATATTGAAAGTAATGAAACAGACGAGCATCGTTTCTTTTATTTGGTTTCTGGAGAAGCCAAACTTTATGCTTCATACCACTTCAGCTAAATCAATCTTTATAAGGAAACGTGCCTATTGTTTCACAGAGAAACTGGACATGTCTTGGTTACAAAAGACTTAAAAGCATTTCTTTCAATATATACGCCCTCATCTGTCGCATGATACTTATTTGAATGTTTTTAGGGGGTGAGTGGTGGGAATGTCTACAAAATTAAGTTCTAGGCCATAGTTCCCGAATGTCTACCAAATAAAGTTCTAGGCCATAGTTCCCGAATGTCTACCAAATAAAGTTCTAGGCCAACTGTTTAGCTAAATTGCAGTTTTCCCGATTAAAACAGAATAAATAAAAGTCATTAAGTATAATTGAAGCAATACTACAACTACAGGTAATGCCAAAAATCTTATCATTGTACAATAACATTAATGAAACAGTATACCAGTGACATAATCTTTACATAATCTTCAATTGCGATGTGAATGTTGTTCTAATTTCACTTTTTTTAAGAGTGCAAGTGTTTCGGTTGCTGGCAGCACTCAATATTTGTCTATTTTCGCTGGCATTCCTGTTTTCTTGCTCTTACTTTTTTACAGCCAGTAACAGTATTCGGCTGTTTTTCTTCCTGGTTGCCGTTTGTAAAGTTGATTTGGGTCTTGTTGCTTTCGGAAGTCTGAAGGCCGTGCATTTGTTTCATCCCATAATGTTGAATAAGGTCCCTTTCACTGTCTCCCTTTGCTTGGGGTTTCTGATTCTTTTCTGTTTTAGATTTTTTTCAAATGTTCGCAGCCGCAGCAAATGTTCAATAGTTTCTTTATTACTGCATCTTTAAAAAGATTGTTTCTAAGACCGCCAATTATGAGTTTTGCATGATGTTTTAATTAGCACGTTTTATTAGCTGCTTTGTCTTTTCAACACAAAATAACATTTACAAAAACAAATTGTTTTTTTCCTCCACTTCTTCATCGGAGGCTTGGGCACGTTCATACGCTGTTCTAACTTTTTTTGGAGAACCAAGTCTCGGTGTACTTTAGAAAAAGAAGAATCTTCCCAAAATTATTTCTTCTGTCAGCAGTAAAAACGACCTTATCATTTATTGATCAGAGTCCGTGTGCTACAGAATGCCTATGTTTAGGTCCCATAAATATTAGAAATCTGTTTATCTTCTGCTTTCTACCATTTTCGGTCACAAGCACCTGTTTTTTTATCTTCTGTCGTAATAAAGGTTATTGTTGGGGAGATGAGATGCAGCAAGTTCTTGAGTATGAAATGAGTACCCCCGTTTTGGGGCCATTGCACATGCGTATTATGCGTATTATATATTCTGAGTCAAAGAGGCATAGAACCCCCCGAGAAAGGAACAAACAGAACTTTGCGATTGAATTTCAAAACTAAGTGAGCGGTCGGAGCTTATCATTCACTTGACATGGGAGTTCGATCATAGCAGAAATATCTTTCATACTGAAAAACCTGCCTGGATTCTCTGTTGTTTTATGTTATTGTTTGTATTAAGGCCCACTTTACTTCCAAAGGTAAGCAAAAATATCAAGAATTTTATGACGCGGCCTAAGTGTTTACAGAGAGTAGACATTCGATTTGAACAATACAACCTGATTTTAACTGACCTCCGACACTAGAGCCAGGCCAAGGCAACTAAAACAACAGACAACGTACCTTCAATTCAATTATTCAAATTTTTAAGGCGGAAATCTTCGAATTTTGATCTTCCCCTTTTGACTACATCTACAAAAAGTTCCGAGGAAAACCCTAAATGAAAAATATACGAAAATACGTCCTTAAATTATATGCGTAAAACTCCTCAGAAATTACTAAAATTACTAAAATTAATTATATGCCTAAAATTAGACACGTTTGCGAGATCTCGTTGTGTACTCTGGCTTTTGGTGTTGAGGATGCCCGGGATTTTGTAGGGATAATTCGTTAGAATACGCATGCGTCCCTGCCCCTCGACGTTGATTGGCTCGAACAAATCATTAAGCCTTTTGTCTCAAACAATAGGAGTGAGATCTCATCTCCCCAACAAGTTAAACAAGTAGAGCCTCTGATGTCCTTAGGATAGTGCTTGCGTCATAAAAAACCTGCGGTTTATCCTTTCTTTCCTTTGACGTATATTCTTAAAAATATTGCTGCAATCTGGAAAAATGCTGGAATAATCGGAATTGAAAGCAAATAAAGGTATTGATAGGCCGCCTGTGTTCGAGAAGCGAATGTTTTTGCACTTTACTCAAAACAAGGCGCCTAAATTTATCTGATGAGTTTTTTAATGCGTTATGCAGGTCGTAAATGCTTCAAAACTGCTGTATTTAACCTATCCTTGGTCTACAAGAAGTTATCAAAGTAAAAACCAGGATCAAAACAAAGATTTTGAACGATCATCCAGCACGATTGCAAGCCTTATTTCTGGGAATGCAGCATCGGATAATGATCAGTTTGCGCAACAGATGTCCATTTCTCGTGCTGATATTTCGTTTCTTTCTCCGCGGCTTCATTTTAGCTGACTTAAAACAGTTAAAGAAATTTTCCTGTGGTTTGGGTGTGTTCGCTTTAAAATGACGGCCTTTAGAAATTACATATCTCGATGCATTGAAATGAAGCTTTTTGCTATAGTGAGCAGCTTAGGCCGTGAAGCTTAGGTTACCATGCTAAAGAACTAGCCAACCCAACACTCCTTATTGCTCCCGCGGTTGCTGTATGTTCTAATAGCCGTCTCACCTTCATTTTTCGCTGTTGAGATTTTCATCCAATAGAAATCCTCTTCACAATTATCGTCGTATTGGATTCTAAGGTACTTTTTCGGCCTTCAGTTGAAGATCTTGTGCGAAGTCGAAATGTTGATGGTTTCTGTTAACGTTGAATTTTGCAGCCACCCAAAACAGTGGGAGTAAAGGTGGATCTTCCGCACGGTCATGTGCACCTTTCTACTACAATAAAAGCTGTCGCATTTCACGCTCATTATCATAAACTTAGTTAGCAAAAGTATTGCACAGAGATGGTGGCGCTGCAGCAAAATATTTTAGATAACCAATATTCAAATAGCTATTGCAAGTTATATAGAAGCTGTAAGATGATTCTTTAGTTAGAAAATAATGGAAAATTCATCATGGTTTAATAATGAAAATAGCAAATGCAAGAAGACTCTTGATTTTTGCCTATTTTTAAACAATATCAAAATTTGCAAAAACACAAAATTGTGCCATGATGATTGAAGTACCTGTCGATACCTGAAGTACTTGAAGTACATGATGATTGCAGTGAAAATGTTTATTTTTGTACCGATTTGCGAGATCTTATTAAAATTAACTCAGGGATACTCACTTTATACTTCGGTGTCTATAACTGCTCATTTTCCTCGCTGCTGTTGGAGAATATGCTAAACCTTTTGGTCGGAAACTTTGGATCAACAAAATGTGTCACAAATCGTCAAGCTCATCTTTTCCAACAAATTGTGATGTTGGTAGGGGAACAAATAATGCTGGAAAGTGCTTAAAACAACATTTCGTTTTCTCATTAAATGAAAATACCCGAATCCCGCGATAAACCAGTACACTCAAGTGCCTGAACAGCTGTGAAAGAGTCGGCATAAAGAATAGCTTAAAATATGCCACTTTCCACCAAGTAAAGGCGTATAATGATCAGTTTGGCGCTCCAACACCTAAATGTGATCTTGCAAATGTTTTACAAAAAAAGTAACTTTCTTCAATATTAAATAAAAAATGTTGCCAACATTTTGAAGTTTAGTTTGATTGGTTTTTAGTTATAAAAAGACGCCTAATGACTTCACAAAAGTGGCTTAAGTTTCGATCGCTATCTTATTTACAGCACGGTCGCTATTACTCATTTGTCAAACTTGTGCAAGACGTTCGCTCACTCACTAAGTGTATTTTCGGCATTAAGCAAGATGACTGTTCTTTATTTCGCAAATACCTTTTGCAAGGCTTTTCTCCGGAAACCTCAAGATGGCTTATCCTTTTTCTATACCTTTCTGGATGTTTCACAAAGAGTCAATTCAAGCTGTCCATTTGTTTGTGTATAGTATTCTGGAACTGATTCATTCATTCTGGTTTTAACCCTGTCGCCTGGCTATATTTGGCGCTTTGTAGTTTGTTTCAAAATGATTCGCCCCTGAAGTTCAGATGAGACCTTACTTTGGAAAAATAATTAAGTTTATCCGACCCTGTTTGAATTGGACCTACTTTTGCTCTCAGACAGAACCCCGAAGTTTCACGTTTTCTCAGAATGCGCCTAGAGACAATACTGTCCCGGCTATTATGAAGCCTCTGCTCGAAATCTTCTGTTTTCTTTCATTTTATCATTTATTGTCATATCATTATTTGTATTTGTTGTGAAACTAAGTTGCCGCTGTGATGTGGTGCTTAAGGTGTAATACACAATAAAACTTACAGCTCAATAACCTACAAAATTATTTTTTAATCAACTGTTGCAAAAGAACTTTATGTACCTTGGTGCAGAGACCTGAAATGCAATTCATTTGCAAATAAGAAACAGCTCTACAATTTCAGTGTTCAAAAGAGAAATAAAAAAATGTTTCCAGACCGAGCGTAACACAAAGCACGACCCCTAGGAAAGCAGTCTTAAGATTATTGATTTTTTATGATATATTATCCTTCAATATTTATTTTATTTTTTAGTATCCGTAGTTTATATTTTACGTTTGTAATATTGATAGGGGTTTGTGGATAAATAATGTGATGGAATTAAGTGAAACAGCAGGTATAAAAAGTACAATTCGGTTTAGATAAGGATGTCACCATTCATTAATAAAAATTATTGCCCTGAATACATTGTTATCATTTACTTTTTGTGTTTGGTAATTTTTTTGGCATAACTTTCAATGTAAATTAGGATTGCGGCGTGAGAGGCAACTTGATAACCGATGGCTCACTATCCAATGCCTGTAGGGTCCAGAGCAGCGCTTGCCACATTTGATAATACCACCACTGGGCAAGGTATTATTAAAAGCTGTTCCTCTAATTAGAAGCACCGTCTATGGATTTATCTCTTTAAATATCCCATTACGGCTAATGACGAACAATCAACCATCACGTTTTCATTGACAATTCTTAGCAGCTGACACTTCTTTAAGTGCTCTTGTATTACGTGTTACTTTTTTGTTTTTGATCATTTTTGTTTTTGTTCATTTTAGATGAAGACGAAGATGTCTGCCTGACTCCGCTGCAAAGAATTTTTGGAGAACCAACTTTCTTGGCCTACGAACTTAGTAAAAATCTACCACCTCGGCCGGAGCCTTCAAATTCGCGCAAAAGCAGCGTTTCCAAGGTCAAATCCTCGCATCCCGCGAAACTGGCTGGACTGTTTGCTGCCATGGATTTAACTTTATCTGCTGGTGCAGTTAGCCCCGTGATATCGCATGCATTGCATAGCAGAGATAACGGCGGCAAAGAAAAGCTGAACAAAAACACCCGCACGCGGTCGGTGTCCCTTGACAGTGCTCAAGATGCCATCGCCAAGCTTGCTAATTCGATCTCTGCTTTCAAACCCGGTGTTGTCGGTGCCTCGATACTATTGCCCGCATTTGCTTCGATACCACATGTACAACCAGATTCTGGCCAAGCAATGCAGTCACAATCGTCTTATCTTTCGTCTAGTTGCGGGGAGGCCGAAATTCGCGCCGGCGATGCCAGGTCAACAGAAACCTTAACAAAAGATTCAGTGATAACGAAGAAGACAGTGAAAATCAATGAGTGTTCACAAGTGGTTAAACGTGATCAAAGTGATGGCTTTTCGTTGCACTCTCGTAGTTTTTCCCAGAGCTCTACGTCTAGCTCGGTTGTAAACATTTCTGGGATAACATCAATGGGAGACCCAATAAGGCTAGGCTATATGCAGATTTCAACACAAATCGATGGCAGTGACCAGATGGTTTACTGTACAAAAGCCCCCAAACCGAGGCTTAATCATAATAGCTCTATATCGGAGTCTAAGTCAGTAAGCGCCTCCACAGGCTTATACAGAACGATTGTTGGCGAGCTGCCTGCAGTTCTAACAGTGCATGACGATTTGGAGAACGAATCATTAAAACAGAGTAGTGACTTAATATCGAAAACCGAAAGTGAGTCAGAAAACTCTGTAAATATTTGCTCTTCTGATGACGTAACTATTACAGGCAGTCCTCCTCATGAGAAAGAAGAGTCTGCCTCGGATATTACTGACTCGCGATACCATGGCACTTTAGCCACAGAATTGATAAGCAGACTTTTGGAGGAGGATTCCAAATGTGACAACGCTAAGGAATTTAAAGAAACTAAACGGCAGTTTACTTGTCAATCACGAGGTAACCCTTCAATGTTAAGGACTTCGTCAAAAATTCGTCGTCAGAAAAGACTGGACGCCGACTTTTGCAATGACAACGAAGATGATGTTGTTGTTGCACAAGCTGGCGACAAGAAAGCTCACGAGACCGTACGAAAAACTAAAAGTGATATCGGGAATGTGCAGATTTTGAAGAATCGAAGAATGCAAATTCCAGTTCGTTTTGCAAAAAGCTTTGATTCAAAACAAGACCAAGATTTACACAGAGAAGACCGGCAATCCGAGTTTGTTTCAACTGCGACACCTGCCTTGGTCCAGTCTCGCTTGACCTCTGGTCTAAACGACGGAGGAAGAATAACTGCTCCTGTTCCCAAAGATAACAACAATTATATAAAAGTAAATTGTCACGATACAGAGAATGTTTTTCTTGATGACTATGAAGTAAAAGGTTATCCTGTAAATGATGGTTCGTGGTACACTGTGCAGGGAATGCTGATTTCAAGTACCGATGACGTCAGCGGTAGCAAAGAAGACTCTTCGCAAGATTTCCCTCCACCTGAAGAAGAGGAGAGTCTTGAAAAGAGCCGCAGTGGCAATGAACAGTCAAGGATGCGAAGGAGGCGCTTGTCACAGATGTCTAAAAAAGAGGTTTGTCATCTCATCGTTTTTCTATTTTTCTAGAATCAGTTTTTAAGTGCGAACATTGCTCATGTTAACGCTCTATTTTTATAAATTAACTTCCTTTAGTCCAGTAGTCTAGAACTTTTCTGAGTGTTAATGAGGGTGGATTCTTGGCCCCAATGTGCCCTTTAGCTATCCACATGTGGTAGGACCAAAACAATGCTCATTCGACACTCTACCGTTAACTAGGTCCATAAGTATTTTGTCTCCTAAACCCGATCAATTTCTTTTTACAGGTCTCGCAGCTTGTCACGTGGGTATGAGAAAAGAATTATGGGATATAACTGGATTCAGTTTCTAAGAATTACTGATGTAGCTGCTTGTCACGTGATGATTCCACCTACCTCAGAAGATTTCCCAACGGACTCTCATCGTTGATTTTACTAGAATTATATTTTTAAGTTTATTTATATGTGACAAACAAACGCAAAGCGAACGACTGACTGAAATAAAGTTGCATAATAATAAAGGCAATTTTTGTATTAACAAAGTGCCTCCCTCAAGTTTTTATGTGGATTTTCGATCTTGAATCACCTGGCACAATTTTAAAATGATCTCTTAATGCAATATGGCAACCTGCTGTAAGTTTTCAGTAGCCTGAGAGCAGCTCAATCCTTTCATCTGTTACGGTAATTCTGTTTCTCGTGCGGAAAACATTTTGTGTCAAAATCAACTTCCCGTTATTCAGCCCAATGTTTTTTCAGCCTTGTGCCTTCCATGATCCGTTGCATTTTCTCGACGAGAGCAGTTCAGTCAGTCTGATGCTACAAAATGTTTTTTATTTTTTCTAAGTTTTGCCTCGAGCTTCTTATTTTCTAGTTTCTTATAAGCAAACATCTACTGCATCCTTTTATCTAAGAAGGAAAATTTATCTTGTCAGCCGGAAACCCATCCAGAAACTTTTGTTTGGTTTCAAGAAAGCGAACAAAAATGGGATTAATGCTAGCCACAGCTTCAACATGCAGCTTTGGTGCAACCCCTTCTACCTGTAATATCGTATCGGAGACCAAGTAGATTTTTTATAAGGCATATTTGAGTAAATCGTTAAGATAGTGTCCCCTACACATTTGAATATTATAGAGCCACAACTATCCACCCTTAGAATCACTCCCGCTCTATTAGACTTACCCTCCCCCACCCCCTTTTGTTAAGATTTGAAGACCACATTATCCTTCTTTTAGGAAAAATCGCTCCACTGAATCTTTGCAAGCCTTTAACCAACAAACAAAAGTTTTCTTAAAATAGAACGTGTATGTCAATTTCGTTAGTACAATCAGGTTAAAATATTTGATCAAACAGATGACAAAGAGCCTTTAAGGTTTAATTTTAATTAGTGTTTTATTTAATGCCATAATTTATCATTTCTCACCTACAAATGCATAAGAACAGAATAATATAAAGCAAAACCAAATCCTGTCAACTATTAAATTTATCTAAAGCAAATACTGTTCAGAACTATTGGCATTTTTGTATTATTTTTTGTTGCTTTGAAACTCGACTCTCGGGTATGCAGTAAGCACTAATATTTTTATATATTTCTGTTGCCTGTGTGCGCAGACTAATGTAAATATTGTTGATAAATGGATTAATGGATATTAACAAAAACTGATAACTATGATATGATTTCTGGAAATTTTTTTGTTTTTTTTACTCTGTATAAAAGGAAGTTATCTACAGTGCAATGTTTTGAGATATCAAAGGGAGACGAGCAAGAGGCTTGTACTAATGAGTGAGGAAACCCCATACCATTCTTGAGGTCAAAGACCATGCGCACCAAGCTTAAACATTATTTTGTATGCTCGTCAGCATAGGTTTCAAACCTTTGATTGGCTGAGCAACCTAAATTTTCCATACCCCATTTGCCAATCAGAATTCAGAAATATGACAACAAACGTGTCGCTCAGCTAGATTTAGGCCTATTTTGGACGTTTTTACCACTACCAACAAAAAATAAACGTGCAAAATGTCCTGAAGATAATCTAATTTTTTTTTAAAAATTGAATCCTTAATAATTTCATGAAAAAACTGCCGTTTTACTCAGTCAAAATTCTTCCGCGATCGTTAGTTACGAAGGCTTGAAACTGTCCCTTTCAAACCCTTATAATAATTAGGAGGGAATATGCATCATTTACGAATAATTACTTTGCTGTGTTAAACATTTCATTTTCTTACATTTTTGATCGGGGATCCTCTTGAATCTTTTCAGAAAGCCAGAAACTTTTTTTACGCAGATAAGGTAATTTCCATAAATGAATGCATTTTCATTTTCCCGCCCTTTCATCATTGACGAATGGCGTCAGCTTTTACAAGGCCGTAGCAGTGAACATCAGTGGATGTGAGCTTCTCGTCGATCTTGAAGCCTTTAAAATACATATATAAAGTACCTGAGCGCAAGAGAAATTGTACAATTGTAGTTATTTTGAGAGAAAGATGGCCTGCATTTTCTCTCGGTGGAATTTAGCGATTTTTTTCGTCAGTAACACAAGGTAAATGAAAAATGAACACCGAACTGACCATATTACATGGTAATAGTTACATAAATTCATGATAATACAATCTAGTTAACATTTAATTAGATTTCCATTGGAGAAGATATATGTTCACTTACGCGACAAAAGTATTAGGACGATGAATAAAAAAATGGCGGCTCCAGAACTAGCATTCTAACATTGATTGAACAAGTCTTGCTGTTTTGGCGGGATTCTAGAACTGGCGTCAGCAAAAATGCAAATCCTAGCAATTCAATTTATTTCTTACCTTTCTATGATAGAAATGCTGAATATTTTGCCCAATTATTTGTGGAAAGTCCCCAGGCAAGTATAGAAACAACTAATGATTCTTTGCAAAGACCATTTATTTTCAAGTAAGAAATTAAACCTTGATATGTTGAATTTGTGACAAAAATTTCGAAAAACAATACCATAATGGTCTTTCAATAACCCCCTCAAAATCAAAGCCTTAATGTGATTGAAAACAACTGGTTTTCATAAAAAATATCCAAGAAATGGAATCTTTTAAGACCAAAAATAAACTCTTTTAAAATTTTCTTGAGATTTGCTCCTGTATCCGAAGATGTTTTGCAGTGGCGGCTCGTGACTTTCACAGTTGGGAGGGCAGACCATCAATATTGCGATAATCGATAGAAAGGTCGAGTTTGCAAATTTTTCACTGTATTCATGGTTCGATGTTGATCGTCATGGAGCGCAGAAGAAAAAGCATATATAGATGTGGTTGTTGTTTGGCGATGATGTCATTTTATGGGCAAAATTTTTCTTGCCCCGAATTCCTCCAAATAAGCCAATCACAGGCCACGTTTCGCAATGCTCGAGGTCGAAAATTAGCTTGTACGCATGTCGGCTAGGGGCAAAAAAAACTTTGCCCGTAAAATGACATCATCGCTCAAGGCCACAGCACTAGCGGGCCAGAAGCGAGGCTAAGGATGAGACGGGTTAGCAAGGAGCTTTTTCTAGAAGAGATACAAACTTATATAATTAACCACAGTAAGACTATCTTCAAAATTAAATATGAATATCATAGATTTCCTTTGAATCTTTTTGAGGGGGCATTGCCCCAGATGCCCATTAGCAAGAGCCGCCACTGATGTTTTGTTGCAAAAGTATTTCAGTGAGTTCCAGTGCAAATGGCGGCTGCCTAGTTCCCTGGAGGTCATCCGGCAAAATACAAAATAAAGCAAATTGTATTTGTCTAAAAAGTTTATATTTCTACAAATTATCAAATTTATGTTTATTTTTACAATAATCTCATTATGTTCCACCGAACTTCTATGTTGTTTTTTGAACAAAGGGTTAACCAAATTTGCTTAGAGGCGATTGTCCTAATACTTTTGTCACGTAAGTGTACTATCTTCAAAGTATTCAATCAGTGGTTGAACCAAGACTTTTTGAAGGTGCGAATATTTGAAGAAGTGAATAACAATAAATTTAGTTAAAACTACAATCTGATATGAATTAATAAGCTAAACCGGGTAACAACCAGTGTAAGGTAATAGAGGGTACAGTATTGTGTTTTGAGCTTTTCTCACCAATTGATTCTATGATGAATATCAATTGAATTCTTATTGGGATTCTTTAGTGCTCAAGAAGTCCTGCTAGCTCCTCCGCCAAGTTTTTGAATCTTTTTCTTGTAATTTCGAATGATAGTATAAAAACACATGAGCTGCTTTGAAGCTGCTTCAGTCATATGTCTTGGGTATAAAATAACTGAAATAAGCGACAATAAAGATAAAGTAGGAAATAGGGAAGACTAATTTTGCGTAACGATCAACCAGATGAAACTTTTGAATTTCCTTCTCCTGTTCGCTTGACACTTCATCTTTGTTTTTATCGTTTGCCAGTTTTCCTAGTTCAGTCTCGTTGTCTTGGCTTTGCTTGTTTTTTGTTTTGCCTTCACCCTGAGAAAATAAACGGATTTTGCTTCATCAGGTTTTATTATAAAAAAGAAAAATTTGAGAGGTTTAAACGCAGTCCATTCAATGCTGTTTCGTTCATGAGGTTTAGTCTTACAACCTAAAAGGAGTAAAGGGAGCATGTAATAGAACGTTTTGAAAACCTTAACTTGTCATTATCTAGAGATGTCATTTTCTTAATTCATCGAGAGGAACTACGAAGAAAAAATTTTTCATTGCAGTGCACAGCCATCTAAAAATTCTTTATTCGCTCATACAGACTCAGGGAAATTGCCCCTTGTCCCTCTTCTCAGCGGGCCTGCACGTAAGTTTATAAAAATATATTGTCTGTAATTACCTCCATGAAAATACTGTAAGGTTTTTTGAACGAAAAGTATTTGCAATTTTTCAATTGTTTCAATTAAACTTCGTAAGAGAATTTAACGAAATCTGGTCACTGCCCTGAAGGAGAAGCTGTAGATTTATCAATATTTGTTTGTTTTGCAATTGCAAAATTACTTGAAAGATATTTGCAATTGCACATGATGCCGGATTCTTGTTGTATCTGACTCACAAACTCAATCCAAAAAAGGACATGGAGGCTTGTTACAAGATATTGGATTCATTCGTTACTTCGGTTCACACGGCAACGCTACTCTGCGTACCATGCAGTCTTATCTCTAAAGTCTCTGCGCAAAACCTCACACTCAAAAGGAGGTTCAAGAGTGACAGCCTATCTTACGTCAGTTACGATCAGGGCATTATCATCAAAACCTAAATGTGTTCACCCAACTCAAAAGGAATTTTGTACGCTCCAATCCCACATCCAAAGCGAAGCGATTTCACTTTACTTAAGTTTTATTTCATTGAGTAGTTAAATGGTACGATGAGTATCGGACTCCAGAGTTGTGGTGTGAACAGAATTCCTTTGTGGCACGAATGTTAACTCGGTAGGTGCTGGGCCCGGTAAGGAGTGAGCAGGGCCACAGTATAGAAGTACCTTTGTCCGGCATCGGATATTGAGAACCAAGAGCAATTCGAAGAGCGCCAACGTGATGAAAATGACGTTGTTGAGCAGATAGACACCAACAGCAGTCGTGTATTCAACATCAGAAATTTGCGATGCTGTGCTTTGCATGATAAACACAGTTGCTAGGAAATTTGTTACGATGAGAGTCACTCTTGCTGGAACAGCGCTTTTAGGAAGATAAAACGTCGCCCATGTAAGCAGAACGAGAAAGCTGCTTGGAATGTAAATTCTGCTCAAACTGGAAACAAACGAACGCTTTAATGTAAAAATGCATTCCAGAACGACGAAGCTTTCTATGAAGAAATTCATGCAGATTAGGTAAGAGAAGTGAAGAGTTACAAAGGTACAAAGTTACAAATCAGGCGTCGCGGAGAAGAAGGGGGGCTTGGGGGGCTATAGCCTCCCACTTTTTGCCAAAAATGCAAAAAAATAACGATGAATCACTAGTCAAGCCACTTATTAGGTTTTAGCCCCCATTTTTTAGGCCCCCACTTTTCTCAACGCTCTGCGATGCCTGTCAAAGATCTTGAAGAGTTGATGAGTAGCAGCTCTTGTCGAAAGATTAAAATTAGGCTCCTCATTTGAGGGCGATGGCTTTCTGGGTTTTGGAAATTTATGAAATTTTTTGGGTTTTGGAAGATTGCAATTTTATGACAATGCAGTTTATTGACAGTATACGCAGTGGATCGACAGTGACGTGACGTGAAACTCTTGGGAAAGATAGCCTGATAAAAAAACCTCGATTTCATTGGAATCCTTAGAGTCAGGGTCCTTAGTTACATCCTGGTTTAGACTTAGTGACGAAACAGAAGTATCCCCTTAAAGGATAATGATTTTTCAAACTTATGCTAATGGACTGATTTTGGATTCTCGGATGACTTGCAAACAACAGTCATGTTGCTTTTAAAGAGCTTTTAGCTCCAAAAAGAAAGCTAAGATGTTCATCTGTGAGATACAGGGCTCAGGCCTAGATACGCTTTTATGAAATAATAGACTGAGCTCAAAACATCTGCCCCTTTACCATCCTTTCCATTCAGTTTACTCCCAGAAGATCAATTTAAAACTGCTCAGATCTCTTGGTAAACGCCACTGATGGGCAAGAGAAAAATGAGTCTGTTTTACCTGGTGGATTCCCCATTACGTATTTGATCTTCCTTGTATCGAATCGCTTGAAGACGTAAGAAGAAACCTGGACGTAACCAGAAACTGTGTCAATGGTGACAGGGTCCTTTTTCCAGTTCATGTCCAAATTGTTCCCGGAGAAAGAGTCTAAAAAATAGAGAGTGAAATTTAATGCTTATATTACACAAAGTATTTGGTTCCAAACTGAGTTCTACTCAAAAAGAGCACTAGTTTTTAAATCAAGCTAGGAATATAACAATAGAAAGTAAATAAATCACGTGATCAGCCAATGAAATTGGCGCGAGGAATCCATCACAACAACGTGGTCAATCATGTTTAGTCATGTGATTAGCCATCTTGGGTGCCAGAGTCACAAAAATGAGGCCCCACTGAATTTAACAAGGCGATAAGGAAATTGGCAACGTAGTTTGGATTTTCAGCAGCCATCTTGACAATTCCCTTATCTAAAAAATTGCGCCAGAATCAAAGCCTCGATTACCTGAAAATGCCATTCAAAAGACCTCTTTGTAAATCCGTGACAAAATCGTCTCGGATAGGTGTTTACTGTTTACACTGTTCCGTTCGAAAGGGAACCGTGTGTTGAGGAAATTTAGTTAATAACCATCGTAATTAAAAGGGTTTCTAAGATAAACTTTAACAGGATTACGCAAGTTCAGCCCCCCGCTTAATTAGACAATTTTATACTATCCGCTGCTTTAAAATCAATTTCAATAAATCTTTTTTATTTCTGCTACCAGTGCACACAGATATTAGCCTCGTAACATGGTCCACCGAGCCAGATTGTCAGAAAAAAATAAGGATGGCGAAGAAGGAGAGACAAGCAGAATTAGAACATAAGGGAAGATTACGAGGCAGTGCGAGGACGCAGTTGACGAGATTGCTAGGAAAGGTAAACCGAAACCGATGGGGCAGCCCAAGATTCCAAATATTTCCAGCAATTTGTTTTGCAGATCAATGATTACATCCACAATTTGAAAGCACCTAATACAGAAATATTGCAATCAATTAGTGCAGTCAAATTTTCTGCTCGCTTCGCTCGCAGGTGATCTGCGTTTTCTCTTTTTACCCCAGGGGCCTCTATAACCTCTCCGATCCCTTTTTGCAAAATTTGAACATAGCACGACTGATAAAATATTAGCCAGTACTAAATAATCGATCAAGCAATATATGAGCAAAGTCAAAACTGCTTGTTAACTGTATATTTAGTTTCCGGATTCTTATATAAAACTGTATATTTAGTTAACTGTATATAAACCGGATTCTTCCGAATAAAAGTTCTTCCGAATTAAATGAATGTACGACTTGTCAAAAGTGTCAAAAGTGTAATCGGTCGACCTCTTGTATCATCAATTGTCTTAGATGAGATATCGATCTTGATTGTTCTTCTTGCTACCTAATTATGGCGTGGCCAGCAAAGATTTCTAAAGGGTCCCGTCAGAAAATCATCCAACGTGACAAACGAAAAGTTTTAGTTTGCTTTTTTCAAGACCATTTTCAAATTTTGTACCACTTAAAGGTTGTTTGAATTCTTGAACTGTGCTCATGTTCCGCTGCATAGTGCCCTTGTTGAGCTGTGCATTGCAGCTTTTTATTAACGAGAGAGATGATTTGGAAAACCATATGCTGAGACTGAGCATGTTCTTACACCCCTCTCATTACTGTGGCAAATCGAGCCTCGGTATTGCTATAAAGTATGTTCTTATAAAGAAAACGAACGTAATTTATTTTAGCCTATAAAAGTGATCATAAAAGCTTCGAAATAAACTGTATCACGCTGTTTAAGGAAAGGCTTTCTAACTCCTTTTTCTGTACTATGAATTCTTGAGCCATGCTGTGTGAAAAATCATTCGATTTTTTATTTGCTAGCAGTATGAAGATCGTCGAAAGTCTGACAAGCAGTTTATCTCAGTTCTGAAGAGCCGCACTTTTGATAAGGCTTTCAATAGATGATTTCCACTGGACTATTTTTAGGATGATCGCCAGAAAATTTTGCATTGAGAAACATTGCATCGTCATGACAAAATCATCTTCTCAACTAAAAGTGGAACCGAGTTCAACTTTTTGCCAGGCTTTTAACTGAGTTCAGCTTTCCGTATGACATCTGACAATCGTCATATTACCAGACAAGAGAATCCAATGATATTTCAGACTGCATAGCTCAAGTATATTCCAGCTAAATGCATTTACTAGTTTGAATTTTTATATTAATGGTTTAAAATGTTAATGTTTGGGAACGGTTTTTGCTTTGTACTAGCCCATAGGATAACCGTCCATTTATGGTTGATTTTTTCATTTCTCTACTTGACAACCTGGAAAACAGACAGGGTAATGGCTGGCGCAGAACAAATTCACAGTAGCAGAAAAAGGGAAGCACCAATAAATTCTTATCAAAAGGCCTGTAAAATTAATGACATCGAAATTCAGAAATTCCTGAGAAACAAAGAATGCTGAAAAGTTTCGCAGCGTTTATAAGCTGGAGTTATAAATTCTGTCATTTTATCCTTAAAAAGAAATGATTCTAGTCTTATTACAAACAGTAGTAGTCTTTTTTGCAATGAAATATTTAATGCAGCTACAAGAAAAGTCTAAGCAGAACGTTTCTTGTGACTTTATGATGCTGAATACCATCTGAATGAATATTCCCAAGTACCATAAAAGAAGCGATCATTTGAAAGTTAGATTCGAGTGGATGCCATCGCTTTAAAATGTTGGCTCAAAATTTAGTAAATATCAGTAGATATTGCTTGGTGTAACGCAAGGCTCAAAGCCAGGCCCATTGGTATTCAAAATTTTCGAAAAAGTTATCAGCAACACAAAAGGCTATATATAGAAAAATCACCAAACAGCGAGGGTACGGGGAAGCGCGCAGTATTGTAATTCAGATTTTGAAAGCTATATACTTTTGTACAGAAGATTTCTCGGAAAAACTCACAGAAACATACATCTGGAGTTAATGTGGTTGTTGTCAACTAAATGTTCCTTAAAAACTTTAGGAGGCAAAATTGGCAAAATCCTATCAGTATTCTTGAGTCTTGATTCCGAATATTTTGCAAGGCCATACATCCTCTCAAAGACAGTCATGTCTATTCTGCTGCGAGATCTAATTCACATCCATCCAAGGAATCCTTTAAGAGGATGTTTACTAACCCTGGTCACAGAAGAGATATCTCTATTCAGTGTTTTAGTTTCCAGAGCGTTTAGTAAGGTTTTCTTTCCTCAACAACGCTCTCTCACACCATTCTTTCTCTGCAATTCCTATCCTACTAGACGCTCTGGAACTCAGAGCAGTGTTTATTTGGTCTTCTGATGATCCAAATAAGTATTCTCCATGAGCTCCGATACAAATTTGAAATTAGGGGGAGGGGCAAGAACAAAATTTAGCACCCATAACAAAAGATTTTGAAAGAAGCTCTATTGTCTTCCTAAAGCTCTTCTTAACAACATTAGCATTACATTAACTTTCACCTGTTCTTTTTCCTTCTTAACGGTTGCACCTGCAGCATAAACTTCACTTGTACCTGCCTTGGAGTAGTTCGAATAAGCAAGCCACATAATATGTGTACATAGTCCTAGCCTTAGGCAGGAAACCTCAGAGGCAGATGGCTTTAGTGACTTAACTCCCAAAATCCTCCTCCAAATAACTCCTAAAATGTACTTGAACCGAAACAATGAACTTTCGGTCAGAGTAATCACGTAAGCTACTTGGTAAAATCACATCATAAATGGTAAAGCAATATTCTTCGCTCCCAGTCACTACTAGAGGAATCATTGTCCAGATTCCCCTACACGCTACTTTTATAAGAAACCACTTTATAGTGAACCTATAAATAGTAGACTGAACTTTAAGGAACTTATACTACTAAAGATAAGATCCCTAAGGAACTTTCCCCAAAATGGATTAAAATTCTTTGTTGGTTTATATACTGTTACAGTTTGTGCCCCCCTCGTGTTTCTCTTTGCCTCAAGCTTGTTAGTGGTCTAATGGTGCTTTGTACTGCGATGCCAAAAAGAAAAGAAAAATGAAAGCCATAAACTCACAGCTGCCAAGAATCAAACGACATTTTTGGGTATCAAATGGGTAAAGTCGGAGGTCCATTGGGCAGGAGCTTGTCGCAGTGGCCCTGTAGAATCAATATATAAAAACCAAATTACTGTCCGATGACAAAAATTGAACAGGCCGTACAACAATGAAGATATGATGACACATAGGAGAAGGCAAAATGAAAAATGCTGTGTTCAAGGATGTTTAATTTGATTTGACAGACAGATTTGGAAGAGGTTTTTTAAAATTTTGTTTCAGTTTTGTCGTTCAACCACCTGTTTTTTCGAATTTCTATCTTCTGACAAATGATTTGCATATCATTATCCCTTTTAAAGTCAAAATTTTATGATGCAAAATTTTAATAATTAGAACAAATCTTGATTTCTCAAAAAGTATTTCTAATGATCAGATATCAAAACTATTTGACCAAAATTCCAAAGGACAAAGTTTGTCACCGAATTAGGCTGCACGTGGTCATAACAGAGATCTCTTTGCAGATTAACAGAGAGAAAAGTTTCTTTCTCAAATTATCAATTATCAGTGAGGAAAGATTGTTTTTCAAATGAGTTTGCTACCCACCTGATACTGACAAAAATATCGCCATTAGGCTTGATAATTGCCCTTTTGTTTTGTGTCATGACATGGTGGGTGACTGTCTTTTTCGAATTCTCGAAGTATGTGTCCGGAACCCAAATGATGTCCGCTGGATCACCATTATAATTGTACGTGAAATTTGCATCAGATTTGAGACGAGGGTCGTTCCACCAGTGACGAAGATACATGTCAATCTCGAATGTCTTTGAAAATTAGATTCATATATTATTATAATATCTTTCCTATTTACTTTCCACAATATTTTCTTCAATCTTCAAATACCTAAAGGTGTTTTGTAGAGAGCGTGTTTAATATCTAAAAGACCCCAAGTTATGAACACTTTCAAGCAATTTCATTCTGAGATCACCTTTTTCGAGTTTCTGGACCCTGTTTAAGTGACTTCAGGAATGAAAAGTATTTTATCAATGGGTAAATGAAAATAACATTACTTCGTTTTTGAATTCAGAACCCGGTTGTTTTTACGTTTATACAGCTTTTATTCTTGTCTATTGCAAATATCAATTTTCTATTTTACAAACTTTAGTTTCAACAGGACCCTGATTTATCACAGTAGCCCCTTTTACTGAAAAGTGTATGCTGTACAAATACGCTTACAATTACGGTAGTTTAATGAAACTTTCACTCGAGATGACGAAAAGGGTAAACAGCATACGTTCCTCAAAAATAAGTTTTAAGAAGTGGCTTGTTATAGAAAAGTTTGCATAAACAATGTGGGAGATTCTTATTTATAAGACAAAGCTTTACTTACAAAATCCTTAGCATTTATTGGTCCGAGAGAGACTATGCCAATCTGCACACTTACATTCACAGCAGAGCCTTGAAAGGAAGGGATGAGGTTTTACTCCGCTGAGAAGATACAAATATGCTACCTTTGTAAACTCTATTGCAAACTCTATGGTTTGTTATTGAGTGTAAACTCCAGCCCTGAGAGGTGGACAAGGAGGCAATCGCCTCTTGCCTCGCAAGCAGAGAGGGGTCTACTGGAACTTAAACTGTCTCCTTTTAAATTCTGATTCTTAATAAGAAAATATCAAGAAAAATAAGTGAATTAAGAAAAGCTTATGTACATTAATCCATATTCAATGAATTTTGGGTTTATTGCTTTAAGTAGGAAGGGGCCCAAGTACTGGGCCTGCCCCTGGTTCCGGCGTGGCTCTGGTACATGTGCCAGAAGAAATCAGCTCAAAATACTGAAATGCTTGAATGACCTAACAACAAAAACGAAGCTAGTCATGATAGGGTTTGCCAATCAAATATGTTGCATTTACTAGAAATGTACAGGGCTGAGAAAGAAAAATCTGTAGTAAACATTCTAACTTCAAAACACAACCACCATGTAAGTGATCCCAACCACCATGTAAGTGATCCCAACCACCACGTAAGTGATCCTAGGTCTTTATGTTATTTGACTTAAAATATGCTTGAATCAATTGTTCTAAGATCACCTTTGAAATATCTTAAACCCTTATTTCTTTAAAAGCCAAAGTCATCTCCACTGAAAAAGTGCTAACCATTTTTGGGTTGGCAAAGGTTTGAGTATACTACGAGTAGAAATTCAGAGATAGTTAAAAGTTTTCCCTAACGAAAGAAACATCAATTCATTTTCTATGAAGAAGCTAATAGCCCCACTCCCAAACAATCTCCTCCTGTACTGGTAATTTCCATTCTACTCAAAGTATAAGGTCATGATCATGCCAAAGTATAGGCGACACAGGTATCAAATAACCTCTATGGCATTACTATGATATTATCTGATATTTATAAACTTTCTTGGTGTGCTTCATTACCCAATTTTTTCGGAAAAATAGAATATGTTCCAGTTCGTCAAAGAAGTAAAAAATGTTTCGAGACAAGTAAATTTTCGAGGTAACAGGCAGTGGATGTCAAATGTATAGATACCCTAGGTGCCACCCTCACTGTCTGTTACCCAGGGCAACGTATAGAATGCTGTCATCAAGAAATTAGCCAGAAGAAGATAAACGGTCGGTACCTGCATAGAACTTTGAGATAAGGCATTCAATTTAATAATTAAAAATATATACGGTTTTGATACCTCCAGCATTAGGCCTCAGTCTCTTGTCGTAGTTTCGAGTTACGTTTTTTAGCCAATCACTCTGTGCTAAGGCTGGCATCAGGAAAAAGACTAAAATGAAAATTTTGCAAGATAAGCAGCTTGTCATAGCGCATGTCGTCTGAAAGTCGTTGCTTAGAGAAGTTGCAATATATACATCAAATTATGCAATACATGCGAGACTTTGCATATAACAATTCAGGGACAATGAAAGCGGGGGGCTGGGGGCATTAGCCCCCCCTCAAAACAATTTCTTCAAAATGTACTTAAAACCATACAAAAAATAACCCTGCTCTTGTTCTTAGCATGTTTTACCCCCCTCAAATGTTTTACCCCCCTCATTCTGCAACATGCTCCCCAGTTCTTGGCAAATTTTCGCTGTGTTGAATATTTTATCTTGTGCTGTTATTTTTCTTTGGATCAATATTTTACAGAACCGCATTAACGAACTAAGCTCAAACAACAAGACATGCAATTCTGAATAAAGCAACAAGAAACGAATTCTTTGTAAACATACCTGTAATCAGATAGGTTGGACAACACTTCATCTTAACTATGATAAAAAAAAACGTCTATGATATAAAAAGAGATGTGGAGACCATTATAAATGTATATTGCAGTATTAAAATTCTTTCTGCCAAATTTATTTTTTATTATGAAATAAAGGGACATGATTACGAAAGCAACTCACGATCTGATAACAACAGCCAGCTCTCCAAAGTGCTACATCTAGTACGAGCTTCTTCTAATGATCGACTTAGTATTTTGACAGGTTCATTTCAGACGCCACAGACAGATGCTTCGATAATCAGAAAACAAGATGGTCTTGTTTATTTGAAAAGCAGCAGAGCTGAAAACGATCTGTTGTCTAAACATCTGCTAAAAGCACAATTGTACTCTGATTATGCACAACTAAAAATGCTGAATCGAAAGTCAGATCAAAGGTATGCCCATAGAGATTGAGAAGGCAACCTTTGCAAACCTTTACATAATATTTCTCTTCTTAGTTCATTGACAATTTTATTTGCAATAAGCTTCTTTCTTCGACAGTAAAAGCCGATGAAAAGGAAAAAGGAAATCCTTTTCAATCAAACTATTTTTAATAAAAGGATAATGAAAGAAAAGGTAAAATCTTGTGCATGTTGAGGCTTATTGCAATTATTTCTTTCTGACATAGTATATTGATTTTTGAGCGATTCATCTTCTTCAAAAGCGGCAGCTGAAAACTCGGATTTGCATTAGTATGTATATTTGAATTTCAAGTCTTCAAATAATTAACGAGCAAGCTTGCCTATTTTTTAGGCAATGCTAAAGTAACAGTGAATTTTTCCAACTATGGAAAGACAGGTCTTCGAAGCAATTCAATATGACTAAGTAAGGCTGCACCGAGAATGGGAAACCTCTGGAGCTCTTAAGTTTTGAAGATTTTTTATCAGGGGGGGGCAACAAAGATCGTAAATCACGTGACCTAAAAAATTGTTGTTTTTTAAGTACTTTATTGAAAATGACTTTAGTACTCAAGAAGAAGAGTCGAAACGTTTAAATAACTGATTATGTCTTTCTGATTATGTCCACCCCATTGTGTCGTACTGATTTTTTCTTTCTGATTATGTTAGCTTTGTTTCACCGATTATGTCGACTCTGGGTATGACGTCGAAATATAAATTAGTAAAATGTCTCTTTTTGTCGCTGTGCTTATTGTCTGAGATATACAGTCTGCATCTGCAGCTCCACACAGTGAATCCAATGAGGTGGACTAATTGAGTAAGTCAGACCCAAACTTACCTTACGCTTTGAATGGTTTTTGAATACCCCGCTAAGTAATATTTTGTAATGAGAAAGAGAGGGCTTCAAACAATGTCACGGAAAACGTGGTTTGGGTCACAGAATTTTTGGGTGTTGAATACAAGGATGAATGAAAAATAGCTAATATTCGTGTTATCAAGGGATCTTCATGATATCAAAGAAAGGGCCTGAAAATATATTCTGACTGATTGGGGGCTGCAGCCCCATCTCTTACGTCTCTGGCCCCTACCCAATAATTCTATCCTCCCTTCGTTGAAAATATCCTCATTGATAAAATATATTTGTAACATTCACATTCTGAATATCATATTCACATCTACAACCTTATTCTTACATGGAAGGATTGAGGAATTTTGTGCACAATTTCATACGGTCAAAGGAGAGACTAACATAAAATATTCATTGTCATAGCATAACTGTATTTTCATTGAATTTTTCATGCATGGCTAACATTGATAACGTGTGAACAAATTCACCATCAAATATTCTAGCAAACAAAATTTTAACTAACTGTTGAAAAGTACCTGTTGATGTTGCGTGTAAATTAAACTGATACTTCATTATTAAATCATTGACAGAATGACAGTAAACCACCGAGAAATACTCATGAAATAAGTTGATAGACAGATTTTAAAGAACCAAATTTTTTATATAAGTGTAGCATATAAGATAACATTACACTGAAATCTATTTTTGAAAAACTTTTGGACAAATCTTTGTTCGAAAATTTTTTTGTACGAAATTTTAGACCAGGCGAGCCAGGGGGACTATTGTCACCCTGCGAGGGAATTTGCAAGACCAACTCTATTAGGTGAAGTTCGATACGCTGATTATGAAAACTGATGTTATAGGGAGAAATTCGGTATCAAAAAGCCTCTATTTAATTTCAAACCTCACTTTCATCAAAATTGGAACGTTTAATAATAGTTTTGTAAATTAATTGTTTCTATCATTTTCGATATGTTGAGTTCAAAAACGATGTCTTAGAGAAAAATAAGGTACCAGGAAGCCTCTCTCTCATGTTGCAAACTTGTTTTATCAAATTTGAACGTGGAACAAAAGGTATTAAATTTTATTGACTCTCATCAATTTCGATACGCTGATTTCGAAATTTGATCTCATACGGCGGAATTCTGAGCGTAATGGTACATTTTTCATGCTTAAACATTGTTTTTGTGAGTTCTAGTAAAAAATTTAAAGTTTAACTTATTCCTTCTGCGTGTCGATTCCACAAATTCATGTCATTAGTTGATGATCCGTATTTCTCAAGATGTTTATCTGCTGGTCAAGAATACTTTTCGCAAGATCTTTCATACTTAACAAATATTCTTTGAGAGTGCCCTTGAGAGAACAGGTTTCTCTAATCAATTCCTTAATTTCTAAAGCAGTTAGGACCAAACTTCTACTCACGTTTCCTGAAACCAATAAGCTCCCTTCTCACCAAAAGTATGGTTTTCCCCTGGAGAAATTTACTGTTGATCTTCTAGCTAATATGCTTGTGTTCCACAGGATTCTTTCATATCTCCTCTTTCATTCATTCTATTCATAAATGACCTACCAACTTCCACCGCTACAAGTATAAATTATTTTGCTGATGAGACTTATCTAAGCTTTCCTTTCTCCTCGATTCTAAACATAATTTTGTTATCATCAACTCTTCAAAGAAATATTTTGGCCTCGCTTCTCACCGACGACATGGCAAAAATAGAGCAGTTGGGCAAAGACAATCTCGTTAGGTTTGTTCAAACTAAAACCATACTTAATTAGAAATCTCGAATTTCTTCCAATTCTAAACATCCCTCCAAAGATATTGGGCTCCTCTCTAGGGCAGGTGGATTCTTCTATGCATTACAACCCTTAATAATTTATAGGTCCTAAATTCGTCCATCGGCAAAGTACTGCTCTCATATTTAGGGTTGCGCTCCAAAGTCTTCCGTTTGCTTCCTTAACAAACCCAATCCAATCCAATTCGATATTGACAACTGCAATCTCACAAAGTCTCTTCCGTCTCTTTCTCATCGATGCTGTGTCGCCATCTTCTTAGTTGATGATAAATTTTACCAGGCAATTTGCTCTTTGAAGATCGAAGATATGATCCTAGGTCTCCCGAGATAGGTACATAATACCAGATACTCTTCCAATGCACACCCTTCTCAATTCCTTTGACAAATTCATGAACTCTGTCCCTCAACTCATTTCCTCCCCACTCTACCGTCTCTCTGCTTCCCAGACTCTTACAACCTGTCTTTCTTAGAAACTGAAATCAACAATCTTGATCTTTACAAAACGTTTTTCCTTGTTAGGGATTTGCTATAGGCCTACCTACCACCATCAACTAAAAAATATGGGGGTTAGAGTTTGCTTGACAGTGGCGGAAAAAGCAGCAAATTGTTGATTTGGCATCCTTAACATTGTCTTCAATTATAAGGTGAGTTGTTGGACTTCATGCATCATCCAGCAACGATTGTGTCCGCATTTATCAAAAAAGCATGGGCTTCGACGCAGGTTGGAAAGTGGAGGGGCCAAGAGAAAATATAACAATCTTCACATAAGTTTTTAAAAAAAGCTCTATTGTTTTGCAAGAAAGTGAGGGGGCCATGCCCCCCCGGCCCCCCCTTCTTCGGAGGCCCTGAAAAGGTAAACAGTTATTCTGGAAAGCAATATCAAAGCGCAGCGAATTTTTGAGCAATTTTGAAATGTTTGGAACAGATAGTCAACCTTCTCCTGATGATATTGAGGTCTTGATGAAAAGTGAACATGTTTTTTACTGTTTTTCTACTGTTACAAAGGCCAATGACGCCTGCTCGAAGAGTTTCTGGAAGATGTTCGAAAGTAAAGGAAAATTTGTTCAAGTTTCGAGATTAGCATATCGAAATTTATGCGAGCCAATTAATTTACAAACTTTGGTTCCACATTCAAATAGTGATAAACTGAGGTTATAACATAGAATAGAGGCTTTCTGGTACCTTATTTTTCTGTAAAATATCGACATTGATACTCAGCACATCGAAATTGACAATTTGATAACAATTTGTTTATGAACAACGCATGCGCAGTGTATATTGACTGAAGCAAGGGCTACAATCTTTTAACATGGGTCTCTGCAAATTTTTTGAAATCATTCGTTCTTTTAAGCCCAAAGGATCAGCAACGTAGCCAGGATGGTTAGAATGGGGGGGGGCAAAGGCAGTGGTGGCGTTAGAGAGGGGAGGGAGCTACAGCCCCCGGTTGGAGAAGTTTAGCCCCCCCCCGTCGGAAGGTAAACTAAGAACTGTTTAGGTTTTGTCGGAGGAAGATTTTTATGCGCTCATAATCAGAAATTTGTAAAATCGTTCAAATTTCTTTGCAGCTTATCCCATTTAATATTCCAGTATTCTAGCACAGAGATAGGCATTCTAGGCCCTTGGTGTCTTCTAAGAAGTCAAAGTTAACTGTTTACGGTCAAAGTAAACTGTTCACTGTCAAAGTGACGTTTAGTAAACTGGTCACGATGCTTGAAATTTACTTTGCGCCTCAGATTACAGACTTGAACAAGGCCTTTTTTAAGAAATTAATTCCAGGCCATTTTATTGGTGAATAAAGTGGATGAGAGCAAATGTAAAATGATAGACAAAGTAACCCAACTTAACTTTTTTGTAATATCTTGCTTCACTTCTCATCGTCTCTTATCATTTTAACTTATCTACTTCTCTAAGAGCATTTAATCAGCAGAGCAGTCCTATTACCATGAATTTGAAATACTTAATTTACCTATTTGGCATCTCAAGCATCAACAGCACGTCCAGGAGTAAGGGAAATACTGTTCTGGAACCAAGAGTTCTGAAGAGTATAACTCATGTACTGATTGAGGGATGATTGCATTAATAGCCATAAGCCAGACAGCCTCCATAATTTCAATCATTTTCATATTTTCAAAATGTTCACAGAGATAACAAAGAGAACAGCAACAATTATAAAAGAGTCTTCTATTATCTTAGCAAAAAATGTTATTTCTGATTCTCAGTGATAACTACAAATGGTATCTTAGAAATACAACACTCTCCCAGTTATTTAAAGACAAATTTAAATTGCAAGATACTATGAAATTAACAAATATAGGCGTTTATTGGGTTCAACACAGTAGAAAGGGACACATTAAAAAGACTTTCAAAAAATCACCTACTGGTACTTTCAAAGTTTAAATCCAAAAAAGTCTAGGGACAGACTCTCCAATATCTTTGATTTCAAATGTTCTTTAAATGTTTCCTAATTCCTACATTTTATATAGAAAAAACTTGATGCGGGCATCATAAAATGTAACTTAGATGAAGTGCAGACAAAAATAAAAATCAACTTATCCTTTTTTAAGAATATTCTGATTTATCCTTTTCTACAGCAGTTCCTTTAATTCTTTTTCTTATCTTAGGAACATATCTCAACTTTTGAATAAATCACTTCTCTAAATCACAACCTTTTTGTCAGTTTTCGTTAGAAGTTTTGGTAAAGATCTATGCAAAGAAAAGTCTGTAGTTTACGATCATCAGCAGAGCAAAAATTTAATCTCGTACACCAGTCCCATAATTAGCACCACCAGCCTTTTTAACCAATGCTAGGACATTTTCACCAGAAAGTTGATCAATGTCACTTTCCAATATTTCAACAGCGAAATTCTGCAAGAAAAATTAAAGCAATCGCTTTGAATTCAGGGATGTTGTTTTCTAATCAAGATATTTGCAAATATTATACTGTAAGTCCTTATTCATAATGAGCTTATTAGGTCATCAAACAAACAGCACTCTGCTTCAGACAGGTGAAAACCATTCTTCATTATATTTATATTTTACCAATATATATATATACTGTATATATAGTATTGTTTGTTTTTCTTTTAACTTTATGAAATATGATAAAATGATATATCTAATATTGGAAAAGGCACATTGCAACCAGAACAATGCCAATTGGAAAACTGAAAAACTTCTGAGCTAAATATGACTAGATGAAAATACAAATTATGTATTGCTTCTAATTCCTTATAACTCAAGTACTTGATAATAGTTTGAGATAGTCTGAAAAACCAGTAGCTCTGAGAGAGCTCTGCATACTGGGGCAAAATATCAGTCAATATTCTATTATGTTTGTAGTTGTTTAGTCTTGGCATAATGAGAATTTTTTTTCACCAATTAGTCTACTTTGCCGTTAATAAACATAATGCAAAATTTGTCAGGCAGCTTTACTACCACTGAGTTTATGTTCACTATTGCAGTAACTAACATAAAAAAGTTAGCCAAGTACATAAAGTTGAAACAAATTAGTTTACAGATCAGAACTGGACATGCTTTGGTGCCTAGAACAGGATGGTTTCAAGTTGCAACTCTCAGTTTCACACTTAATGTGAACATCAGGCAACTGATGATTACCTACTACATTAAGCATAAAATCTGGAGTGGTAACTGTCCCGTTCTACAAACTGAAGCTATGGCCTTGGTTATCAGGTATAACTTACATTGCAAATTTGTTTCACAAATGCCTTATCAGTGCTAACTTTCGCTTTTTTTAATGTTGAGACATTTTTGCCAATCCATGTTATGAAGACAAATTTAGCTCTTTTGCTCATCTCATCTCCAGTTTCCATCCGTACAAATCCATACACACGATTATCATCTGGAGATAAATATTATCAATCAGAGTTAACAATCAAGCCTTGCCAATACCAATCTTAAAGAGGGTTAGAAAATAGATTCAAGATGGATATTCTTGTAAGACCTCTTTACAGGTACTCCATTTAATTGGGTACTCCTTAACCAGTTAATTGGTCACAAAGCAACACTGGAAAATGGGCTTCCAAACAAAAGTCTGGAATAAGTCCTCTGTCCCATATTAGTGTTAAATTCCTGATGCTATGCAATTGATAAAAGTTTGGAAGCAAACCATTCTTTGAGGATGCCTTTAGCAAAATGGTATATTGACCTTGGTCAGGCTTCCTTTAAATGGCTGCAAGGACTATATCAAGAATCACATTCAATGAATGAAACTAATATGATTAAGAAACCATACTAACAAGTCAACAAATAAAAGGCACAATAAGGATAACCATAAATAAAACTGAATAAATTTTATACCATGTCATGTTTATATGGCTTTTAGCCAATAAATTTTTTGCTTAATTTCCAGTAAGAAGTTTCCACTACCTTATGCTATTTAACAACTCAGTCCCCTTGCATGGTTGATTGGGGATAAAAGCTTTTCAATGTTAACCTACAAGAGAATGAACCAGAAGAGAACAAACACAGCACACTTACAAACATGTACACATATTCATATGTGAAGCAAAAATAGCAGAGATCAGGGTCCTTGAGCAGGCCACATGACTAATTCCTAGATAAACACTTTCAGTCAAACAAGTTTTAATCAAAACACTAACGGCAGGTATCTATTTGGTTGACATAAAAAGGGTCATCGACAAGTTAAAATCACCACAAAACAGATAAATTTTCAACTTTATCTAGTTTGTGATAGGCCATTTTGAAATATTTCAAAAATCAAAGCATCTATCTACAAAATAATTTATATAAAAATACCATTCAGCTTTGCTAAAAACTGCGAGTAATCATTTCCACTCTCATCAAAAGCAATGGTCTTTCCATCTTCTGAATATGAGAATGCAGCCCTATCAAAAAAACCAACAAAAAACTAGTTTTTTCTATTAGCAAAGAATTGAAAATATTTACAAAGGCAATCCAGCAAATCTGGAGATATATCTAAGGAGTAGAGAATATATTGTTTGTAAAATGAAATTAGATTTGGCACCTTATTTATTCCATTATAAATTGAAATCGTGGAAAACGTGTTACAAGTTAAAGAAAGTTTCTCAGCAGAATAAACTTCTAATTCTATTGAATTTATATGCAAATTTCAACAGAAAATCGTGTCAGTCAACTATCCTTTCGACAGCTTACACGAAAGGTAAGGGAAGGAGAAAGATAAATGAAATAAGGCTAAGGAAAAGGAGCATTGAAAAATCGTAAGAATCTAAGAAGGAAATACTACCTACGGTCGGACCGGCGAGGAGTGCCAGCCATTAGATTAAAAATATAATTAATAAGCTAACTAATGAATGTGGTAAATTAAACCCATTTGAGCGATTAAGTTTTTTGAAAAACGAGGAAACATCAAGATTTATGTTGGAATTGATTCGTTTTCGTCTTGGACAAGCATCGTTATGTGTGAAGGCACACCCTCTTAAACATGGCCTAGGCCCAGACGATTTAAGCCAGATTACTTCAGCCAGAAAAGCAAATAATCACTTACGAATTTTTCGAAGCCATAATATCTGAAATGGGAGCTCTTTTTGAAGTTTATGTAGGAAATAGGATTATTTCACGTGCATTAGTTGGGAAAAATGCTTTAGTAAACTAGAAAAATTGAAGTCCAATCCAAAGCAAACGAAATACTGTAGCACAGTAAAAAGGTGTTTACCATGTAGTTTCAGATGAATCATTCCTGACGTCCTCGTACGCGGGCATGATGCTGTCTCGGTCTGCAGACATTTTGTGCTTTTCAGTTTGGTTTTCAAGCAACAGGATTGGTACTTGAGGCCTGGCCTGGTTTCTGCGTCCTTCTCTCAGGTCTCTCTGAACGAATGAGGCGTCACTTCTCTCGTCCTATGACGGAAGGAAGAAGGAAGAAGGAAACGGCTTGAACAAAAAGTATCAGGTAACAAAAGCATCGCGATTGCTCCCTTTGTGTCGAGGGTGGAGTTAAAACAATCACTGCGCCAGGGTGTGATCATGGCGCCATGCTTCAGACTCGTTTTCAAAACGGGTTTAACATGTCAGAACAACAACGTGACAACAACCAACTAGAGTTCTTAAGTATGACGTCATAAAAGATAATTTTAACCACATATGAAAAAACACTATAAAATACTATGATACTATGAAACACTATGATAATTTTAACCACAAAGAACACTATGAAATGCTCCCACGTAAACAAAATCGATTAAACATGTCAAATAAACAGAATTCATTACTTGATGAGGCCCACTGGACCGCGAGGCCCTGGAGCAATTCAAAAATGGTATTTAAACAGAGAAAGAATGATAACAATGAGAACAACGAATTTCAAAAAACATTGTTTAATCTTCTCTCAAAACAGACCTTACTAACTGCTCTAGAAAATTTTAAAAACGATATTGTTTAAGTTTCAAAAGATGATGAGACTTTTAAGAAACTTTTGGCATTTCATGTTCAAATTTTTGAAGCCACCGTATGTAGAATGACCATACAAGATGAAGAAGAAAATAAAAGAAAACTACATTCTTGCAATAAGTATGTTTTGCTGATTTCAAGAAAAAACAAAACATTTCTTGTTGTTATGGTCTGCGATGTTTGTCGACCTCTGCGACGCTGCATTTGTGAGTTGTTGTTGTACTACGTACTACACTGACGAGGAACGGAAGATTTGTTGTTCAACTTGCTTTCTAACTTCAAATTATAAACATGGTTTAATGACTCAAGGGAAACCATGAAAATGGAAAATGTTGCGCATAATACTCTCTGGACTATTTGCTGTACAACTTGATGGCTTAACAAAGAAATCTTAATAAGTCTTTAAGTTTATATCATCGAGTTGGCTTTGATAGGAGAAAGGGAAAGATCAATCAAAATGCCAATTTTCCTGTCAGAGCATTTGCCATTGCCATCCTTGAAGTCATACACCATCTTTAGTCTTTCACTGTTTGTTATGGGACTGCTTTCGATCAGAAGCAAAGATCATGACGAAGATGAAGACATTGTAAGCTCACTTGGAAGGAATGGCTTTTGTGCATGGGTATGATGATGACCTCTGTCTATTTTGACCCAAGTCAACGCATCTTTTAGATAAACGTTTCTCGTTCAAAAGTCTGTCATTACGACATTCTTTCATTTGTTTTTTAAAATGATGTGTTTTTTAAATTCTGAACTTTTATACAAGCAAAAACCATGAACAATAACGCGTAATTGAGGGTCGTCATGTGTACAGTTTGGCTTGTGCACATAAAGATTGCACACTACTTCTGTATATTTGCTGTGGTTGGTAGCTGCTTGTGAATTCCTGCTCCACAAATTCCCTCTGTAGTATATTGAGCCTCAACTGTTATCAAATAAAATTGTCTGTTAAGTTGGGAAAGGAAGGTTTACTGGTTAAAGGCAAAAGTCATGATGAAAATAGAGGCGTTACCCAAGGGTATACACCCCCCTCATGAAAGTACCTGGACAGTTAGAAGATTGATTGCACTTTCAGACAAAAACAAATTTAGGCTGACAATAACAACTTTTTAACTTAGTGATAGTAATATTTTTAAAGTAAAGTGACAGATCAAAAACTTTCCTGCAAAGCAGACATATCATGCAGTTCAGGACCATAAGTCACAGTAACTCTTTACCAAGTTGCAAATCTTGCTGGAATCAATCAGTACAAGGGTTCATTCACAACTCTTTATCATTTTCCTTGCAATATTTATCGACAGCTTTTAAAACTTCAGTTGTTTATGAACATTTAATGCAATTTTGCATAATGATGCAAACAAGTTTTGATGCAAATTTGGTTAGGGTGGAACGCTCAGACACTGGTGCCACAAGAGATCTTGCCCTTTTTGACAGTGAAAAATTTTTTAGTCTTCTTGTTTGTTGATTTGTTTGCATATCTCGTAAGCAGCAGTCTTTGTGCATCCAATGATACTAGCAATTTTATGATAGCTTTTTCCTATCATTGTGATAAAACATTATTTCTAGACGCTGCTCAGAAATCAATTATTTTGTTTTGGTCGCTACCATCTTGAGGAAAAACCCTCACAGAGTTTGCTTACATATCGATAAGATTATTTTTTTTCGACAAAAATATAGATGAAAAACCAAAAAAACTTCAAGAAATAATTCAAGGAAATTGATAAAAACGTTTTCATAAAAACTGACTTTGAAATTTGTAAAAAAATTTCTCTAACAACAGATTCGTAACTGACTTTGAAACTGTCCGGATACTTTCATGAGGGGAGTGTATTTTCATGATAATATCTGGGTCCAGGTATTCATGCTGCGATGGTGGGCCTCAGACCAATCACATGAAGCTACCTCTCATACCAAGATGAAATAAGTAACTAAGATGGTCTAACTAAAACCTATTGATTTACTTTCCCTTTTCGCATCCTAATTTTTTGTGGAACAGGCTCTGTTGTCCAAAATAATACCACCTTTGACAAGAGCAAGCCTTGCCCAGGCTAATGAGCCGTTGCTCTTATATTTCTATCATGTTTGTTTTAGTATGGCTTCCATCTTAGTTCCTTTTTTATCTTGCTCATTCTGATTTTGAAATTAGGTTATGGCATCAGTGAGTTATACACCATGGCAGTGCAAGTAACGTAAAACTACTTATCACACCAAAGGCAAATGAAATCCTGAAAACACCTGTTTACCACAACCTATAAATGGAATAAGAAATTTCTTATTCCATTAACTGGGACAAACATGATATATTTTGATGATCCCTTGCTTATAATTTTTTTTAATGTTTTATTTGTAGAAATTTTTTATATTCACATTCATTTTTAATAACTCTTAATGCTCTATCATTATTTTCTAATTTAATCAACATTATTTATCAAATCATTGAAATCATTATTTGTCAAAGATATCACCTTTCTCTTGTGCATCATCCATTTTAAATATTTCTTGCCCAGAAAAGGCCAGCCAGCTTTGAAAATTGGGTATCCAAGTAGGATATTAAAGAACTACAATGCAACACTTCCAGTGCTGCAACATCAATGATGAGTTTCTTAAAAATATTTCTTGTTAGGAAGTGAGTGTATATAGACAAAGAAATATTATAGTTAGCAAATTTATTTAGTACCAGAATGAAAATATAATAGTTTGATTGTTAAAAACACAACGTTTTGAGCATTTACTTGTTACATGTGCAACGCATGCAACATACATATTTAAAGAAATATTATGTACTAATTAATTTTGAATCTTTTTATCCTGACTTAAAGTTAAGGAATGTCAAATTTTCTTTTTTTCAGTCAAGTGTAAATATGGCTTATTGTTGCTTATTTCTTTTTGGCAAAATCATTCAGAGGTTTGTTTTTGGAGACTTGAAGGCTATTGAGGAACAGGTAAAATTTTTTCTCCAAGAAGAATCTGCATATCCTTTTAATTTTCATTGTCTAATCTAGCTAGAAACCTGAACTTACCATAGACTTATAGTTATTATATTTAATATAGTTATTATATTTAGTTAATAATGTTATAGTAACATGTGCTATTGAAATTACATTTACACCAAATTTAAGTTACATGAAGAAACTAGTTTTCAAATCATATATTTTTAAAAGATAGGACTCCTTGGATTACTAACACCCTTGGTACATTAAAACAAAGGGATGCTCTGCTCCTCAATTAGCTTAGCTATTTAGAGAGCTCCTCCTTAAAAATTCCTTCATAAAAATTCTTTAATCTCGTATAGCCAATTTTTTTTTATTTATGGTTATTTTGTATTTATAATTTGTGGCCTGTATGTTCAATATTTTGATTATTTGTATGTAGTGAAATTTATAGTAAAAGGAACTGAACTGAAATGAACTGAACACCTGGCTTTCATAGCTTGTCTTCTAGTGTCAATTCTAACTATTAGCATTCAAAGTATAATTGTGTAAAATTATCATCATCTAGCATGGTTTTGTAATCGTATATCTTGGGATAAGCTGATTTTGTTAATGGTCAAGTTGTGTCAAGTAATGAAAGCCTAAATATGGGGTTGTTGCCATTGTAGGTTACTGAAATGCACTTATTCTCCCGAATAAAGTTGTTGGCACATGAATCATTTCTCAACTTACTGTTACAAATTATTATTTTTCACTTATTTTTCAGCAGAATTCAAAAGTTGTCAAATTAATTGTCATTTCCTTTCTAGCATCTACAAGAAAGCTTTTGGAATTACATTTTCTACAAGTTTATTTTTGTTTTTGGTGTGATAAATGCACAAACAGTTACAGAGGTTATGTGTTGGCTGGCCTGGTTCTCCATGGTTGGTTTCTGGAAAATTTTTGGCCAAATTTGTAAAGATAGATTTGAATTTGTAAGTTTTTATTTTGACAATTTTTAATCAGTGGCCGAGCTGCGGGGAGGAATGGGGGGACTAGTCCCTGCAAACTTTGCGAGAGAACTTGGGGGGTATGTGTATGCTATCTAGAACGTCACATTTAAATGGCATCTCTTGAGAGACAAAAGGTGTTTCCTCTGAAAGAAAATGTTTTAAACAGGGGGAAAGGGCGTTGCCCAAAAGGGCGTGGTCCCTGACACACCTTTTGTCCCCCCACGTATCCCAGGCTGGAGCCGCCATTTTTTTTAATCATTTAAATTTTGTCAATTAACTGTCTTTATCCTGTATCTAAATTATTCTGTCAATATCTCTTTAAGTAAATAAACCAATGATATAAGTACACATCAAATTAGGAATTTGTGTTGTTGATAGATTTTCTGGCTTAGGAAAGAAAATTTGCAGCTAACATTTTCAGGAAGGTCTGCATTTGTCAAGATATTTTGTTTAAATCTTATTCTCTTAAAAAATCTGGAATTATTCACTTTCTGATAAATGGAAAAGCTATAATAATATGCAAGTTAGATTGCATTAGTGTCAACAAGAATCAGTAAATCAATAATGACAGCTGTGTTTTAGAACACATTGTGCAGTGCCTATTATGGTGTTGTCACCTATATATTATGTTGATGAATGCAGAGGCCCTACATACATAAAGTGTAGTTTCTTTTTAGTGTTGGTTAATTATTTGTAGTTTTATGTATATCATTTAAGTTAATGTTATATTTTGTTTATATTTTGTATCATCATTTGCAGATTTTATCATCTCCAAGCGCATTACGCAAGTCACACAAAAAGCTTTTGTGCCTTGTGATTTCTATTCTTTCATCCACGTTTTGCATGTCCATTGCTGCATATTACTCAAATTTTGCCAATAACTGGAGCATCTTTGGATTTATGCTCGCTGAGGTAGGAAGATAAAAATATTTGTTTCTCATTTTGAAGCACATTTTGTGGACAAATCATTTCCTAATACTGAATAATTTAAATTTTTTTGTTTTGATGCTGATATAATGATGCCTTAATGTGTTTTGTTTGTGCATGGTTCTTTGTGTTCTTTGAGGGTGCTATACCTCCTTGATTGTCTCCATAGACTGTGGTTGGCTCTTGTTGCACAAAACCAATGCTTTCAAGCAATCTCCTCAGCCAGACTGCCTCTTGTGTAGCAGAGCATAAAGCTATGTACACTGCCTCAGTTGATGATAAGGCGATAACTGATTGTTTCTTTGTTTTCCATGTAACAGTTCAACCACAAAATTTGAATAAATAGCCTGATGTTGACTTTTTGTTGACAAATCACCACCCAATCAGCATCAGAATAGCCAAGTAAACTTTACTGAAGGATTCAAACTTAAGACCATAGTTCACAGTCCCTTTTATGTTGCGAAATATATGCTTTATTCCTTGCCAATGCTCTTTGCTTGGGTGTAACATAAATTGTGAAAGAACTCCCACTGCTGCTGCTATATCTGGTCGAGTTGCAGTTGCTGCAGATGTTAAACAGCCAATTGCCATTTGGTAACTTTGAACATCAACTGGGGTCTCATTTTCTTGTAGTTTCACAAACCTCTTACCAGGCTCTAATGGAGTTGATACTGGCTTGCAGTTCTCCATATCAAACTTCTTCAAAATACTTTCCAAATATTTTGATTGTTTTATCATGAGTGTCTTAGCTGCTCTGTATTCCCAGTATTCCCAGGCTTCTTTTCTGCATTTATCATGACATTGCTGTTTGACACAATGAGAAGATCGTCTACATATAGAGCAATGATGACAAAGTTGACTTGTACATCAGCTTTCTTCTCAGATTTTATGTAGAGACAGGAATCAGCAGTGCTACATTTGTATCTATTTTCCTTTTGAAATGAGTCAATTGCAGTATACCAGCACCGTGCTGCCTGCTTTAGACCATAGATTCCTTTATTTAACCTGCATACATGATTTGGTTTATCAGCATTAACATAACCCTCAGGCTGCTTCATGTAGATTTCACTGTCCAAATTACCCTGAAGAAATGCTGTTTTTAAATTCATTTGATGTATTTATAAATTGTTCTCGTTTGCCAATGCAAGTAATGAGCATATTGAAGAGTATCGAATGACAGGTGAAAAAACCTCTTGGTAATCAATTCCTTTAGCTTGTGAGTACCCTTGAGCTACTAAGCAAGACTTAAAGCGGTCAACAGAGCCATCTGCAGTCCTCTTAACTTTGATTACCCACTTGCTCTCAACAATGTTCTTTCCTTTTGGGATTGGAACTAAGTCCCATGTTTTGTTTTTGATTAATGATGAGTATTCTGCATCAGTAGCTTCTTTCCATTCACTAGCATGTTCTCCAGTCCATGCATCCTGGATCTTTCTTGGCTCATCAATTTCAACTGCTATAATATCAGCAATGAAACAGTTTTCGTTTTCTTCATTAACTTTCTCAGCCAGCTTAGCAGAAGAATGTGTTCTTGCACCTTGCAAGTTTGCAACTTCTCTCATAAAGTTCTCCTCATATGTTGCTCCCACTGGCAAGATATTGTGGTTGACTTCATGATTCACTTCTTCTATAACATTTCCATCAACGTCTGGACTAATTTCATCATCAAACTCAATACATATATGATCAGATTTTGATAAGACAGTTGTATCAAAGTCATGAAAGTCTCTCTCTGAGAAGATAACGACTGCGAATGAAATGTTTAGCTTGAAGATCATAAAGCTTATACCCCTTTGTTCCATTTGGGTAGCCAACAAATATAGCTTGTTTCGATTTAGCATCAAATTTATGACGATATTTATCAACAATGTGCACATTAGCTATGCAACCAAATACTTTAAGATTTGACACATTTGGCTTTTCACCATACCGGCATTCAAATGGTGTCTGCTTATTAAGTGCAACTGTTAAGCTGCGGTTTTTCAAGAATACAGCTGTGCTACCTGCTTCTGCCCAAAATGAAGTTGGTAGTTTAGCATTATGTAACATAGAACGAGGTGTTTCCACAATTGTCCTATTCATTCGCCCTGCAACACCATTTTGCTCTGGATTCATTGGAGTTGTTGTTGGATGTAGAATTCCTTTTTCTTTCATGTATTCTATAAATTCTTTCGAGCAATATTCACCACCATTATCGGTACGAAGTATCTTGACTTAATTCCCAGTCTCATTGGTTGCCAAGTTTAAAAGTTCTTTGAATTTTTCTAGAACTTCACTTTTGTGCCTAAGGAAATAAACGTGGGCATACCAAGACGCATCATCGATAAATAAATGTTACGAAGTACTTTGACTTTCCAATTGATTCCACGTTAATTGGTCCGCAAACGTCACTATGTATTGTTGACAATACTTCTGCTGCTCGAGTTGATGACGGAAATGCATCGCGATGCTGCTTTCCCATGAGGCAACCTTGACATACTTGCTCACTCACTAATTCAGACATGCTACAATTCATCCCATCAACCATTCAGCTTCATGTTGTCAGCTCCTAAATGGCCTAACCGATAGTGCTATATTGATTGACTTCTGTCATCTTCAGCTGTAGAACCAAAACAAGAATTCTGAACTGGTTCTAAGTTAAGTTTATACAGTTTTCCATATTTTTTGCCAATGGTATATGACTTGTCATCAATTGTTGTTTTGCAATATTGTCCTTTAAACTGAACTTCAGTCCCTTTTTCTGTCATTGTTGGCAGAGACAATAACTTGTTTTGAATCCTTGGAACAAACAAAACATCATGTAGGGTTACGTTAACCTTTTGTGTTCCATCATATGCAAATAAAGCCACTATACCTTTTCCATAGGCAAGTAATGTGCTCATGCAATAATGTTATCAGCAAGCTTTACTTTTACAGGAGTCCTAAAACTCTCGTATTCCACCATTCCTTTTTTGTTTGGCGTCATGTGCTGCGAGGCTCCTGAGTCAATCCTCTATTCTTAACCTTCCATGCTGGTACCTCCTGTTGCTAAAGCAACTTCCGGAGACCTCCTGGAGACTTTTTCAACCTTGTTCGCAAATTTGGCGTTAGGCGGCTTCTTTTGACCATTTTTAAGTTTATAGGCTTCTTCTGATCTTGTCCTCTACTGCTTATTAAAGGCAGTTTGTCCCGTCAATGATTGGCTAATATGAACAATAGGTCGTCCCGCCTTAACGTATAACGGATTACGATGCTTGCTTTGGCTGGCCTAGCTGCGGTAGTGGACGACATTTGAAACTGCGAGCAAAAAGCTATCGGGAATGGCAAGAAGATTTAATTACTGGAAATGAATGATGATAATGGAAGCATTTCCATTTTGCTGTTAGCATATCTGTCGCACAAACCAAACAGGAAACAATTTTTTCTAGCCACAGCTTCACTACAACGGCCATTTGATTCAAAAGCTCTGGAATCAAAGTTGTCTCTGATTGGTTTTAAATCGTTTAATTCTCGATCAAGCTCAACGGTGCGTGAATTTCACTCCTTTGAAAATCAAGTTGAGCACAATAAGGGACAGACTGCCTTTAAAGCTTCCTGGGTAGAGTTACTACTTCCAGCCTGTGCACTTCCATTCTGCATTTTATCAGATTGATGAATAAGCCTATCGCGAACCTAATTCCCGGGGCGGGTCCAGAGCAAATCTGAAGGAGGGGCAGTTTGGTAGTGGGGGCGCTGAAAAATTGTCGAAATTGGTGACGAGAGTACGCTATATACAACAATTTCAGAAACATTTTCGGAATAAACAACATAACTTTCAGGTAATTCTTGAAAAAAATTAACCTATCGGTCTCAGAAACTTTTTCACCTGATTCTCATTCTTCAAAGGGGGCGCACAATTTCGAAAAAAGGGGTGCCAAACTTGCTTCACCTCGTTGAGGGAGGGACAACTGCCCCTAGTTGCCCCCCCCCCTTAAATCCGCCACTGCCTAATTCCACGTTAGTATTTTATCAGCAATCGTTTCCAAAGCTGTTATTTAATGATTGCATTTGTCAGGGAGGCTACTTATCAAAATTATCACCAAATCTTTCTCAGCGATAGAGTCATCAACTGCTTCCAAAGGTTCCGGATAAGTTTTAACGTAATTTATATGGGTAATCACGTTCTCACCTTTGTTCATGCGCGCAGAATACAATTTTCTTCGATAGAATATTTTCTTTGAAAGAGACTTCTCTTCGAAATGACTAGCAAGATTGTCCCATGCTTCCTTCGAAGTTTTAGCAGATCGCACGTAAATTTGAAGACTTTTTGCCACGGATAAACATACGCATGCCAAGGCCTGATTTTCTCTCTTCTTTAATATTCGCTGTTCTTGTGCAGATACGGTCTCGGACAATACCTGTTACTATCTCCCACAGATCCTTACCGATTAAATACATCTTCATTTGGAACTTCCAGTTGTGATAATTCTCACCAGTTAACGTTTCTGTTTTGGAATTGATGTCCCCTGCAACAGCCATTGTGATCGATTCCGACAAGACTTCAAAAAGCTTCCAGTAAACTGTATTAAAATACCGATACAATTCCGACAAAGAAATCGTGATCTGGGCCCATAACCTATTAGAATGCTACGAAGAGCATCTTGAAAGATAAACTACAGTTGAACGAACATAACAAAACATATTGATATAAGGTATCATTATATCAGAAAAGCAATTGAAAAGAACAATATCATGCTTGAATATTGTCCTACAGAACAACAAACGGCTGATATTTTGACTAAAGGACTTGCAAAAGAAAGATTTCAAAAATTGCGTTCAATGATGGGAATAGACTGTTGAATAAACTGATAAACCATAATGAAAGGACTGTTTATTATTTGCTATAATATTTATTTTGTTTGGCTTAATATATCAATATACACTCGTCAAGTGGGAGGGACAAGACATTTACTATTATCATGTTTTGACTCAAAGTATCATTGATTGACACTTTAAATTAAGCCTTGCTTAGTCATGCTGTGAACACGCTTTACTGCCCTTACGCTGAATGTGGCCTAGTACTATATTCTGGTCGTATAAGTTGTTTTGTTATGTTTGTTCAACTGTAGTTTATCTTTCAAGATGCTCTTCGTAGCATTCTAATAGATGCTCTGGATGTAGCTGGTTTTATGGTAATTATTATATTTCAACGGCTGTTTAAAACTTCAACAATTCTGATATAGTTTTGAGCTACTGTCTCGCTCAAAACCCTGTTCCTAACCTCCACTGTGAGTTCACCTTGTTGGCCTTGCAAAGCTTCTACATATATTTGTACTTGAATACTTTCTGCAACATAAATTTATCTACAGCTATTTTTATAGCCCAACAACATTTACATTTTCAAAGTTAAGGATAGCTACTTTTTAAATTTAAAGACTGCCTGACTGGAACCAGTAGGCGTCCGTGTTTAACCTTCTACATCCTACCTTGCACACAGCTTGTACTGAATTTTGCTAAAGCTGTTCTATAACCATATTTGATATTTTTATTCTTCTTTAGTGTATTCTTCTTGGGCTGGAATGTCTACATATTCTTGCAAAGTAAGGACCTTTTTTGTCATTGTTTCTAGCATTCAAAGCAAATGTTTTTTCTTTTGCCATTCAATTGTCAATTATAATTTATCTTTCATTACCTCTTGCAAACCATATATTGGCGATACAGAATTTAATAATTTCCTAGAAAAAGCCAACATTTTAAAACATGCTCTTTTGTCTTAAGCCTTTCAGAGTATAAAACGTCAGAATGATCATCAATAAGCTAGGAATTATTTATATCCACTTGTAGAACAAACAAAAGTTCCATTTTCTCAATATATTTAGCATTAGATGTTGCTTTTGTGTATTAAGGTTCATTGTCAATTAACTTTCAATTAAATTTTCTTTCAGGTACATGATTCAAATGGTTGATTTAGCTCGTGACGAGAATTGGGAAAACAAAACAACCTTGTCATATTATGTTGATCTATTCTTTGAATGCCTCATTCATGGCATTGATTTGCTTCATCATCTTCATATGCTGGTGAGATATATCTCAGAATACTTTTTGCATTTTATTGAGCCTTACAATCGGAATTAGAAATTTGTCTTTTGTAATAATATAGGCCTTTCTCCAACGGTATATTCTACTTGCTCAACGTTGACATCATCATCATCATCATCATCACCATCATCATCATCATCATCATCATCATCATCATCTTCATCATCATCATCATCATCATCATCATGATCATCATGATCATCATGATCATCATCATCATCATGATCATCATCATCATCATCATCATCATCATCATCATCTTCATCATCATCATGATCATCATGATCATCATGATCATCATGATCATCATCATCATCATGATCATCATCATCATGATCATCATGATCATCATCATCATCACCATCATCATCATCATCATCATCATCATCATCATCATCATCATCATCAAATCAATATTGTACACTCCCCCAGCTGAGGAATGTTATCAAAATATTAAAATTAAATATCTACTAAGCTTAACATCACAAAAGTGACATAAAAGAGCTATTACAACAATAAGATTGATAGTCACAGAAGCAGTACGGCTGCGAGTTCTTAAAGCAAAGAAAGGTCTGTTAATGGTACGAACAACATCAATAAGAAAATGTAATAGTATATTCAATCAGATTCTTTTTTACCCAAGGCATCATTTTCAATTTAATAGCTCCCTGTACAGAATAATAAAATCCAACTTCCTTTTAAGCCAAAAATAATTGTTCAACGTTTTTAAAGGTGAAAATATTTGACGATTTGATGCTTTATGACCCTAGACTAGCATCTTTGTGCCCGATGACGTGTAGCCAGTAACAATGAGTGATTTATGTGTGAGATTTGTATTGCTTTTGTTTCTTAGAGGCACCATGTCCCGACGCATTTTGGCAGAAAAATTAAATTTCAATTGGTTGGACTTTACAATATGTTGCTTAAAACTAATTCTCAACTTGCCTTTAACCTTTATAAATCTAGGTATCTTTTTCTCAAAGCAATGGAAGCCTGGTTCATTTATTGACTTTTTGAAAATATTATATCTGGTTGTCTGTTACGAAATTCATCAGTTAGTCTTTTTTCAATTAGTTTGTCAGCTTTTGTCCATTTTTCGACTGTGTCTTTCCAAATTCAACTTGGATAACAGAAGAATGGTGTTGAAAATGTTACAAGACCCGATTTCGAACAACCGTGCTGCTCTAATTTATTTGAAGTCGAAATTGCAAACACAAGCTATCATCTTTGTGCAATTGCTTTTGATGTTAAATTTGCACTATTTTGCCTTGTGATAAGCTTAACCTGATGTCGAAAATTTAATTTCTGCAGCTGTGGTCGAATGTATTCTTAAGCATGGCAAGCCTCGTCCTTTATTGGAACATTCGAACAATATTTTCTGATTTGAAGAAAAAACTAAGAAAACATCAAAGATACAGAAAAATAATTAAAAACGTGCAAGAAAGGTTTGTATTTTTTGTTTCATTAAATATTTAACATTAAAATGTTGTAACACGAGAACCAAAAGACATTTTTTGTAGTGATGCTGGAGCCAGTTTGTCTTGTAATAGATTTGAACGTTTTGATTCCCATTTACCAGCCATTGATCTGATTAATGCGGAGAGGCTTTGTACGTTATATAAAGTAACTCCATGTGTGTGCAAAAGTATGAATTGATAAGGTCAGGAGCTTATAGATAAAGCAGTGTGTTTATTTATGTCCAAACAAGTTTGGCCTTTGTAAAGTTTATTCGTCTCCAGAGCTCACCAGCCTTGCCTTTGTTTTTAAAGTAAAACAAAGAAAGAGAGAAAGGAAACATTTTTAGAGGGTTTTCATATTGACCAATCTTGGTAAATAAGCCTTCTCGAACCAGTGAGGCATTAATAACAGAAGCTTCCACCATTTCAGATACACACAATTATTTACTTTTGGCTAGGCAGAAGCTGCTGCATTTAATCTGGACTTCATTACTAAATAAATAGCTTGTTTTAAATTGCTAGGTTCGCCCTGGTAGATGAAGACGAATTAGCTCAGTTCGAGGATAATTGTGCAATTTGCTGGGATGGCATGAAAAGTGCAAGAAAACTCCCATGCTCCCACATTTTCCACCAGTAAGCAACAATGTTGTTATCTAATTTTTATGTTGAATTAGAGCCAGATATTTAATGCATCAGATCTGAATGGGTTCACAATTGATTATGCTGATCAGAAATAGAGAGCCTCTGACTTCGTTAACTGTCTTGATATCTCCGCCCTTTTTCATTTCTCCACTTAAGATATTATAAGAAAAGAGTTATTTCATGTAATTACTAATAGATATTAGCTTCTTTGTAAAGACTTTTAAAATGTCCAAGTATATGATGATTGCAAAGGATGGTATTTTATTTTCATCGTATTTTGCAAAAGACCTTTATAATTAACAAACAGGGGTTTTACTTTGAACCTCTTTATTTGTGAGAATTTCCATAAACTATTATGGTAAGGGCCTTACCACAACAATTTACAGCTCAAACTCCGCCAAACGTTCCAGAAGCTATTTTACAAAGGCTGAGTCATTTTTGTGGGAAAGGGGGAGTGGCACGGTATTTTTGATGAAATATCTGTCAACAAAATGGGCAAAGTTATTGATATTTAGACCCCGTTTACACTGTGCCGGATAGATTCTATCCGCATCAAAATTAGTTCAGATAGGCGTCGCGTTTACACTAGACCCACGCTATCCGCACGAATTTGAGAGCGGCTATCCGAACAAAATTAGTTCACCTAGGGAAGTGGATTAAATTAGTTCGGATGGCTATGTGGTACAATGTAAACGGTTTTTTCTGGATTAATTTTTTTAACATAGTATCTTGCTCGAAAGCGATTGGCAATTTCTTCCTATTTATTTTTCACTGTTTTCCAATCAAGACCTTTCGCCATCTTGGCTGCCTTGTTGTCGATTAATACTCGTGTTAAAAGTGCAGCATCTTCCTTAGTCCACGTAAAATTGGCATCCTTGTCAGCTTTCCCCACTTTCTTCGCTATTTCAGCGTCATTTTGTTTCAGAGAACGAATTATTAAAACTAACTTTGCCTAATTTGTGTTGACAATATCTTCGGACTTCGTCTGAAGAAAAGCAGACGAATCTGAAGAGGAATTAAGTATTTTTACGTTGGCGGGAATTTAGCTGTTATTTTGTTGCCCAGAGATGACTTCGTTTTGGACGTTCTGTGCCCGATTTTGGTCACGTGACTGCAGTTATCCGGCACAGTATAAACGAGAGGGCAAAGTGGACAGAATTTGTGCGGCACAGTGTAAACGCGAATCAACCCGAACAAGTTTTATGCGGATAAAATTTATCCGTCACAGTGTAAACGGGGTGTCAATTATTGGAAAATTGGAGTACCTGTCAGAATTAAATTTCCTGTATAACTGGTATGGTGGGTGATTGTGCCCCAATGATGCTTAAAAGCACGTGGACATCCCATGATTTTTTCCACTTTCAAAACACCCCACTGTTGTATTGCTGCCTAGTGGCTGCCAACTTTCCAAATTCCGTCCTTGTAGTGTGGTTTAGTAATTCGTACGTAGTGTTTTATGTACCTTGTTGTTGTAAGCTTCTATGCTGAATAGATTAGAAAAACTTCCCAAAGATTACGAGGGTTTTTGAGCTCAAACTTTTTAAAAAAGATGGAAAGAATGTGAATTGTTAAAACTGATTTCAAATGATCCGGGTAGTGAGTTTAACTGATCGCGAATGATTGCTTTTAGGTCTTGCCTATGCTCCTGGCTTCAACAGGATACATCTTGCCCAACTTGCAGAATGTCCCTTGCAGAACTGATGGATCTGCCCGAGCGAAGTACGAACCAACCACTTTTGGATGGTGATATTGATCAAAGACAGTTTGCAGAGATACAGGCCCGTGGAAACCAGCGGTATGTTTTTAGCTAATTGACAATCATGTTAAGGACCGTTTACTGTTTTCCAGGGGAGCTATAGCATCTTAACTCCAATGTAGTAAAGTGTTTAAGAATGACTGTTTTACTAAAACCCACCGCACACACAGCAGATTTTTGTCCTTGAAAGACAAAGATTGTTGTCTTTTGCCATTTAAAGACAAAAATCTGCCGTGTGCGGTTGTCAAACACAGAGATTTTTGTCTTTCAAAGACGGTCTTCAAAATTAAACATGTTTAATTTTCGTAGACAATCTTTTAAAGACAAAAGTCTGCCGTGTGTGGATCCAAAAGCCAAAAGACAAAATTTTTTCAAAGACAGATTGAGTGGCCAAAAAGTTCCACTACCGTCTTCGTTTGCTGTAATTGTCTAGAGAAGTGATACGTAGAGTGGAAGGGGAAATGAAAAGGAGAAGGGCAAAAGACTGGAGGGAATAATAGAGAATCGGTTGGAAAATTAGGGAGAGCCACAGAGAAATGAAAATGTAATGCAAAAAAGATAAAAACAGAAAGCAATAAGCTATCTATCAAAACAGGTAAGGAAATTATCCGAGGAAAAATGAGAGGAGGACCTCGAAAGAAATTGATGGAAGAGAGGAACAGTGTATACGGGGATGAAAGTGATTTTGAAAGAATAGGAAAGGGACGAAAGATAAATGAAAGGAAAATTAATGAATATATGCTCTTCCTTATTTTCTACTTTGTAAAAAAAGATTTTATCATGATATTTCATTACAATAGACGATGTTCAGCTTGTGCAAGCTCCTGGCATTTGTGTTTTGTTAATATAAATAGCGAATGAAAGTAGTTGATGTTTTGTTTTTGTTTTCAGGAATCACTTTTTTCATTTTGATGGTAAGTTTATCTTTCAGTTTTTGCTTTGTGATGCATTTGTTGGTTTTGAGCAAGAAATAACTCGATGATACTGATATATAACGTACTATTACGCTATTTTGAAATTATTTCAATTCCAGTAAAGGAATGTTAATGCAGGAAAGAAGTTTCAAAAATCTACTGCGCAAAGATCTTCATGTGAAGCTTATTTATTAGTCTTATTCACTGTAAAATCTATCTCATTTTTAGCTGCCCTCTCTATTAAAGTTCCCTTCTCTAGTAAGGCCCCCTGTATCAAATCCCCCTTTAAAGCAAACCTCTACACACTTAAACATGAGATATAACTATTTCTTAGACTTTGCTAGTTATTTTTCGTTGTTGGACAGCAAATTGAAACTCAAAAAGACACCTCAACTTTCAATTTTTATAAGCCCCTTCCCTTGCAAAATATACACCCTCTATTTTGAGCCCCCTTCTGGAGTGAAAAAATAATGTAATGTTTTTTTCTAGGAACAAGAATCGCCAACTGGTTCCCAAGCTTCTCAATTGAGGTATTTCATGGAGGCAATCTTGACGAAACGTCAGACCAGGAACTGGAAGAAATGGTATGAAAGCTTAATGATAAATCATGGCCTGGTCAGTCAGCCTTTCGCTTTAAAAACAGGAAACTTTTTGCAACAACAGAAGTTAAGTAGTTGCAAGAAGATATGTCTTGAATGAAATGATAGTCTGATTCTCGATTGCAAATGATTAGATGAAAGGGTCTTCGAATGATTATCTGATATTTTTGTTCAGAGGTCTCGTCCATATCAACACAAGAGAAGCTTCTAGTTTTGATTCATTCACCTCAAGTTTGTCTTCCTAACTCAGCGATAATGAACAAGAACATACAAATCTACGCTTGTATATATATAAAACAACAGTCCAAAGTCCAGCTAACTTTAGAACAGACGCTTTTGTCTTAAAAAACGATGAAAACTACTATTTTACTAAACAGATTTTTCATGAGGGTTTCTTGTTTACAAAGGTTTAGGACTTGTCTCTCGAGGCAGTTTCTTGCTCGTACTTCTCTAAAGCGTGTCTCTTGAGGAAGTTTTGACCTTTGGACTCAGAGGGCAAACTCCCTCTTCAATGTTCATAGCATGATAAGTCATTGTCTTGAAATATTTAATTAATCATAAAGAGTTGAAGAAAAAATAAATTATGAATTGATCTTCTGTCAGGTCATTGTATTATCTTGGCTCAAATGATATTCTGACCAGTCTGTCATATTTTAAATGATTGTTTGATACGTCAGTAGCTTCAATTTTCAATTTTTATGCAACGGTAAGTCTGAAATTTGCAGAACGGCATCTCATTGATTGAATCGCATCTCCTTGTCATTCATTAATTGTCCTTATAACGACTAAACAAAGTAAGCACTTGTCCTCTGCTGACTTTCCTATTCAACTGTATCATAAAAATTTTCAGGCCCTGCAGGTTCACACTATGTTTCCAAGTATACCATACAATGCTATTCTCGATGACGTCAGACGGACCCATTCCTCTGAAGCAACAGCGGAGAACATTTTGGAAGGAAACATTCTTTTCAACAGTGACGTGAGTGACGGATCAAGTTTACATCTTTGCAGCTGTAATTTACTGTACGAACTCTTGAAGGATTAATGCTGATCAACGATATATTTTTCTGTAGCGTGTGAAATGTATGAATTTTGTATATTAGTGATAATTAATCTCGTCCTATACATTTTCAGGAAAAAACTTCGTTAAAAATATTTTGTACACCTTTCGGAATTTCCTAATGAAAAGACACCCGTCGTAACACACAAAAATACGAGCTTACTATCAATATTGTAAGGGCCTGTTAGTATGAGCAAAATTATCCCACCTTTCAGTCTATGGGCTGGGAGGTGAGTTCCAGGCTTCCTATACAAAGCTTTGTAATTTCTATCATGTATTTAAATGAGAAACGATTTATCCGAAGCTGGATGATTTCATCCCACCTGCCATTTTATGGCTAAAGGCGGGATGATTGTGTTAATATAAACAGGCCTTAAGGGGCAGAATCATGCAGTTTTCCAAATATTCAGTCAAACCGGCGCTTGGGTAATTGGGGTCGTGAATTTCCGTGACTTCCGTCTGGGAACGGTTTAAGCCCTAAAATTTAGTGATAATTATGCATATCGCATATTTTATGGAGCTAGATTGACTTTTTAATTACTTTTTCAGCGCTCTGAACTGGCAGATGAAATCTCCAACAACGAACAAACAACAGAAACCCCGTCAGAAGAAAGGCCTTCAGGTAATTCGCTTTCCATTCTGGTTTGTTACAGATCTGCTTGTCTTCCTGATGACGATATGTTGACCTTTATCTTTAGGATAATTTTTGAATTCCTTTGTTGCGGAGGTTCACGTCGTTGAATTCTTTTTTTAATTCATCGTTGCTCACTTTCCGCAAATTGGATATTACGCATTTATCATTAATAATTATAAACCAACCAGATTTCTGCCTAGACGACAACAAAAGCGAACTTTCAAGAAGAATCTCTGAAACAAGCAGCGCATCAGCACTAGAAACTGCCAGTGACACTAGTGATAGTTGCACTGAGTTTTATGAAGATGCAGACAGAAGGCAACAGGCTTTTAGCAACAGGCGTCAGAAGATCTATGCCAACGCAAGAAGGTGACTCTCTCCTTTTGAAGCTTTTTCTAAGAAACATCTCCTTTTTTTCTATTTTTTTCATCCTGTATCGAGATTAAGTTAATCCATCGAAATGTCCTGGCTAATATCTTTGGTTGCTAGGCCATCCGTTTACACGATATCGGTACCATACCTATGTGGAAAGGTGCTAATCCCGATTGGTTTGACTATACAATGGACCTATTGTCAGGTGTCCAATCGGCAATGTAAGACTGATATCCATGGCTTGCTAGCTAGGGGGGTTGAGTCGTTGTAGAGCGGATTCGAGCTGCACTGAGCGGTAGTCAGCCTGCCTGGACCAATCGAATCAAAAGAAATCACAGCCAACCTGGGGGGGGGGGGGATGCATACAAATTTTGTTGACAACCAATGAACAACCGAATTGACTACCGCTCAGATGGGGGATTGAGTAGTACTGCCGCTCAACACGACTCAAACGTTACAGAAAGATGGGGGGATGCCTACATATTCTGCAAGTGGGCAAACTGTAACTTCAAAGCCGATGTGACCCATTATTTCGTACAATACGCAACTATTCGTAGGAATATATTTCATAAGAATATTAAGACTCGAATATTCTAAAATTTAAGAAGGCATCAGGATTAAAAGTCAGGCCCACAATGTTCGCCAAAGGTATGATTCTTTGTTTAACAAAAGTTGCTCTCAATAATTGCAAATTTTATCTGGCTCTTTAAACTTATAATTACCAACAGGTCTGATTTTCATAACTAATTGTGCGACTAAATGCGAGTTTTAGGCGACACTTCAAAATTCTGCCAAATGTATCTTTTTTTCTAATTCTATGGTTTTCCTCGGCTAAATGCCGTAAATTTTTTCAGAATATCCATCCATATTGAATAAGATTATTTATTTCTTCTCAAGCTTGTTGTAAGGATACATAATTTCAGTAAAGCACCACTTGTCTCTTGAAAATGGTCTACATAAGAAATTATAAAAAGCAATAATCATTTTAGAAAACCGGGTGTGACCAGGAATTGGGTGTGGTCGACCCTCTATCTCATTTCGGCGGTAGTCAGATTTTTGGCTGGATCCGCCACTGGACAGTGCCTCTAAAACCAGGTTGATGACCGGTTTTTAAAGATTTTTGCTAGTGCTAGCGTTGTAACGACATTGGATAAACGGGCCATTTCCCATCCTTTTCTCTTCTCAGCTAAAAACATTAAAGCAAGGGCATGTAACATGGAAGTTTTAAAGACCATTTCAAAATTATTGCTGCGCTCCTGCAGGTTATTTTGGCGTGCACGAAGAATCCGGACAGGTATCATGTTTTGCTGGAAGTCATATTTGTAGGAGAGCGTTCCCTGACGCTAGACGACCTGTGATTCTTTGATGCGGTCAAAGAATTCCTCGATGTGTATGACACGACGTTAATCGGATTATCCTTACCGGATTCTTCAGCTTCGTCGGTTATGTTAGCAGTCGGTTATTCTCTGTTCCGGGCAATTTTTATCTTTACATTTGGCAAAAGTGGATCATGAAATTTGAATCTTCATGTTGAAGGTAGTCTGTGCTGAAAATTTCAAGTTGTTTGGGCCGTCAGACCGCGAATTAATCCATGAATTTGTTGCTGTTGTGAAACTTTGTCACTGCAGCAGCAAATTCCGGACAAATCTAAAGAAATATCTAAATTTTCAAAACAAGGTAACTCGCGACCGAACAGTCCAAACAACATGATTTTTTCAGTATAAACTAATTTGAAAATGAAGATTTCAATTCTGAAGTCCATTTTTGAGAAAGATTCATAGATAGCGAAATCCAAAATCAATGACGTCAATCCGAAACGGATAATATTGCAGGTCAGTCTTTGTTTTTCAAAACCGCCCATGGCTGACTGCTGACTCTCAAAAGCACAAGACAGAAATCTGTGTGTGCTTTACGTAACTAGTAGATATAAATGGTAATTAGAGTGTCAATGATTAGCATCTGCTATTTCTGGGGCGTCCACAACGTCGTAATGGATCGCCTACAGCATCACAAACTTTCACTTGAGGTTGAATTTGGCTGGGCTGTTTATGCCCTTAATAACAAAGGCCCTGTTTACAATAAAACTTTCAACCTGGGTTAACCTTAACCTGGGTTGAACCCAGGTTGAACCCACTTTCGTTTACACTGCATCGACCACGTAGTATTACACTGCATCGACCATGTACACGCAAACTTCTGGTTCACTTCTGGCTAGTGTCACCACTCGTGTTTGGTTTTGAATGGTGTGAACTTTGAAAATGGCTAAAATGAGAATTTTTAGTGGGGAATAAACTTTTCAAGGTAGGCATTTCCCCTTTGTCCGCTCATAACTTTGGGTCTTGTAGAAGTTTTACAAGGTCGGTTCTGATTGGTCAAATCCAAAAATCTAATTTCTATGACAATAGAAGTTATTTTTAAAGAGAAAAATGCAAAAAAACCTATTAACGTAATGCATGACTCATTCACTGAAAAAAGCAATAAAGAAACACACACTGTAGCAATGGGGCAAGCGTCGCAGTACTGAGCCCTATTTTGTAGACACTAACTCAAATAAACAATAGATATATAATAATAATAATAAATTTATTTAAAGTTGGCGCTACATAGCTATTTACAGTGAAATGAGCTAATCCAAGCCAACTGTTAAAACTACTACATCAAATATATACATACAAGATTAAATACTTAAAATTTCAAGCATACAGTAAACTATTAAAAACAGAATTAAAAGTGTACTTTTATAAAAATCGGACCAATTTAAAACGATAGTATTACAAAAATCCAAGTTGTGGTACGAACGTCCTACAAAGTTTGCACGTGCAATTGGTACCATTTCAGCTTTTAATTTCTTTCTTAAACTCGTTGGTAGATTGAGCATTCCTTATGTTCTGAGGTAACGATAGCCAAAGACGTTGCCCTCTATATTTGAAAGTTTCGGATCCGTAAATGGCTGTTCTTACCCTTGGTAGCATAAATTCATTATTGTTTCTCAAATTATGAACAACATGACGCTCGAAGAAAATCTCTCTCATAAAAGGAGGGTTGATATTTTCTTTTGTTCAGGTCCTCTGTTTCCTTCAAATGAACCAAAAACCTTATAACAAAGAAGTGAATGAGGAGCTACAGATGGCTCACTCTTCGCGCAGCCAGCAACACCCCCTCCTCTTTCCCCATTATGATTTTTATTCATAAAGCATTTAGCTTGTACCATTTAACTTCAACTTTGAATGTCTAAGAGTTTACTTAGAATATAAGCATTTAGACATAAATCAATCAGTCGTTAAGCAATTGCAAATTGTAAACAGGAATAGTTGGAAATATTTCAACAATAAGCTCTCCAGCAATGGGGCTTACATATCTGGTTTGTGAGATGCAAGAAGCGTTGGATATGAAGTAAAAAATTTTTGACGTTGGAACTGACTCATATTCTTTTCCTGTTGATTTTTCAACCATTTTCATGTATAAGATACAGGGTGGGGCGGTTCCTCCAGATGCATTTGGGGTTGACATGTTCCAAATTTTGTAGGATCAATTCTCTAGGAAGGTCGCATTTGGTTTTTGACTGATTGCAGCCAAAGCTAAGAACAATTTTGCAACCGATTCTTACTAGTTGTCTTCCCTGTTAGGCGATTTACAAGCATGGGTAGAGAGCATTCATCCTCATCGCAGACAGAAGTATTGTCTCCACACCTCTTAAGTCGGACACACCTTTCAAATGTACAAGACCAAGAAGAGAGACGAGCAAGAGTGTTGGAAGCAATAGAAAGAAGGTCGGTGGCAGAACAGCAGTAAGCTGGCAAAAAAGCATGATGCTAGCATTAAACTTTAGTCTAGCTCTCTTATAATGAAGAAAGCAAGGAAAGCACATCCAATACCCTCCTTTTTACTACTAATGATCCAAAAAAGAGCCGAGTAGATATATGAAAATTCAGTGGATGTTGAAAGGTTTAAGACCTAGTCCTGCGGTTTTTTCTTTGCAAACATTATTTGAATATACATCCTGTGGTATGTCCTTCATAATGAGGACCTCAATATTTGTATATGAGGATTGCTTATATTATATTTTATTCATTAGACTTATAAAAAGCTTTCAGTTTTATTCAAAACATTGTTGATAACTTTTTTGTCAATAAGACAAATTTGACCTGAATTGTATCATCTGTATTCTTGATATAGTACGTAGAAAAGGTTTGCATTGAAAATCTCTGATTTGATAGAGCTATGTATTTAATTTGTTAAGTCCTAAATATAAATCGGGGTTGCTTATAATATATGCATACATACATGTATTTAAAGAATTTTTGAATTAACTTTATCCAATGACTCGTTCAAAAATTACATATCATTTTTAATGACCATTTTCTAATCACATCTTTACCATGGTTGAGCAGGATATTAACCTTAATTTCATAAATGCAACAAGAAGCCAGCTTAGCTCCCACCTACCATAAATGTGTTATATGTAATTTTGAACGAGTCCCAACTGTAAAAGTTATTGTAAATCTTCATTTAATTACAACAGCTTTGTGCTTTTTGTGTTAGAGAAAATAGACAGTAAACAATTATATGAGGGTAAAATAAAGCAGTTTACGATGCGGGTATTGCTCAGGAAAGTGAATGTCAATCTAGATGTTTAAATATCCAAAAAGTTAGATGCAATATATCAAGACCAGAACAATGTTTATCCTGCTATTTAAGTTTCTTACTCACAAACCAATTTTGATACCTTTCAATAAGTGTGTATTTATTTGCCTAGCTGCCGTAACATGTGAATTTGCTTTTAACACAAGATCACTGATTAACCATATTCTTATCACATATTTTTTAGCCTCAGCATTGGACCCTTTTTGCTCCTTTCCTCTTTGTTAGCTCTATGCAAACTTATGGCAAAAAACTGCTCTTCAATTCCAAAATCTTCAGTCAATGGCAGGTAGTTAAAAGTTAGTTTGGCTCAAAGTTCTAGGTCAGCAGACTTCTAATCTAAGGACATGGCTTTACCAGCTTTGATTCAAGGTAATTTGTTCATTTATAGAGAAAATTTTTCTTGAATTATTTTCAAAAAGTTTTCTCCTGACCTTGGAAATCTTCCAGTCCATTAATTCCTCTTTGGTGTGTAGTATTGGATAATTCTAAGTTGCAACTCCAATTTTCACGCTTTATGCAATCATCAAGTATCTGTTCAACTTCTGTTTCTCGTGAAAGTACCTCTATGGATGGGGTTTATCAATATTCAATTGTTAGAGGAAGAAAGGTACCGAACCAGTTCCATGCCACAATCTTCAAAGATGACTTTGAAAACAGCAAACATTTTCAACACAATTAAGCTTTTCATCAGACACCCTTCACAGTATAAAACGTCAGAACAACGATCAAAAGTACTAGGTAGGGAAATATTTTTACCCAGTTGTGGATTGAAATAGGCCAATTCGCATCGCAAGCACTTGGCTGTAAAAGGTTGCCAGGTCAGCTTCGCTTGCCAATCGAAAATGTTACCAAAGGAATTGATCAAAAAGTAATGGAGAATGTGTAAAACAAAATCCTTCTGTGTACAGAAAGACAACCAAATTCTGCAAGTTATCCTAAACATGTTGTTGTGATCATAGTTTTTGGCACAATTAAGATTTCTAGTAATTGCTGTCCAGTGACAGAATCATGTTTTAGTTATTGCTTTAATATCCTAAAAATCAAAGATAAAGGACACTCAAAGAAGGTGCTTAATTCTGCCAACAATACAATATGAGGTGATTTCCAGGGACTTTATCCTACTCCTCCCACCCCTCTATACTGGCAGGAGCTTACTAAGATTAGAACAATGACATTTTGAGGAGAAGACCTTAGGATGCAAAGATTAGAGGAGAGAGAAGGTGTAGAAAAATTTCTGTACAGGGCTTCTATAAAAGGCCCAAACTCTTAAATACATTCAAAAATAGATCATATATTCTTACAAATTACAGTAAAAATAAAAAGTACTATTAAAGAGAAATAGGTAATGACAGTGTTCCTAAAAACATCAGGATTATGCCTAAAAACATGCACTCTTACAATAAATCTACAAACTATTCTAAAAATTTCAGCTCCCTTGTCTAACCTTGATACCAGATCTTTATTGTGTACATTTTGCTAAAGCAAAGACAAATCACAAGAAGAGGGGTCATTCTTGCCCTAAACTCAATGATTCTTCCAAAACCTTGGCCAAGTACTCGTCATAGTGATTGTACCATTCATTTTGGATTATATTCCTGACTCTGTTGGGAACATCTGGTTCACTTCCTCGATGAACAATATTGCCAAACTCAGCCAGCTCTGCTAAAAGAAAGCCTCTTTCTTTCTGCTGCTCAAATGCATTTGTTTTCGTTGCATAAACCTCTATGTATGCCCAGCAGCCATCAGTTGTATAAACCAGGTTAAAGAAGCCCCCATCAATAAGAAACACCTTCAGCTCCTTCTCCAAAACATCTGCCAGATCTGAAATATCTTGTACCACTTTTGATGGCTCCTTTTTGTGAATCTTTATTGAACTGATTATCAATTGGGCTATATCCAGTGGAATAAGTGCTGCTGCAAATACCAACCCAGCAACATGTAATGCAGTTGTTGTGGCTGCTCTCCCAATGCCAAAAGCTATACGTATTCCAGCAGCAGTTGTTAAGCCAAGTTTTGCCATTCTTGGTATCAAACTCCCAATGTATACGATATCCAAACCATAAATATTCCATCTTCTTGCAAAGTGGGAATCATTTGCTGCTCTGTACAAAAGAACTTTTAGTTGTTCTGCCTTAAAGTAGTCTCTTTGCAGTTCCTCTTGGATTTTATCAATTCCAATTTTCTTGAGGATTCCTTCCACTACCATTGTAACACCTGCTGTCACACCCCCAGCTGCAGCTAGTCCAAAACCAGTAGCAGCTAGCGGCATGCCTGCAACTGCCCCAACGCCAGTCAAACTAAGGCTGATGCCAACAATGCCCATGATTGCACCACCAATCTAAAGGACAAACAATAAAATTAAAAATGTTCAGAAAAAAATGATCTATTAAAGTTCCTGCACTTTATAAACTAGACATTGTACTTTTAATGTGTCAAAAAAGAAGTATTCTATTTGACAAATAAATGTCATATAACCAGGGCCGGCATGCCCCCCCCCCACTTTTCTGCTTAAGAAACATTTTAGGGAAAAGTGGAAATAAATGTAGTATATGATTCTATAAGTAACTTTGCCTGGTATTCTCTTAAATGTGTCCATGGCTTTACCTTGGTTGCTATGTCTTTACCATAGAAGACATAAATAAAATTGAAGATGGGAAATAGATCGAAGAAATCAATCATTGTCTAAGTTTTACAACGAGTGACAGCTTGGCTTAGCAAATAGATCGAGAAATCTAGTCCAGAATAACTTGGTGCCAGCACAAATTGACGGAGTTTCATTTTTTCCATTGCCTAAACTTGGGTCTATTTGTTAACAAAAACTTTCTCAGAAACATCACAAAAAGAGAAAAATCAGCTGTTGAAGGAAAAGGAACAGCTGGAAAAAACTTTTTTGAGGATATGAGAAATAAAATGTGGGCAGATTGGTTCTTAAAAAGTATCATCAAGAAAACTTCAGAGTTTGATCATTTGGATAATCCATTCCTACTAAGAAACAGAAAATATTGATGCAATTAAAAATTATATTTAAACTCATTTTGGCAAGCCCAGTTTGAAGGCTTTTCAAACTTTTGTTAAAGCACTTAATTTCCGAAAAAGTTGAGATCAGATGTTTCTTCTATTGATAATTCAACGTTAATGTTTTTTAATAATCTGTGTTTCCTTTATTTTTCTCCCCCATCTTATTTCGGATACTTTTGAAATCTAAAAAAAAGGTTTCATTACGAGCTATATGATAGTGGTATTCTAAAACTTTGCAAAACTTTTCTATTCCAAGTCAACATCACAATAGATGCGACTATGCAACACCTTCAGTCAAAATTAATTTTAGATACAGTTTCTGGCCATCCCTAAGACACCATGATTCTAAAAATTTTCTTACCACCAACCCTGGTGGCAGCCTTTCCTAAGCCCTTTCAAGACTTTGATATTTTGGCCCCTCCACTTTCAAGTATGTTTCACCAGCCTTAGCACAAATTTCAATTTTTTGAGAAGGCTTGATGACTGCAAATGAAAAACAAATCCGTACCCCTAAAGCACTACCACCAATCTTTGCTCCAGCACAATTGAATTCATGCCCAGTAAGTGATGCAACAATCATTCTAAGTTGCTTGATTGTGCATTTCCTTTGCTTAATTTGGGCATCAATAAGTTGATTCATATTGACATAAACTTCATCATCAACTGTTTGAATATAGAGTCGTCCTTGAAATTGATTTGGAGTTGGCAGACTTTCTGGTGGTCTTTCATCTGGAGCTCTGTCCATTGGACAAACTATCTTGTGATCATGATTCATATACAGTGCTCTGAGACATTCTAAACAAAACCCATGGCCACACTGCAACACCCTGAAATCATTTCCTTCCCAACATATAGAGCATAGCTGTCCTTCCAAATCCAAAGCTCCTGCCATTGCTTATCAACTAGAATTGAGAAAATATCAGTAAAAATTGTAACTAATTTAAGAGAAGAGGAGGAGTGCAGAGGCTTGAAGCAGCAGGTGTTAATTTTTTCCATAACGCACCAACTTTGAGGAAGATTAAAAACTCAATACAAGTTATGGAAAACAATGAAGCAAAGTTCAATAATGAAATTGATGAAAAACAGAAGTGTGATTTTGGAGAAAACTGAGCCTTTGGCATCATTTGAAATGCCTAACAAGTATCTAAAAGACCCTGTAGCATGCAGTTATCCATCAATAAAAATATGAACATTTTCATCAATTTTTCGGAAAAACTGTGCAGTTTTTCAAGTTGTGGGATGTCTTACGTTGCCCAAATAAAAAATATGTTACCAATAAACAAAAGGGAATTGGGGCACAGAAGGCTTGTTAACATCTGGGACACAGGGGGATGTACCCCATTTTTCAAAAACAGAGGCTATCTGCAATTCACAGTGGTGCTCATTTTGCTTACATATTCCCAACCACTTTTCAAGTGTTTCCTACGTCTATAAAGTGTTTCCTGGTTTGTGTGCAAATCGTCAGAACGAATCGTCTGAATCGCCAGGTGAACATAAATCAATATCAGCCAGTACTTCATACCTAAGCATAACAAACAAAACAAACTAGCCTTCAATCGATGCTAAACCAAACACAAAACTTTGCTCTGCATTGGGTTCCCCTGCGTGTCTAACATTTCTTATTTCGGATAGACGAACGTAATATGTTTTCTTTGCTTAACTTTCACGCTTTCGGAGCTTGTGAGTGCCAGGGTGGTTTGGTGAACAATTACAGCCTACATGGAAGTGTTTGTTTTAGTCGTACGCTTACAAGAAAATATTTCCGAAATTGTTACAAGTTTGTAAGTGTATATGTGAGTAAGAATTCAGTTGTAAGTGCTATCAAAATATTGTTTCCTCACCTACTTCCTACAAAGCACCAACAAGTTGTTTTTTGTAGCAAGCTCCCAACATGCTTTCCAAACAGCCCAAAACACTTTAGTTTTCAATTTCTTCCACGAACAGAGCCTCAAAGTAATTCTGATTGGTTTACGCCAATGATATAGAAGCGCCTGCGCCAATCGCGCCAATGATATAGAAGCGCATTGTAAACTTGACAAAGAGGCTTTTGATCAGAGAAGTGAACTTGATAGGCTCGGAAGTGAACTTGTGAGGTTGTAGAATTTGACAGTGGTTTGGCTTTGCCTAGATAACATGCAAAAATGAAAAGCAGAAGAATTCGAAGTCTTAAAGTTACAGCACTTGCATTCATTGCAAGGAACATAAGCTACTGGGATGAGATGATTCCTGAAGATCCAGATAGTTACTTATATCTGTTAGGCCCCTTTGAAGGACTCGGTAAGTAGCTTTTCTTCAAATTCCTGTTTGTTTTTTTAATTCTAAAGAAAAAAGAAGATTCAATTTTTGAATAGGGCTATTGGATGATGATCCATTTATCACTAGTCTTATATGCTTAGAAAGTGACAGTAATTTTTATAACTGTCATTTTTATGTTTTCCCTCCCCCCTTCTATTATTATAAGGGTTTGAAAGGGACAGTTTCAAGCCTTCGTAACTGACGATCGCGGTAGAATTTTGACGGCAGTTTTTCAAAAATTTACTCAACGAGCAGGTTGTCCAATCAGTGCCGCTTTCCTATCGAAAATGTTACCAAGGGAGTCCTAAGGTGAAAACGAACTTCTTCTGTCTACACAAAAGCAGTTTGTCATGTTTATTTGGTAGATAGATTCACAAACTGATAGATGGAACAATGGCTTTGCCAATAATGCGAAACATGTTGCCGTTATAATTTTTCACCCAATCTGGGTTTTTCAGTAAATGTAGTTAAAATATAAAAATTTAAAACAATGAAGAAAGTTTCTATAAAAATAGGACAATACCAATAAAAATAAAAATTTTTGACAGACAGTAATAATGAATTTTAATTGTCATTGTGTATTCACTTTTTTCTGCAGATCATGGTTTGACACAAGAATTATTTGATACTTTGGTTAAAAATGATAAATTTCTTCCAAAGCATGTTCATCTTCTATTCCATTCCCAGTTGGACTCAATTGATCTTTCCAAATCGACAACATTCAGACTTGGTGAGAGTATTTTGAAGATCTTGTTGAAACGCTGTAAGGTAAAGAATTCTGTTCTTGTTTTGCTGTATTGTGACATTAGTGGCTACAGACATTCTCTGAATTTGATATTTATTGGAATATCTGTGCAACAGATTTATGTATTTTCTTTCAAGCTAGGAATTTGAGCTGATTGAAATCATAGTGCTATAGAATCTGCATCTTGACAAAATGTGGCCTAGGCACTTGCCCTCCTCCACATCAAAAACACCAATAATGGCAATGATGGAGATATCTTGTATTGTGAATGAAATATACAGATAGGGCCATACAGATGGGTGCCAAATTAAAAATATACTCACGTTAAGAAAAGAATTGGGACAAACTTCGAAATTTTGAAGACATTTTATGGAACAAATTAGGAAAGTCTTTTTAAAAATCTTTTTCATTAAAAAAGTATGGCAACAATTTCCATGAAATTTTCGTAAGACATTGTTGATGTTTTTGATGCCTTTATTTATGAAAAGAAATTCACAAAACATCAACCATACAATTTATATAGGACTTGAGAGGTAAGCATGGAAGTTCTTAAAAGTCAATAACTGAGTTACGAGAAACGCTTGGAAAATTGCTTTCTGCAAAAATAACATGAATGAATCCCGTGAAATTGCATCACTTCTTGGCTGCTCAATGAGTGCAGCTTTTGTGGTTTTTCCTTACAAGAAAAGTAAACAATTCACCAAGGGTTGGCAGACAGAAGAGGTTCACAACATCAAGAGATGAAAGGTCCTTTCTGAGGAAACTGCAAAGTAATAGATTTGAATCCTTACCAGGCATTTTATTGTCATTTAAAAAGAAGCTCAATTCAGAATCATAGGCAAAAACGTGGCTATGAAATCCTAAGAAATGCAAATTGCTCAGCTTTAAAAAAAATGCTCTCTGAAAGCAAACATTATTTGTCGCTGACGGATACTGTGGCTTTGCCGAGTGTTATGCCATTTCAAAAGCAGCTTGAACAAATTCAATAATTTCATGACATTGTTACGTTTTTGTTGATTCAGGAAACTTTCTTTGAGACTTATGCAAAACTATTATGCAAATGTGAATCTAAAAAATCAAATTCATTTTGGCATCTCTAGAAAATTGCCAACAGGCCATTTGAGTTTCCGTTTTTAGGCCAAACAACTCTTTTGCAGATTTTGCTTTTGTAAGAATCCAATTCTTTTGTAGCAGTTATGATTCTAAAAGTAAAAGTACTTTTTTCAACTTTTAACCACATTTTTGGGATACACTGGCCTAGACTATTAAAAAAAAGGCTGCTCATACCTGAACAATGGTTTGTTGCAAACCCGAATGGTGCAACATCATAGTTCTTTTATTGAATTTGTCCCAATACTTTTTGAATGTAAGTTTATAAATTTTCTTGTTGATCTTATCCAAATTAACTTAAATGCAAAATGCCAAAAATAGTGGCAAAATCGTTTTGGCACCTTTTCCCATCCATTCTGAGCGCATATCTAACGTGATTAAATTCAATTTAGGGGTTTCCAGTTGTAGTGTAGATGTTCACTAAACCTTACCAGCAACGCTCCTTCTTAAAATCCCTTACTTGATGCTCTGGAGCTCACGTTAACCAAGCCTATGCAAATTTTATGTCGTAAGCCATTGCTAAGCCAAATGAACACTGTGCTATATCAAAAGGTAGGCCAACCCAATGCTAAAAGGTCTGCTAATGGCATAAGCCAAGTTTTGTGAAAACTTATTTTTCATGGTGTGAAAAGATTAAAAACCTTTGGTGCTTTATTATGGAGTATAACTAATGTTATTTTATTGTAGAAAATAAAGAGCCTAAAGCTATCGGATGGTACAAGATATTCCAAGTCAATGTTAAACTTGATACCATACAACTACTCAAACCTTGAAAGCCTCATTTTTAACAATGAGAACATGTCCGATGAATTTGTTGCCAATTTGGTCAGGTATTGTCCAAGCCTTTTATGTTTTCAGAGTTCCAACTGTGAAAGGCTAAATACTGACTCATTCTTAAGAATGAAGTTATTGACCAATATCCAAGTATTAACTCTTGGCAATGCAGATGCCCTTACAGATGACATACTTTTGCAGATTTTTACCAGTTGTAAGAAGATAAAGCATATATCTTTACCGATGACAGCAGTTAACTTTGAGGCGTTTGCAAGCAATCATGTATTCTTTTCAATCCAAGCTATAGACCTGACACTCAGTGATCGAATCGATGACAACTCAGTACACAAAATTGTAGCCTCATGTCCCAATCTAAAGGCATTATGCCTGAGTAATTGCAGAGGTATTACTGAAAAATCTTTAGAAGTTATAGCTGAGAATTGCCAGATGCTAGAGAACCTGAATATTTCTTATTGCAGTATCAAAAAATATTCAGAAGTAATCAAGAGGTTTCTAAAACGTGCAGGGCACAGTTTAAATTCAATTGATTTTTCTGGAATATCTGATCTGAGGACATCATTATTTGCCCAATACTGTTCACACATTGAAAAACTGTTTCTTAACCACTGCCCCTATCTAGCAACTGAATGGGTTCCTTATGTTCTCTGGCAAGAAGTTATGCAACGAAATACATTGCATAATGACAAGTTTATGAAAGAAATGATTAGCCTTGGAGGTAAGCATGAGAAGTATAGTTTGCTACAGATGTGCCCACTTTTGAACAATCTTCAAATCGATTTGCAAAAAAAGAAATCTGATGACTCTGACTTTGATCTTCAAGCAATCTTGCAAGGTGGATATAACACAAAAACACTTTGTCTTGTGGAGCTTCCTCAGTTTGATGACAATAACCTGAGGGACCTGAAGAATTTCATGGATACTGAGAAGATTGAGCATCTAAATATATCTGGGAATGCTAAAGTTACTGCTGGTGGAATATGGTATGCTGTAGAAAACATGAAGAGCTTGAAAATTATGGAAGTGCGAGGTTGTGACATATTTGACAGTGAGTTAGATGCTTTAAAGAAAAAGATTATTATGGATGGTTATGATGTGGATCTAATAGGCCACAAATAGAATTGTTATAACAAAGCAATGATTTTAATATTGGCTTAAAATGACTTTCTTTTTTAACTCAAACAAAGAGCGTTGAGACTGGCAATTCTATGAGCAGGAAACTGGGGCAATGGAAAGTAAAGTAAAGGCACTCAAAAGAGCATGTAAATCAATGGAATCAAGAAGTATTTAGTTGGTAGCAAATGAAGTAGTTTAATAGTTAAAGGTTTACAGTATTTTTCATATACAGAGTTTAAATTAGCTTTAAAAACAAAGAAGATTCTTAAAAAAGAGAAATAATATACAAGTCCCTTTTGGTGACTGCTTTTAGGCAACTTTTTTCATACATCCCCATAATTTATCCTTTGCACAATTCATTTTAAGGCATATAGTTCAATTTTATCCGCATTAGTTTTTTTAAAATTTATTATGTCCAGTACTAGAGCAAACCAAAGTACTTCAAAAGTAAAAAGTGCATACACCTAGGAATTGCAGGACACAGAGGGTAAATGCCTGCCATGTTATTTCCTGCTTGTGCTTCCCCCCCTCACTTTTCAAAGATATTCACTTTGTCTATGAAAGGGTGCGTCTTCTTTTGATTTACTGTCACATGTTGATTATAACATTTTTGGGTATACTAGGATATCAAATAAATACAACTGTGAGTTCCCCACAGTTACCCAATACTCATAGAGCTGAATTTGATCCCTAAAACAATCAGAAAAGACACCTGTATTTGTGCTTATTAATAAAAAGAGCTAACATGCTGGTATTAGTCTTTCTGGTTGAAATTTTAGTAACCATCTTATGTACACTAACATCAAACAAGGTATTCTGAGAAAAGGGACCACTGCATGTCAAAACATTGGAATATTTTGCCACATAAGGTCTTTCAAATTCTAAGAAGGACAATATAAATTGTATTTTACTGAAAAGACTAAATCCCAAGATCTTGTCTTGTTTGAATGGGCATTGTGATTTTAAAATTTTAGTTAGTCGTTTACACAAGTATTTCACCTTAAATTTTATAACTCAGAATTTTATGTAACATTTGTCGGTCTTATTAATTTACACATTTAGAACCTATAAGTTGAGAACCAGGCTGTCAGCAAGTTTTCAAGCTTAGTCAAGTCATCCACTTCAATATTCATTACATACATATGTTACATACAATAGATTTGTATTATTTGTCACAACTTTACTGCACTTAGGTTAGCAAGTTGTCAAAATATCAAATAGACAGTGAAAACATCTTAACTGATTTTGGAATCTTTGTTCAACTCAGTTGTAAAATTAATTGTCATTGGTGATTTCTCAACAATCTCAAGGATTCTGAATGACTTCTTCTTTGAAATAGGCTTGCATTCCTTGATAAGCACAAGGTCACCGTCTTTACAATCATTGCCTTCATCATGGGCAAAGTAAACCTTTCTATGGTTCCAAAACTATCAAAAAATGAAAAGAATGCATATAAGAAGAATTCATCCATGTTAAGGCTATAAAGGAGCATTATTCATTGTTGATCTCTATTTTCAAAGACTTTGCCTTGATTTTGAGCAATTTGGTGCAAAAAGATTAATTATGAGAAATGATATTATTTACTAAGAATTCTCCCATGGGGCAATTGTATGCCTAATGACAACAAAGGTTATCTCTGGTACTCAGCTTGTGCCATTCATAACAGGCTAGCAACTAGTTTGCTGTTTTATAAAATGCTAATTAATCGGGATTTTATGGTTGCCTAAATAACCAGTATCAGAATTATCTCGCTGACACAAGTAGAAAAATTTGTTTTCGAAATAAAGTTCATAGCAACAATCTAGTCTTTGTTAGCAGAATGGATTAATGCAAACCAAGTTAGAAATTATGTATCACTTTGGCTATGTGCAGGTGTGAGCAAAGTGGTTTTTCCAGATTCTACCCCTCCTCCCATTTTCGTTGTATGTGAATAAAAATAACATGCAAGCCACTTATTTTCAGGGGGAACTAGTGAATAATTAGAAGTATGTAAAATAGGAGAAAAGGGGGTCTGTGGGCACTCCCCAGAAAATTTTTTAGGAACCACACCCTTACCATAGAATTGCCCTGGCATCATTTCATATCTTAATGCTTTTATTTGATATTTCAAAATGCCAATGTAATGTACCCCCATGCTAAATTATAGTATGAAGTAAAATTTTTGTGAAATGGTCTCACATATGGCGAGAGCCATTTTTAGCCCAAATTTTGCCTACTGAAAGAGTGCCGTAAACGTTCAAATGAAACTGAATAGTGTGCACACATTCCACATTTCGTTAGCACTCTTGCACACATTCTTATTTGCTTTTGCACACACAATATCTTGTAGAGAATTGTCATGATGCTGCAGACTGGGAATTATTTATGTCCCCCTTGCATTTTTCACAATCAGTTGAGAGAATTGCATAGAGTAAAATGTTCAAGAAACTTTCCAATCCTTCTTAATGATGCATTAAGTTAAATTTAACAGGTTGGTTCAATTGACGAAATAAAATCACCTTTTTGATAACAGGATGAAGTTTCATTTTTGTGACCATCACCTTCGCGGTTTTGTCCATCTTTGTCCCAACTACTCTGCCAAGATACTGTGCCATTCCTTAGAAATTTATTTTAAACAGCAATATTTCAGTTTATACAAGAAATAGCTGATTAGTTTTCACTCCAAATAACGAAGAGAGCCTGCCCGGTCACGCCATCCTATTCGTCGTTGGGCCTAGATGTAATTGTACCATGTTACATCTGCCTCGTTTTAGATACCATCACAGGTGGGTCCGTCACACTGATCTCAAAAAAAGACTTTTTTTGAGATCAGTGGTCCGTCAGTTGTAGCGTCCGTCAAGTGAGGCAGTAGCGAAACAGAGGCTCATGGAGTAAGTCTAGGTGGGTTTCACAAACAAACACCGATCCTTGAAAGCAGGAGTTAAAGCAATTCCTATAAAGCCGGAAATAATCTCAAGGATGCTAGAGATCTGGGCTATTTTTTAAATTATTTTTTGTTCAATCATTAACTAACATCCTAAAGATTTCACACTGAAGACAGCTTAAGAAAATATGGCTGCTGTACGCAACCCTGTTGCTCCCGGATACCAAAGTGCGCCGTACCCACCTTCAGCACCAAGCCAACAGATGCCTGCAAGCAGAATGGACCTGTACATTTCATGCACAGGATTGCTGAAAATGGATGCAACTTCACATTCAGACCCCATGGCTGTACTCCACATGTACAACAAAGTTAGCAAAAAGTGGCAAGAGGTAGTTATGTTTTCATTTAATTTTGTTATTTTGGTTTGATAATTGCATTTTTCAGTGTATGCTAAAGGAATAAGTATTTTAGAATAATTCTTAATTCCTTTAGAATAATGGGCTCGTTATTAGGCTAGTGTATGCTTGCTTTTTTGCTCTTACCCTTAGAGTCAAGTCTGTAGCTTCACAAGGGCAAATTCATGAAATTGATTGGGTTGTGTCATACAGCAGTTTGATGAGATACCTCTCACCAAGTAACTTTAGTAAGCAACTGTACAAATGCTTGTTTTGGCAACATAAATTCTTATGCAATTTTAATTTTAAAACCCTACTAGACTAGATCAGGGCAATCAGAAGGTTAACTTTTTTACTATCATTTAAGAAATGGAAAATATTTTTAAAGGAAGACAGATTCATGGAAAAACTTGTCTACTAACCAAAGCCTATTTACATCACATTTTAAACAAGCATTTTGCTATGATTGTGGCTTTTGTTAAGCCATTGTCTTTATAGTTCTAGGCAAGCATAAGCAGCAGGAAAAATAATCTGCACACAAAAAATATTTTTCAGTCTGAGGGCAAGTCATAACATCTTGTGGTAGTTAAGACATTGCTACTACTTGTTGCTGTGATGATCAAAACTAAAACACTTTTTTGTAGTGACACTGTGATCTTATGTTAAAATACAAATGTTGTCTGTGAAGATATGTTTTTAACAAATATTTTAATGGATTTTATCATTAGTTGTTTACTTTGCAAATCAAAATGATCACTTTCAAAAAATTTATTGCAGTGTGGCAGAACTGAAACAATAAAGGATACAGAGAATCCAAATTTTGCCACTCCGTTTGTTGTGGATTACTTCTTTGAGGAAGTCCAGAAAGTTAAGATCAGTGTTTATGATGCTGATGACCCCAGATCAAGTCTACACAGTGCAGATTTTCTTGGCTCCATTGAATGCAACCTTTCCCAAGTAACTTTTAATATTTGAAATAAATTATTTCTTCATGAAGTTGTTCATATATACATATTGAGTCTATTAGTGCATTGAAACCTGCAAATGAACTGAATGGATCTTTCTGAGAAATATAAAAGATTTTTAAAATTGAAAAATATGTTAGAATAATATATATGCCCAGAGTTTTACCAAACTTAATGTTTACTTAAATTTTTTAGAAATTGATTTAGATAATTTATATGTGGAGTAAAATCATCTTCAAAGAATTGTTGTTTTCTTTAATAGATTGCCTCCTCCAGAAAATTTACAAAAGAACTTGGGTCTCAATCTGGTCGCTGTGGAACAATAACAGTGAGTGAATAAAATTATTAATCACTATAAATTTGTACTTCTGTAATTTTTTCAAGGTAAAGGTTTAACAGCTTAATTGATGATGGTTTTTTTATCTTTTAGATAAGATGTGAGGAAATATCAAGCAATACAGATATGATTTCTCTTTCCTTCAAAGCAAATAAGTTGGATAAAAAGGTAGGGAAATGACAATTCTAGATGTTGTGATGATTAAGTGACTAAAGTTTCACCTAATTTCAAAACTTCCTAACTTTTTATAATAATTCTTCAATAGATTTTAAGGGATTCCCTTGCTGTTTATAATTAAGGTTGCATAATCATTCTTCAATAAATTTTAAGAGAGTCCCCTGCTCTTCATAGTTAAGGTTGTAGGAATTGAGAGGTATGGTTACCTCTAGAGGAAAGACCAGAACACTACCCAATAAACATGCTTCCGGTTTTCTAAAGACTACCTTTGGAGGCTTGGTAGTAACTGACAAGACATTTACTATTATCATGTTTTGACTCATAGTATCATTGATTGACACTTTAAGATAAGCCTTGCTTAGTCATGCTGATTACGTAATGTGGCCTAGTAATATATCCTGATAATATAAGTTGTTTTGTTATGTTCATTCAACTGTAGTTTATCTTTCAAGATACTCTCGGTGGAATTACTAACAAATACAAATACCATGTTCCCTTTACACTCTTGAGGACAGTCATATGTCTTTTACTAAACTTTTTTGTCTAAATGAAGGTATCTAGTTTTTTTAATTATTTTCTAGGATTTTCTTGGAAAATCAGATCCTTTTCTGGAGTTTTCAAGATCATCAGCAGACGGAGGTTTCATGCTTGTACATAGAACAGAGGTACTTTATTTTTGATAAATCAGGATTCAGCGAAATCAGTAAATGGGTCATATTTTTGACAATACTTCATCCTTGCAATCTTCATACTTTTGATTTAAAACATAGTTTTTGTTTAACAGTAAATAGCAGCAAGACATATTCTGTCTTCTTCATACATTGCTTCATACATCTTCATACATATGTATTTAATAGAAATCATGATTTTTCCCATATAAATCTGTAGGCCAAAGTAACCCCTAAACTTAACATCAACATCAATCAAAAGAATGTACTGAAATTATGAACAAAAACCAAAAATTGATTCATTATAAGCACTAAAAAAATTACCCTTTACATAACAAATTTGAATTTTTTGAATATTTCAAACAGGATTTAAAAAGTTTTATAAATTACATAATTATTATTTCAATAATTATAAGAGTCTGGAAGAATCTCGCTTTAATGCAATAAAAGGTTGTTCTTTTCACTTAGTTTTATAGGGACTGATTTTTCTATTAGGTCATAAAGAATACACTGGATCCAGTTTGGAAACCCTTTGAGATTTCTGTCCAGAAACTTTGTAATGGTGACCTGGATAGACTTATAAAGGTAGGTTGCAATTCCCTAATCATTTTCTTTGAAATTTATTTATTCTTTTATAGCAGATAGTGAAAGTAGTTGAGATACTGCCAAATATTTGCACAAGATCATTGAATAAATGGTTTTCACCCATCAATCAAAATAACGGAGTATATATCTTGTATTTCACAAATAGCAAGCTTTCACACTATCCCGCTGGATATCATGATGCTAACAGATGGTCAAAGACCAGATCAAAGCTGGCCAGTGGCAGTTTGTGGGTGGTTTCACATTTCAAGCTCTCTACAGATAAACAATCTAAATCTGTTCATCACTTTCCCAGATATAAACTGCTAGGCACATGAAAGTTTTTCCAATTGGTTCTAAAGATTCAGGCTTTGGACAGAACTTTGTTTTGGAATATGCTGAAACCTATTAAGACTTGCAGAAGAAGTCAGAAACATTAGTGGCTGTAGAATTTGGCATCTGAGGAGCAAGTGTGGCCTAAAACAAAAGCTCCAGCCAAGACATATCTAATATTCTGCTCAATTTCAATACAAAATCTAATATTATGCTCCAGCCAAGACATATCTTCAAATGATTGCAAAGCAGTTCTATGAATACTACCTGGAAGTTTTCTTAACTAATTATATTTAACTTATTTATAGAAGAACAAGATTAGTTTTCCGTCAATGTCCTTGGTTTTTGTCCAGTTTATAGCACAAAAGGTCTCCTTCAAAGCCGCACCTTATATTTCTTTATAAAAGAAATAAAAAACTGCATAGGAAAGATGAGAAAAAATCTATATCCCAAAGATATTTGCAGATTTAATCAATTTGTATCACTTCACCCCAGCTATTTTTGTAAATGTTGCCATTTCCTTTTTAGATTGACTGTTATGATCATGATGATGATGGTGGCCATGATTTGATTGGCAGCTGCACAACCAATGTTCGCCAGATGATTGAGGCAAGTAAGCATGAGATATCTTTACCATGCATTAACCCAAAGAAGCAACAGAAGAAGAAAAATTACGTGAATTCTGGGATCATCATCTTATCATATTCAAAGGTTAGTTAAGCCATTTTTTAAATTTTTAGTATGCCTTTTGTGCTATTTGGTGAATGATGAAATTGAGGAAAGCTTAAAATATCTGTTGCGCAGTGAAAAAGAAAGTGTTGATAATTATAAAGTAAAAAATGTTATTTGTTTCCGCATCTTTCCTCATTCCATCATTTGATTGCAATGTCTTTCTGGACACATTTAGACAGCCTTTTTATGAGCAAAGCATGATTTTTTCGAGACTCTATATACCTTTTCAGAATAGAAAAGCAATATGTCGTACAAAAAGCATCAATTCTAATCACCGCAATGCCACATTCAATTGAATATTATCATATATTTTGAGCTATGGAAAATTTTGCACTTATTTTTTGTTTGTTTTCTATTCAGTATTGTTTTAAGTGCAAGTAAAGCGCATACGTTGCCTCTTTGGTATTTTATTGTCTTCTGTCTGACATTCTTTGTTTAATCTTTCAGTACTTGAAAGGACATTCATTTGTTGATTATTTGAGTCATGGCTGCCAAATCCATTTTACGGTAAGATTTCTCAAAACTTTACGAAATCTCAAGTACAAGTCTTTTGACCAAAATTGATTTGCTTATGGCACAGCATATGCCAAGTTCCTAGCATCATTTTCTTGCTTGATAGTCTTAACGATACTTATCAGATTTTTTGTCTAGTTTGACTTAAAAACATCCTAGGTTTACTTTTTTCTTGTTAGTATTCTTGTAATAGTTTATTAGTGAATATCTCTGAAAAACCTTATGTATGCCTGGAGAAGACAATCTGGAAAGAAAACCTGGCGTTTCACAAATGCAAGTGAACTATTGTGGAATGTGGAACAGTTTCTGGTTATTTGAGAAATCATTTAACTATCACCATTGCTAAGGGGTTTTAAAAATTTTAGCCATATTACAGGAGACAGTACCAGAAATAGGTGACAATAGCAATAATGATGCTGCAATAATTTCCATTGGGTAAGTGAACCATGGTGATTTAGTCTTAAGTTTTCATTGTCGATTGATAGCAGCATTCATTACTATTTTAGGTTGCCATTGACTTCACAGCATCCAATGGTAATCCTAATGCAACTACCTCACTACACTACATAAACCCGTACCAACCCAACGAGTACACGGTCGCTTTACTCTCAGTCGGCGAAGTAGTTCAAGATTATGATACGTACGTTGTTATGTATATACTATTTATATTTTTATCATATTTAATAGTGTAAAGCATGTATGATGACATATGATTAGGCAGATCCATCCACAGATTATGCAGATTAGTTCACAGATTGGGCAGATTCATACATAGATTAGGCCATATTAGGCAGATTAATCCATAGATTGAAAAACGCCTAAATGAAAAGACGAACTTGCTTGTCCAGTGAACTTAAATTGTTTTCACTTGAATTCTTGAGCCAATGTTGACCTATGGACAAATTTATTTGGAAGTTGCAAAAAACTTGATACTGCTTATATCATCTTGTCAGTTTCAAGCCATGATAAATTGAAACTGTCGTTTTTCTTTTCATAGCGATTTCTTATCATTCCTGCTCAGCAAAAACTGAAAACGTAAGTAAGGGCCAACAATGGAGTTGCCCCTTACTTACTGAAAAATCAAAGTATTCACAACATCGAGGTGGCTTCCTGCTTTGAAAAGTTTTAGAAGCAAATATATAGAGTAATCTTTTCAATATATAGAGTGATACAAAGAGTGCATGCATGTTACTTTGTCTTATTTTTAACTGAAAATGAAAAGCAATACGAATGTAGCTTGCTCAGGATGCCATAATTCAAGCTGAGCAAGGCACACATCGTCATGCCGGCCATCACTTCTAACCCGTTGCAGTAGATAGTGGAAAATATCATTGATATGATATAGAAATTCATATGTAGCGAAATATATAAGATGAAAAGAAATAATTTATCTTTACATGACTTTCTTCATCTCTTTATTTGGTTAGGGACAAAATGTTTCCTGCTCTTGGTTTTGGGGCTAGAATCCCACCAAACTTTGCCGTAAGTTTGAAGTTCAATTGTATGCACTAAATAACAATTTTCAACTTTTAATTTCTTTTGAAATTCGACCCGCTTTTAATAATACCCCCTCAGCTTATTCCGGACCTTAGAGTACTGTATATTATCTTGTGAGTGATTTCGAGGTAATAGCAGTGCAGTCAAAGTACTATCATAATAAAAAAATTATAGCCAAACCAGAGTCATACCATAAACAGCAACGTACTTCACAGCCTGCTGCACTAATGATTTCTAACTTTATATATCTTACACGAAGTATCTAGACAACATAACAACAAACATTAACCACTACAACAACAATGGGGGAAACAGAAAGAAACACATGCAGTTACGATCAAAATTTTCTTCTAAAGTCTTCTTTCGAAGTAAACTTTTGCCGTTGTTATCTTAGACATTTAGATGTGTAATGGTTATAATAAAATTGAAAAATGGTTTATGGTCCGAGTAACTAACGTTGATTTTATGCCTATTGTTGGATTCCTTCTATGAACATAACATTCTTTTAAAAGCAGTTGTAGTAAATTTTCTTTTTATTCATCACAGGAAGCGCATCACGAATTTCCACTCAATTTCGACTTTGCAAATCCCTATTGTGCAGGTAAGAAAATTTTATCACATTGAGATGAGACATTAATTTTAGAATCTTCAATGGTCTTGAAAATTTTCCTTGATTGATTAAGGAAGTCAAAACCTCGTTGAATCAATGTATCTTAACATTTTCTAAACTCAATCTTCTCAAACACGTAGTTTACCCAATTCTTCGTACGCTAAATTCCATTCAATTTTATTCGTATACTAAAAGCAGCCTTTATCTAAAGGTAATGTCTATGTCTCCGCCATTTTAGCACCCCTTTAACAAGGTTTCTGGTTTCTTTGCCTTGATGAGGTGCTGAATCTCGTATCGTATTAAAAAACCTGCTTTTCTGTCTTACTTGAGTGTTTTACAATAAGCTTAGCTCCGGACTTCATGTTTTTTTTCTTAATTATTTGCCTAACACTTTCAAATAAGTTTCTTTGAAGCAAAATCAATCGAGATATCCAAATCAGGAAATTTCGATTTTTCGTGCGCTCTTGACTTACCTATAATGCCACACACTATTTATTTTGTGCTAGCGTTAGTTTCGTGTCCGCATATGAAAAGACTCAACATCACTGAAAAATCTGATATTTGAAAAAATCTCTTGCTGCTCAAGAGCACCAAAAGGGTATTCATTTATGCTGCTTTAATGTTTTACAAGAATCCATCTCCAGAATTGCAAAAATCTATGAGATATGAACTCAATCGATATCTTTGATTTGGTAATAAGATTTGGTATTTAGTGATAACATTTGCATAAAGCAATAAATGAAATGAAAGCAAGTTATAAAGTGTATTGTCTCCACGATTTCCCTAGAGTTCGGTATTTTATCTCACTTTAAAAGTCTAAAAGTCGCTCTAGTGTTCGGTTTTATATATTATGATTGACTTTTATCTTTCCTCGCGCTGTTAATGTCTTTATTAATTGCCAGTTAATAAATTCTACATTCTTGCTTTACCATTTTCAATTACATGTGTACGTTTTCAGGACTAAACGGAATACTTGATGCGTACCAGAATGCACTGCGCTCAGTCCAATTATACGGACCAACTAACTTTAGTCCGGTTATTCGACACGTTAGCAGATTCGCAGCAGAGGAGTCAAAGACGGGGGTAGCTAATGTAAGTCTCCTCTAGAAGATATTTTTGTAATTTTATAATGCTATAGATGTCTCTATGGAGGAAGAGAAAATGCAAAAAACAAAGTGCTCACTGGCAATAAATTCAACTGTCTGTATGACAGTTTATATCTCATGCAAATGAGCCAATCAGAACGCTCAAATATGCAATCACGTGATTTACACTGCCATGCCTGCCGACAATTGTTATTGCCAGCTCCTTTTCCACCTCTGACTGTTAGTGTAGCTGTTCAGCATCGTTCTGTTGTAATTATAAGGGGTTCTGCTAACAAGAATATGAAATATCTTTCAAAAAGCAAAATCAGTCAAAACCATGCTTTATTTTACAGGCGTACTTCATACTCTTGATATTAACGGATGGTGAAATAACAGACATGGATGAAACAATCAAAGCCATTGTTGAAGCCTCATACCTGCCATTGTCTATCATTATTGTTGGTGTTGGAAGTGCAAATTTTTCAAATATGGAGTATCTCGACGCAGACAAACAACGGTAATTGTTAGGTCGTCTTGATCTCATCAAGATTTTGTAAGGATAAAGTCCAGTAGGCTGAATGACCAATAACCTCCCCGTGAAATATCGGAAATAAACGAACGAAAATCTAATATCACTCGGATGGAGAAATTTCAAATATTTCTAGGCCTTTTATATGAAGTATGGATCAAGCTTTTTCCTGCTGTAATTCTTTGTGATTGATTTGCATTTATGTAAATATATTATGTAAATATTCCTAAGTTGCTTTTGGATCATACATTGAAGTCACCAAAACAAGAGGTGAATGGTTCCCTTCATTGCAATATTTAGGCGAGTAGACTGATATTTTTATGGTTGGGAGAGTTGACAAATGACCACTTTTCCAGATGTAATAAATGTTTAGAACCTTGCTAAGACCTTGTTAAAGACAACCGAAAAATACTAAATTGGCCAAAACCTTCTGTCAATCAACGATTGACCAATCAGTGAGCGTAGGTAACACTCACAAGCTTGTTCATTGGCTGATATTGATGATAGGTGGCTTAAGCCACTTTAGTACCTGTCAATTGCCTTTAAGCTTTCTGTTTGTTTCTGTCTGCCTTTGCCCTGCCCCGTTTTGCGTATGGAGGCCAAAGCAAATTATTTTCAGAATCATTAACATTCAATACAGGTTGTCATTTGGCGGGAAAACAGCTGCCAGAGATATTGTTCAGTTTGTGCCCTTCAGAGAATTTAAAGGGGTAAGTCACATAACATTAATTAGTTTGCTAAAAGGTGTGTCTGAGGATCAATCCACTCTGCATACTTTCTTCAGAGCATGCATCACCAAGTATGCAAGCCAGAATTACGTCACCATATTGAAAATGTCTTGTTTCGAATGTCAACACATTATCGATTCGTCAACACATGATCAGATTCGACCGCACGTTATTAGATTGGATTCGAGCGTCTACACGTTATCGGATTCGTCAAAACCTTATTGGGTTCGTCCATACGTCACTTGATTTGTTTACTTGTTATAGGATTCGTCCACACACGATCAGATTCGACCGCACGTTAGTAGATTGGATTTGAGCGTCCATACATTATCGGGTTCATCCAAACCTTATTTGATTGGTCCACACTTTATTTGATTTGTCCACACGTTATTGGATTTTCACTCTGGAGCCCGAATCAATAACGTTGCGGATACAGTAGTGTATTCGTCAAATGCAGAAAAAAATTTTCGCCAAGAATTTTTGTGTGGATGGGGCCAGGTATTCATATCTGTTGGAGCTATCGTGTTACTTTTGGTACGTTTGGATCGCTTACCAGGAGAAAACATTTTTGTTTGCGCGTATTTTGCAGAATCTAGGCTTTTGATCCTTTGTTTGTCCCGCTACCTTACCTTTAATTGATGTGTTTTGAGCTAAGAAATTTATTTATCATCTCTTCTTGATTATTGATATTTTTGCGCAATTCAATCGTATCTGGGTTTTGCTGCCGACAGTTGTATTTGGTTGTTTCATATTTTGTTTTGACTTAATGCGTCAAACTTTGTTCAATGTTATGTGTATTCGTTTTTTTAATTGAAGGCTCCTCCGCATTCCTTGGCAAAATGTGTCCTCGCAGAAGTACCAGCTCAAGTCACGTCATATTTCAAGATGAAAGGGATAGCCCCAAATATTTAGTAGTATTTCAGATACTTTCTAGCTTTTCTAATCTTTCCTTGTTTAGCTAACTGAACGTTGAAATTTTGAAATGCAAGAATTTCACGCTGAAATTTCATATTAATGCTTCAAAAAGACATAGTATGATTATTTTTAAAAGGCCAGCCAAAGATGGTCAGTGATACTTTAAAAAAGATAAATGCGCGGCCAAAACTAACAACTCAGGCACAGCCTACTGTTCACCAACCACCACCCCTTCCTACTTTTGGCAATTGATACAATTATCTTAACTTGCAAAAATCGTGTGAATTTGATCATTTTAGCTACTTTAAGTTAATTATACTTCCGATCCCACCCCTAAACTTATGCAGTGGGCGATCAGATTGATCTTCCCCTTCCGACCCCACCCTTCCGACCCCACCCTTCCGACCCCACCCTTCCGACCCCACCCTTCCGACCCCACCCTTCCGATCCCACCCTTCCGATCCCACCCTTCCGATCCCACCCTTCCGATCCCACCCTTCCGATCCCACCCCAAGACTTTTATCATATCACCACTGCTTACTTTAATCGGAACGAAATTTTCTCTTCGGGAAACGCTCTGTGAGTAAAATTCTTATTAGGCAAATTTGATTGGGTTACGGTTATTTGATTTTTCCAGTAACCGCCTCATGTATTATATCACATCTTATTCCGGTTAACAATTTTTTTAATTGACTGCGTGATATTATATATTACACTGTGCTCCGGGTATTTAATTTTCCTAGTAACCTCCTCGTGTATTATATCACATCATATTCCGGTTAACAATTGTTTATTGACCGGGTCATGCGATATATTACACTGTGTTACGGTTATTTAATTATTCTAGTAACTGCCTCATGTATTATATCACATCCTATTCTGGTTACCAAATTTTATTGACCGCGTCATGCGATATATTACACTGTGTTCCGATTATTAAGGTATTTCAGTGACCGCATCATGTGATATACTGTGCTTCGGTTATTACGTTTTCCAGTGACCACCTAATATTTTATACTCTATCAAAGAATAGAGCTTACAGACTTCAAATGGCAGACTTGGTTAGTTGGTTGGTGAGAAAGAAGCGTAAAATATGCAGGAGAGAAAAATAGTTCTGTACACGCCTTGAAGCAACTGCAAATAAGAGAAAATCTCCCTTAACTTTTATGTGACAATTTTTTTCATAAAAACAGGTTTATAAGAACACGAGCCTCGAAACTGGTAAAAAAACAAAGTAAAAACAAGCTGAGGCAAAGGTGCTGTGAAATGAAATTTTGAACAAAGTTTGTTTACATACCCTTCCAATTATTGGCATGACCTGTCAAGATCCCACCAAAGAAAGGAGAGTAGAAATTTTAAGCCTATTTCTTCTACTAAGACAATGTCGGAACAAATTGAGAGCTATCCAACCTCAAATTTTCAAAAGAATTAAGAACAGATAGCCTGAACGTCAATGTATTGTTTCTTATAAAAAATAAGTTTAGTTTTTGCTTCATAATTTAGCAAGGTATTGATAACATATATTTTGTAAAACATATTTACGGGTAATTTGCTGGTTGTTGGGTTTATTTTCTTTTTTAATTATAAGGATCTTAATTTCATTGTCACTTAAATATTAATACATATCAAAGTATGCTTTTAATTTTGACACTTTACACCTTTAAGATTATCCGTTGATTTAATAAAATACCATATGTAGTAAGAATCGAGTATACTCTAAGGATATTATTTCTTTTTGAACTATCGAATCAACACCAGGCCGCGTTGATTGACGTGGCCTAGCAGTTTAAGCCATTATCCGTCAGGTTGATGTTTGTGTCTTGGTCAATCTCCCCCTCTTTACCTAGCAGTCAAATTTGTGCCCAGCTATGAGTCGGGTGAAGACAAGGTGATGAACAACCGGCAACTTACCTCACCCTCCAAGTGTCCTCTCAAACAGGCACTATCACTACTTTACTACTGTACCAAAACCGTATTTGTTTTGGAAAGTTGGTCTATATAAAGCTCCTTAAAGGGCGACAATCTGTAATACCTATTGGTGATTTTTATAACGTTTCAGGATATCAAATCGTTTTTTCCTCAAAATGGTAATTTTTAGCCAAAAGTTTCCTAAGATCATCGAACTGTTGTAGGAGCCAAGTAAACAAAATTAGATACATAAAAAATTGTCTCGGATTAGAGACTGCATTTCAATAAATTAACAATTTTGCAACTTCTTTACTTTATGCAAATACTGACCTCCATAGCAAAACAATCTTATCTCGCCAAAGATAGATTTTCCTATCAAATTAAAATGATTTCTTGTTTTCCCAAACGGGAGATTCAGAATTGGTTAAAACACAGTTATTTTTTGGCAATTTATAAATATTTCTTGGCAAAATGTTCGAGGTTTGCTTTTTTACAAAAATTGTTCTCCATAAATAAACATTCTCTTCTCGCAGAGGAAGACTTCTTTTATCAAAATGAAATGCTTTCTAACAGTTTCAAATGGAATTATGGAAATTTGAAGTGGTAAGAGCACAATGATTTTTCTTTCTTTAATTGAGTTTTCTTCAATTTCTTTAATAGCCCAAACGTCTTTGTCAAACTAAACTTCCCTCTCAGAGGCAAAGGCAAAACTCAGATAAAGTAAAAAATAATGTTAATGAGATTGTTTTGTTGAAGTGTAGCCAAAAGAAACATGGAATTTGGAAGATTTGCAAAGTTGTTGAACTGATAGAAGGCAGGGATGGTAACTGCAGAATGGCCATGGTTCAGGTACCGTCAGTAGGTGGTAAGAAGGTTTTTATTAGATCTTTACAGCATCTGATACCTCGACACAGTCTAAGCATCACTGTCTCCATAAAAAGGGGAAAACATTAAGGTATGCTTTCGTACTGCATTCGTGTAAACAATCTGAAGTCAAAATTGAGTCACTGGTGGGCCTGGAACAGCGCATATATGAATAAATTTAGATCTTCAAATTGTAAATTCATGTAAAAAATAAATTCTTGGTCATACATTTGTGTTGGCATGTATTAAATTGCTTGCATAAATATTCAATATGTTACAAATATTAAACAACAACGTTAAAAATTCCTAATTTGTTATCAAAACATTTCTTGCCGTCTTTCACCAGTGATACACAATCAAACTTCACAGTCACCATGGCTTCATAACCACAAACAGACAAATGAAAGCACTTTCCTTATATCTGCTTGTGATTATTCTAAGGTCTCTTTGCGCCACTAGCCTTCAGTTCCATATCCCGCAACGCTCTCTTTAGACGTTCTATTTCTTTGTCTCTCTCTTGCAAGTCAAAGCGAAGAAAGGAAATTATCTGCAAAGATTGAGACTATTTCAAAGCATGCCCATGGCTGAATAGATGACTAAATATTGCTAAACTGGAAATTACACGCTCCTGTGTGTAAACAATGAATGTTTAAAGCTACTATTCTGATTTTCAGGCTCAAGACGACTGTTATTCATACGACATAGCCATAGTCCGGTTACCAATTATCTAAATGCATTCTTTTGCTACTTCAAACTGGTTATGAATAAAAGAAGGATTGTGCACAGCATAAATCAATCTGGTACAAGTAGAGTTACATGGAAATCTGCATCGCAAAAGAAATATCAAGGCACAGGACGAAGAACATTGTGTAGAAGGAATTTAATCACACGAAAACTGCTCATAAACAACAGATTGAAGCAAGGGAATAATAATTGGCCCACTTACATTGTCCTTGTCTTGGAAAAGCGGCATTTTCAAAATTGCACGTGCATCTGGTCTCTTCCATGGGCTGGGCTCGGTCATCTTCAAGATTAAATCGCCCTAGGAAAAGCATTTCAAAAGAATAAAGAAGAAGATTTTAAACCAACTCAGGTCAAAGTCAAATTGCAGCGAAATTAAATAGCATTTCAGCAGCATTTATGCAAATAAGCAATAATTTTAGGCCCATGTTTACATTAAACAGAGTAAAACACTGCTCTATTTCTTAATAATCCGTCGATAATCAAAGATCAACCTCGTTGCCCGATTTGTTCTTTACTTGTACTGTAAAGTTTACTTTGTTCAGTCATAGTCACTGCCAGTAAACTAGCATTGGTCACATGACAGTACATACAATCTGACAAGACATGTAAGCCAGCCGTTATACTACCAAGCATTCAATGGATGTAGAGCTAATTGTAAGAAAGCCTTCTGTACCACGTGACTTCAAAAATTGCATCAAAAGCAAACACAACGCATTACGCTTAAGCTTGTAAGGAAAAGTGGTGTCCGATTGGCCAGGCCAACACAGGGAACCAATCGAGTGCTTCTGTTTTCAGTTTCATTGAGAAACCAGTGAGAGCATGAAAGGGCTTTAGGCGTAGGAAAAAGCGAAATTACCACTTGTGGCCATCTCTCCATAATTTGGCAAGGCAGATCTCCTTTGCGTAGGCCTCTAAACAATTCGTGTCTCTCCATGGCGGTCTTGAACGGCATGAACAATTCAAATAGAATTATACCTAAGCTATAAATATCGGCCTAAAAAGAGAAAGGATAGAAATCTTGCCAAAAATTTTAACGTACGAGAAAGTAATCAGTGATCTACTTTAGAAGACTTACAGTAGCAATAACACCTAGTGTTTGCTACGTTAGCATTAAGCGTTAGAAGTACAAGTGGCAAGGCCGTAAAAATGACAAAATGGACAGGGTACCACGCCAAAAGGTTTCAACGTAAATCTTATTGAACTTTTCTCCAATTGGTTGACATAATGCTGCTAATAGCGTTATTATATCGTTACAAGTCTGTCTATATCATCGTTTATGTCTAGCTAGCAGAATATCTGGATACTATCTAATGCCATTCAGAACTATATTAAGCCATGTGGTTTTTGGCCTTCCAATAGGTCCCTTGAAAGATTTTTATCAGTTGCATGTTTAACGACGTTGAAGAGCAAATGTTTGGTGGCTACACATCGTTTGACATTCCTGATGATGGTGTTAGCAAATCTCGTTTTAAAATTCTTTAAGACTGACATACAATAAAAGGCAGTGTGATAAAGCTATCTATATAATATTTGTTAATTTACAGCATACTAAAGGCTCCTTATTCTGAGACTCCTCAGAGCATAAAACGTCAGAATAAGGGTCCGAAAGAATAAGATGGAAAATATATATCCAGTTGTGGATCGCGGTACAGATTGGAAAACTATACCGGTCCTGTGCTTGCGTTTTTTATTCTGACGTTTTATACTCTGAGGAGTGTCAGACGAAAAAGCTTATAATATTTGTTCTTCGACGCCATCAGAAGATTGCTCACATGGTAATGTTATGCCGAATAGCATGTAAAGATGAATAACAAGTATATCTACTTCACTGGAAAGAGACATCAATAAAACAATAACATTACCAGGAAGATTCACTCAACCAAATATTCTGCCATCCAAAATATGGATAGATAAGCTACTAATTGATCAATAATTGAACATAAATGGAGAAAACTCCGAAAATAAGCAGCTACCTTTTTGGTGTATGTATTAGTTTCTAATTGTTCAGGTGCTGCATACGTTATGGTACCAACCCCTTTCGTCGCCAACTGTCCGTTATCCGAATCTAAGAAGCAAGTGGACGATTAAAAAGATTATGGAGCCTTTTTGAAAAGCGGAAGAAAAAATGAGACCATCTGGAATTGACTGTCATAGATAAAAAAGTCACAGAAAAACTTAGAAGTAGGCAGCTGTGTTAGGATACACCGTTGTTTACGCAGAGAAAGTAAAATGACGAAACGAACAAAGCCATTATGTTACCCTGATAGATATAAACACTAGCCTTATCAACTACCCTATGACAGGGTAACAAATAAAATAGGTTTTTAGTAGAATTTAACGTATTGAAATTGGTATTTCAGTGTTTTTATTCCATCTTTTTGGCTAACAGATTGAAATAAAAAAGTCTTTTTCGTACCAAACAGTTCAATTAACGCGTTTCTTCTTTCACGGTCCATTGGGTTGAAAACTGCATCGCGGGCCAAACCAAAATCTCCAATTTTAACCCCGATGTCTCCTGAACAATCCCTCTGATTCAGGAACACGTTGCAGGGCTGCAAAGTGAGACCAAACAGTAATAACAATTTACATTAACATGGCAAAACAAAAAGATGCGAGCTTTGATGCGATGAGTCCTTTCAAATCGATGTTCAGCTCAAAAGGAACAGCCCCGCTCTATCTTGACAGTTTCAAATCACAACCAAATTGTACGTGTTGGCTTTTATCTCAAAGCATTGGGAAACAATAAATTAGACCTGGCGAATACTACCCTGCATTCAGAAAACAATTACATAAACAAAATGGCCTAGACATATTAAAACTGATTGTAGCAGAACACTTTTTGGCATGCATATGGAACATTAACTCTTTTTTAGAAAGATCTGTGGCAAAATAGGGCCTAATTCCAGAATTGAATGTGGCCAGACTAGCAGCATGCATACTAAAAGGAAGATTCAGAGAGCGTACTTTCAAATCTCGATGCATGAGGCTCTGTCGATGAATGTAGTCAATCCCGTGCAATATCTGCTCAAAGATTCTCAAGTTGTTACTCCAATCAACTTGTCCACCTGACAAATAAATAAACAGGTATAAATACAAAAGTAAAGCATTAACTCACTTTTGCAAATAGAAAAGAATAAAGAAATATGCATCAACACCAAAAAAACCCACCATGATCTGAAATTGTTTCGTTTCTGTCAGTTAACCAATGTTTCAATGTTATTGAGCACAATTCCATTTGTATATGCATAACAATTGCAATGGTCTAAAAAAGAAGAAGAAAACTTCAAATTATTTTAAAATACTGATGAAGAAATTACCAGGAGTCTTAGCTTAGACATTTTGGATTTTCCTTATGTTAAAAAATGTCCATGAAACTAGCACTGATAAAAATTTGTCTAATGTTACATTCTGAACAAGGGATTCCCTTAAATTCTATTATCATTAGCTCAGCCAACTGAACTTTAGGATATACAACAAAATTTATGTCCCATATAATGCATCTTTAAAATCGATGCAGTTACCATGACATGTGACAAAAGGCGGAATTATTTCATTACAGTATGGGGAAAATTTGGTCTAAATCGCAAAAATAAAAAAGTTGGTATAAAGAGAAAAAAATTGGCTCCACTTTTCTACAGCTACTCTGGATCAATTTCAGGCTGTTTGGGCCGGATCAAAGATAAAAATTAATTAATACTACAAATTAAAGAGATAATTCACTGAATGAGGACAAACGACAGGGGACTTTTGATGGCCTATTTGAAATTCAAGGTGCATGTTTGTATAGGTCGGGTTAAAGAGTAGAAAATTTTGAGAAACTAATTAGGGAGGGATGCAAAAGTATGAATAAGAGCAAAAAAATTAGATAAAGTAATTAAAAAAAGTAAAAAAGATAGAAAACATAGTTTGACCCGTGTTTTTACAGAAATACTTACGGAAAGGTCGTCCTGGAATCCAGAGGTTTGGGGCGATAATCGCCTTACGACAGCTAGATTATCGCTTTTATCAGAAGCTCTGAAATCAGGGTTTGCAGTCAGCATGCGTTTTCGACAATGAAATGCTGTTTTACTGGTAATTGTGTCTTTAATTTTGCAGAAAGTGTTACTAAGGTGTCCCTTTTGCAGCAAACCAAAGTCTAAAGAACAAAAAGATCAACATCAAATTTATAAAGAAAAAGATTGCAAAGAATACTTAAAGCTAAAACAATGTTACAGTTAGGAAAATATTTCAATTAAGTGACAGAAGATATCGTAACAAAATACTGAAGGCTACTGAGCTCCAAAGGCAGCCGTTTTTAATCCAAACCAGAAAGACAATATCAACTACAACTTTTCTCTTATTGCCAAAAGATGATTTCCAATGGAAGTTAGCCATAAAATTTCAAGGAATGAACATATCTGCAATCTATTGTAACTTATTCGCTGGGGACTCCCACGTGGCGGGCATCTCCTTTGCAGCAAATCATGTTTCACATCTATGTAAGTAGCACCATTCAATGAATTTAAGTAAAAAAATTTGCATGTGCTCAGAAACAGACTTCAGCCAGTTTTAACATTCAAAATAGCATAACAATAAAAAGCTGACTCTAAAAGATATTAGAAAGTACTTAACACGGTTGACACAGCGGAAATACTTCATTCACGCTGAACTGGAAAATTCTGCAAAAAGGCAAGATTGTGGCTACGAGAACAGTTAAGGACACAGTAGCTTGTAGGTACTGAATACAAATGCTGAGCTTCGAAGATTTACCGGTAGTTCTAATTTCTTCTCTGACATTGACTTGTACACCACTGAAACCGTAGGAGTCAGCTTTAGTCCCAAAGTGCATCTGGTCTGAATTGCTTTTCGTTTCTCCTCCGCTCTCAAAAAAGATCAGGGAATCGCTTTTTTCCAGCGCAGTGCTCTCACCATCATAACAGAAGAGACTTGCTTCTGATAGGTCATCCGGTGGCCTAAACGAAAACAATTTACATTCTTGTACAAAAAGAGAAAGAAGCTACGTTATTCTAGATATCCAATGAGAGGCAATCACACTCGTTATAAGACAACAAAGCAGTGACGTCACGCAAGGAAGACACTAAAAATCTATTCTTGAGAAGGAAGTACGTAAACAGAGCAAAATTTAACAGCTTTTCGAAAAAAGTCAAAGAATGCAGAGAAATGAACAAGTTTCGAAAAAGGTTTGGAGCAAGCATTATGGCATCAAACATCAAGTAAATTTAATATATTAGGTTTAATCTCATTTTATCCATTCAAAGTTTAAATTTGTGTGAGCCGTAAATTTCAAAAATCGAAGTAATAAAATTACTGTCCTCATAATTACCTCAAATACTGAGACGAACCCAACGACTCTTGCGATACTTCAAGATCTTCCAAATGACCTAGAAATGTTTCAACGTTAGGATTCATAAATTGAAAAGCCTCCTTCAGTGGAAATGGCTACAGGATTTATATATGTCGGGTTTTAATGCAGAGTAAATATAAAACACAAGGTGGTCAAAATGTGAGCGAAACAACGGATATTGCAATGAAAGACGAATCCTGATAATAACTAGATTATTGATACCCTATCAATTATCTACCATACAGTGCCATTAATTATGTAAAAAACTGAGGGTAGCCCACATGACCCCCATTTCTAGCCTCTCCAAATACCTTCAAAGTTCTTGCTTGTTGTAATTTTAAAGGAATGGTGAATGCATCAAGCGTTTTCCGTGACGTTTCATTCAATTTTTACCATCATCCTGTCTATCTTACTAATATTTTCTATAACTTTGGTTTAAAGCTCACTGTAGATGAACCCGTAAATTTGGCAACCTTGAAGTATACGCATAGCTTAAACATGCCTCTTTCTGAATGCGAGATTAAGTAAGCCACGGTGAGAAAATTGTTGCATCGACATGAATATATTGCGCAAAAAATTAAAAAAAGTAGCGAAGCTAGGTAAATCTGTATTAGCTAGAAACTATATTAGCCAAAAAATAAACATGAAGCAAAGCTTTTTGCTACCTTGAGAGCGTTTTTTCTTTTCGGCTATGGCATATTCTAACCAAGCAACATGATAGCGAACAATATTGGGATGATCCAAGTTGGCAAGTACCTTTGCCTCCCTGAGGGTCTGCAACAACAAAACATGATTTTAAAACAACAACGATAGACTACATTATACCAGCCACGTAGATGCAGGGGGCATGGGGGAGCTGTGCCCCCCAAATGAACATTTTGCCAACAACTCTTCGCTCTGGCTACAGTTTTACCAAATGATATTTTTAAAAGTTGCCATGATTAAAATTCCGGGGACACTTATTTCTGAAAAGTAAGCGAAATTAAAACCTGTTTAATTTTAAAATATTCCATATCTTGAAATAATCAAATGTGATGTGTGCAGCTGTGGCGTCACAGAATAGAGAGAGGTGGCATGTAGAGCCAATGCAAGTTCAAGCAGACCAACGACATTGGAAACAAGTTTTTGCTGGAGAATTATGAAGTCGCTGCTCTAGTTCTGATTATGATAAACAGAATCGCAAAGACGTGCGATAATGCTTCGGCAAGGGATGGATGCTTTTTTTACATCTATGACATAGGAATGATGCTCCAAGAAGACGAAGTGTACCCTTTCCTTATAAGAACAATTTTATAAGAACACAAGTCTCAAAATTGGTCAAAAGTTAAGAACAAATTAAGAACAAGCTCTGACTGAGCTTCTGCAAAATGCAAATAGAAACAACGTTTTATCTCAAAAACGAGGGTTTTTGGCCATGTGTGGGTGCATTTTCGGCAAATACTCAAACTTGTCGGCAAATGAAGGTTGTCTCACTCACTTTCCTTGCAAATGAGGCCTGAACATCTCCCTAAAGCGAAAGTGTTAGCACTCGCAGTGTTTACACCCTATTAAATTAAGAACAAATCATGAACAATCTAGCCCCAGATTTTCGAAAAAATTTCTCGAGCTATATCTTTCGAGGAATTTTCATCTGAGTGGCTACGAACAATTTGCAGTTTGCTTTTTTGACATACGTAATTGATTCATTCTTCTGTTTCTGACTCAAATTTGTAACCCTGATTTACTCCAGATATATCTGTTTGTTATTTATTTGTTTGTTTTTGTTAAAGGCTTGCAGCCCCCCCCCCGAGGTATGGTTCTCGCTCGAGTTTGCTCACCCTAGCCGAAATCTACAGCTACGTGGTTGTATCATACATCAAAATTGACATCTACGAACAAAAATCTATAATCTCAAAGTCTTTGGAAGGTCGAATTATTCTGAACCATTCTCTGTTAGACTGTCCAACTATGTGAGGGATTATCAGTTGTTGATTGGTCAAAAACAATGAACCAATCAAACACGCCACTCTTCCTCTCACGTGACACTTTCGAACCACACCAGGCATGAAGAGTTGAACATTTGGTCATTACCTGACGCTTACACTCAAAGAACTGCCAGAAGAAAAGTTTCTTATTACGCTGTCTTTGCATTTTGGTTGCTACTTTTAAAGTTGCAGATATTGTAACTAGAACATATCAAACTCCCTGTGACTTTCTTTATTATTAATCAGTTATTTCATGTCCTTTCTCCGCCTAATGCTCTATCACAATACAGGTAAATAAACCTTGCAGCAAGACGTAAACCACTCCTTTAATCATTCTCTTGGACTACGAATAAATTCAAAATTAATTTGCTACAATCATCAACAGGAGAATGTACATGTAATACCTTCAAGCATTCGACTGGGTTCAACTGATCAAGCACAACCTTTTTAACAGCATACCGCTTCCCATCTAATTTGTTCACAGCTTCAAAAACCGACCCAAAGCCTCCCTCGCCAAGCTGATCAATCTCTTCAAATTCCTCCCTATACCTTGAAGGGGTATGGATGACTGAATTCCCTCCTTGTCGCTTTGACTTCACCGAGCTGCAAGAAATCAAGAAATCGTTGAAAGTACAAAACAAATTAGGTATAATGACTTACAAATACTCAGTAGAATGAGATTGTGCATTCTCCTTTTATCATTCAACTTTCAATAGAAAACATTTGGAATCACGTTATAGTATTCCTTCATACACCTAAAAACCTTACTGTAATCGGTATGAAATATAAATGATTCGGGCAATGAAACAGTGATATTTAATTACGTCATCAATAACATGTGTTTCTCTTTAGATTGCCAACTCTTTATTCCACCACCTATTTCCAACGGGTCTTACTAAAAAGGCAGTTAATCCCAAAGGAGAGTGACCCAAGAATTGAAACGGCATGGCCACAAATCGCTCAACAATTTTGCATCGATTTTAAAGCAGTATTGAAAATTCTTGAGAAAAAAACCACAAATCATTACCTTTCAGATAAATACCACGACAAGGGCCTTTCAACAACTTCAGTTTCTCGCTGAAAAAGCAGTATTTTATTCTAAGCGATGTGAAAACTACAATCACGCAGTGGTATTTCATTGTAGTATAGCTACTGTTCAGAGAATTTTCAGAGGACCTCCAAAGACCTGAATTCGATGAAATAATGATGCATTTGTATTATCATTTGCTACAAAGGATCTCAAGGAAAAAGAAAACAAATATGCATGGAGAAGAGCTTGAACGGCATGTGATGGAATAAGACCTTAAAGACTGATGGAAGGGGCAACAAGAAGAAAGCAGACATCATTTGCCCAATAGATAAGGAACAATGCATTGATTAAAAGACATGCCCCTTGCAGGGCAAAACAAAACAATAGAGGTTGTACGATCGTACAGAATACAAAATTGCAAACAATTTCTTGGTGGTAAAAAAATAAAAAAGGCATTTTGAAACATGCTTAAGTTCTTCGTTTGGCACTCTTTACAGTATAAAACGTCAGAATGTAGATAGAAAACTCTAAGCTAGGAGGTACACATACCCAGTTGTGGATCGATATGGACCAATCAGAAAGGTGAGCACATTACTGTTAAGTTTGTGCACTTACCTATTGAAAATATTACCAGTGGTGTCCCAAGAATAAAACGAGCTCCTTCTGTCTACACTGCAGCCTTTTTCATTTTTCATGTAGATAGAAGCTAAAGTTGCTAGATGGAATGACGATCGAGATCCAAAAATCATTCTATGTCGCCATGAGTTGCTATACTCGGAACAGTGTTGGATGAAAAGATTGTGTATGTTTCAAATTGTCAGCCTTTTTCAAAGCCATTTTTAATACAAAGATGGATGGTGAAAGGATACAAGGAAGTGGGTGTTCCAACAACTCACCTGACTAAATGCAGATATGTATGCTAGAATGAAACATAATTTACCTGTTTTTGAGTAGTTGCAACTGCAAACTGCATCAAATCATTTAAGGCACTTCTATACTTGCTACGGATCAGTTTGAATTCATCGTGAATTGCAAAAGCCGGGATGAGCTAAAAGTTATTATTAAGATGAATGTACATTTATATACTTGCACATGTTTATAAAAAAATTACTACACGTGTTTATGCACAAAATGGTGAGAGCAGTGCCTGGTGTCCAAAGAAATGAGCAGAAAAAAATATAGAGTTATAATAGAGCTATGTATATATTAATATGTTCAAAATAACAACTGTGAGAATGACAATTTAGTGAAAATACATTGGCAGAACATTTAATATACTGTTGTTGTATGTAATGAAAAAAAAAATTTTCTTGTGAGAATAAGGCATAGAAATTTGTAACAAAACATCTTTAAAGCTTAATTAAATTTTTAAAACCCCAGTTACATTCATAGAACACTTAAGCATAAAATCATAAAAGATGAATTTCTTCATTGCAATGAGATTCATTACAATGGCATAGTCTAACAGATTACTTGTGACCTTATTCTGTTTTGCTTAATTTGATGATAGACTTGGAAGAGATCATAGGCTGGACAATGCAGACAGTATGCCACCCATGTGGAGTTATTTTGTGAAAAGGTCTGAATACATACCTTCATTGTTGAAAGCTGTTGACATAGGACTGCAATAGATAACAGTGTTTCAATAAAAACAACTCAGACCTAACAAAATTGAAACTGTTAAGTTGATAAACAGTTATACAGCAGCAAATTGTGTTATATGGATTGGACAGCAGGTGGAATGCATAGTGGAATGTTTTGTTCATGCTTAGCTACATATAAATTGATAATAACCTAACCAGGTGAGAAATAAAATTGGAAAGACAAAGAGCAGAAGATATAGAAAAGAACAGACACCAGGCAAAAATCAATCATAAAAATGTACACTGGGCAAAAGAGGAAAAATGAAAAAGAATGATTTGAAATAATAGTCTAAGGTAAGCTTTCATTGGTACAATATCAAATGAAATTATGGCTCCAGTTACATATTTGTATTAAAAAATTTGCAGAAAACTGAAATGTTTTTGCTAAATGACTCTGCCCAGAAACATAAATTGTTATGTCAATGAATTAATTTCAATTACTTTTTCAACTAAAATGCATTTTTTACTCTAGATCACAGCTTCTTTTCTAGTGACAACCCTCGTGACAAATCTTTTCTACTATATTAACAGCCTTCATGAAGAATCTGAATAACTTGATTTCTTGGTTTGCAAGACCTTCAAATAAATAGCCACTATCCGAGTTGTAAGTTACAAAGTAAGGTTTTATCTTTTCTAGGGGTGTACCGGATCAGGATTTTCAGAATCCGGCCGGAACCGGATTTACCGGATTTCTTCGTGGAATATCCGGCCGGATTCTACCGGATAATCTGACCATTTATAGAATTTTCAGTAATAAAATGTTTTGAGCCACTTTGCGAAAAAATGTATAGCGAGAAGATCAAAGAGACCTATTCAGGGTTGCCAGATTGAATTTACAAACGAAGCCTAGACTGGTGAGCAATTTAAGCCAAAATGCTCATAAAAAGGCCAAATCAAAAACTCTCTCAAGAATCCATCGAGCAGGCACTTGTTATATTTCTACGCTTGTGCCTGTTAGATAATTTCTTAGCTTTGATAAGAATCTTACTTTTTTCCAAAACCCTTTGCTAATATCAAGATAATATTTAGGTTAAGTGATAAAATTTGAAATTTGGTTAACACTTTGTAGTTAACTACTAAATTTTCCATGAATGTAGTAATTACTTATTAATTTTAGACGTTCTGCTGAAAAGGCCAACAAGGTCAAATTTAAGTAGTAAGCAAAAAACAATTTTTCCAGGCAATCTAAATCTAAAAACCAAAAATGAAAAATTTGGCCTAAAAAGCCGATCTGGCAACCCTGGACCAAATTTGTGAATTATATCATCCAGTTATCCTGTTTCGTGATGACAGCACTTTCATTTCAAATCTGTTTTCAAGGCGCTTGTTTTATCGTCGATATTGTTTAGTTCTGGAAAATCCATTTTTAATCACTGTATGAAGGGAGTCTGACTTGGTTTTCCAAATTTTCTTAGTTATGATTAAAGTTCTGGAAAATCCGGCAACTGGCCGGATTTCGAAAACAAATCCGGCCGGAACCGGATTTTCAAAAAATCAGCGATCCGGCGCCGGATTATCTGGCCTACCGGATATCCGGTACATCCCTAATCTTTTCTCCACCTAAACCATATTTACGACTGATTAAATGTGTGTTTGTGTAAATAAAACCTTAGCTCTTAGTGCATCAAATTAAGGAATCTGAATTCATTGAGACTCACTGATCAAAAGTAAACTTACTTTGAAATAGCTCATCACTTTTATCATGCTGGTTGTCATAAAGGGTGCATATGTGTTCAAGCAGAGCAACAATTAACAAGTGACTTGGAACCGCTTGCTGAAACAACTGGACAGCATTATGGTTGTTTGGTTCTGTACTTAATGAGGCTGGGCTACCACTGGTTTCACTTGCTGGGTTACTTGGAAAATCTGACAAATCCGAGTCTGAAAAATACGAAAGATTTATAAAGAACATATAGAATCTGGTTTTACCCCCATTAATAAATTTTAAGTACAAAGATCCCAGACTCCTGTTATGAGAACTTGAGAGTTCCTGTTTTCAGAACTAAAATTGCATATAGTGAAATATCTAGTAAGGAAACAGCACCAATTTGATTAATGGTAGTTATTTAGTTAGTGATTTTGTTTCATGAAGTGAGCAACACATATCAGGAATGCATTATTAGACAGAGGAGGCCAGTGAAATACTATGACTTTAATCCCTGCTTTTGTATGACGAACACATCACATTTACAGAGTAAAAACAAAGGTACTGGCTATTCACATTATTTGAAACGTCATCCTTATAACAAAGATGTTAGCAAGGACTATTGTTGATATGCAAAGCCTCCAAGCAGGAACCCAAATCAGGGTCTATGAAAACAAACATTGAGGGCCACTATGCATATAGCTTTGGAAAGAAACTGTTATTAGACTAATAACACTAATACCGCTGTAAGTCACCCCTGTCTTTAGACTTGGCCATGGACAATTGAGAATTTTGATTAATAACTCTTTGCAGGATCACAAATGACAATATTCTGCCAAACTTTGACATAAAATAAGCAATTAAAGAATTTGCTTTTGTTTTCCCTCTTTTTTATCTTGGAAAATGAAAAAACTAATCATTGAATAATTAAGTTTTTTATCTACGCCAAGCCATATACACACAAACATTCCGTGGAGATTGCAAGAACTTAAAAACCAAACCTCACCTTCAAACTCACTAAATCTTTTAAATGCATCTTCTCCAAGGCTAATGTTTTCTTTGAAACCACTGCCAACCAGCCCATTAGAAATTCTGCTGGAACAATCGTTTAAACTTGTCCTCACCATAGGCATTGTCTCAAAAAATTTTGGGAACTGAAAAGAATTCCTCGTCCCATTTCTGCTTTGGTCATTCGTACCGAAACCATACATTTTCATGGAAATATTTTGGTTTATCCACTGGATTAATCTTCTTTGTTCTTAATCGGCATTTGGAAGTAAAATAAGTTTGTTCCTGACAGTTGTTTTGGAAGCTTGCCCTTGACCTAAGAGTTAGGTGGTCACATCAGGCCAAGGCTTTGACGATCAATGAGAGTGATGATTTTCAGATTAATTCATATCATTCTTTATGCTGAGCAATGACTTCCATTTCTTCATTCAATTCATGTTCTTGACAACAACGAAAAACTTTAATCTACTACCTCAACCTGTATAATATTTTCATTCCAATTTTACATTACCGAACAGACCGTTATCATTAGGCCATGTAGCCATCTTGTTTCATTTCAACATCATTACGAGGCGATTCCTATTACATCATAGCAGGAAACAGAAACAAGCTTCGTAACAAGCTAAGTTTTAAGTGTCATGATTATAATACAATTCGCGTTATCATGATTATAGTCAATGACAAGCGATCGCGACCTTGCGAAAGTTTACACTTCGTTAAAAAAGTCTTATATTTGCTAAATTGAATAATTTGTCAGACAATATCACAACTTAAAAGAACTACTTTAGTACGACTCCGCTTCTCTTATACCCGATAAAATTAGACAATCTGTATTTGCACTGTGAACTTGGTTTTATTCATCAATGTTAAATTTGAAAATCCCTAAGAAATTCTTTACAACTATCCAGAATTCCTGAAAAGTGGTAGCCTTGTATTAAGAGGGTACATTTTACTCTAGGTCTTTGAAAACTACCTAATCTGTGTGGCAGATCTCCCCTCTCCCCACCAAGAAATGAATTGCTTTGATTTTAGACCAAGAGATGATTTGGCAATGTATCTTTCAAGTAAAATGTATATCAGTTTATCACTAATTAAAATACTTCTTCATCTGTTTGCTATAAAGTGTCCGGTACCGTAGAGGATACATTTGGTGTGTAGAACAGGACGGTTCCAAGTTGCAATCTCAGCGTTTATTAAGAAGACCATAAGGCAACTGATCATACTGTTTCTTACACACTGGAATCATTTACTGTGGATAGGCGGTGACACGTGGAGAAGCCTTGTCTTTTCATCACCGGGTTTCATCTTTTGTGAATATTTGCAAAATAAAAGGGTATGCAAATGAAGATTAAGTTCGTTTTCTCTCTTGGACTCCAGTGGTAATTTTTCTTTAGGCAAGCGGCACTGATTGGACAACTATACCGGTCTTGTGGTTGCGTTTTTCTGATTGGCCTATTTCGATCCACAACTGGATATATATTTTTCAACGTGTTCTTTTATGCTCTGAGGAGTGTCAGACGAAAAAGCTTTTAGCCAATATGTTATAAATTGTTTGCTTTTTACAAAGCTATTTCAAGTTTTGTACCGCTGAAAAACTGTTCAATTGATACAGTAGTGTACAGGCACAGTAGATTCACTGCACAAACAAACAAAATTTATCCTCAAGATCAATTCCTTACGAATTTCTACTAAGGAATTCTACAATTCAATTACTAAATGAATCAATGCAAGAATTACAGACTTTTTATATTAAATATGATGATTTCTAGAACTAGAACGTTACTGAAAATTATCATAAAAAGAAAATTGATAAAAAAGGTGGTTTGCTGTTGGAATCATATCGACCAGTCAAGGAAATATATGAAAAAAACATATACTAGCTGGAGACGACCTATGGGGATGATGAAAAATTTAGCATAATTGCGAAGAAAATAAACCAGGGCATTTGTGAGTAAGCTGTCATTACAAACAAGAGGAGCATAGGTTGGGCGCCACATTTTGGAGATCCTGTTTTAACTTATACCATAGTCTTATGACTATGCTTATACCGTCATAATCACCTTCCTATCACCAATGAGGTCAAAACTTACAATAGCTTCGTAACAGACAATAAAATCAAGACGGGTTTGACAAATCTTTTCACATTTTAAATTGAAATCGAAATTCTTAATTAATAATGAAATATGAAAAAATAAAAGTAGCTATAGAACTGAGCATTTTAATTATGGAAGAATTATGGAGAAATTATGAGTTGGTGCATTCAGAGAAGATGATTCTGCTCACAACAAATGACGTCATAGAAAGCTTATGAAAGGTTGTCCTAAGGTTATCCACAGATGCGTCTTCATCTCAAAATAGTTGGAAACCATGTCTCCATTCAAAGTACACTGTCCAAGTGCGAAGAGAAGGGGGACCACATCTGCGCCATCAAATAAAGAATCTTTGAGAAAATACAATATTGGTTGAAACAGCCCTACATCAATAGGCGGTAACTAAGAAATCGTCACATTAAATATTAAATCTGAAAAGAAAACGTTATTATACACTTTGACTGTAATCTTTTGCAATTATTATAGGACCCAAGAACATTAGAAAATATTGATATAATTATCTATTTTTGACTTATTCTTCTGGGCAATGCATTCTGCAATCCAGACAACGTTGCGGCATTCCTGTTCCTTTAGCCTGACATAAGAGTAGAACACACCAAACTGGAATTGCTGCATGAACGAAAGTATATTCAAAGTAACCTGGAAAGGGAAAGAAATAAATCGTCAGTGTGGCGCAGGAGTATTTTGAACTCGCAAGTAGCACTAAAAACCGGAACCGTCGCGAGGAGTGAGAATAAACAGACTGAAGACGCTGATTGGTCAGTCAGAGCTTATTCATCGTTAATGGATGTTTTCGATCCACATATAGGACAAACACAAAACCTATCCAGCTTTGGATAACATTCAACGTTTGGTAAACTGATGAAAACAGTATTTTGTTTGAACATAAAATTTATCCGATGTTCTGTGCTATTGAAAATAAAAGTCTTGAATGACTTCAAACAACGCTGTATCTTGGTATTTTGAAGTGAATATCTGGCCTCTAAGATATTCATATACTTTTGAAACAAAAATGCTCTAGAATGTGGTGTGACCAAAGGGACAGAATCTTTCCGACACTAAAGCCCTTAAAACTATTTGCAAAAATTCTATATTTGCTTTACAGCAAGATTAGGTCTTTCCAAAGCTGGCACCAAACTGAGTTTCAACTTTTCGTAATTTAGCAAAAAATGTTTACTTTAAACAAGGTATAAAACTGTAAAATTTATCACAACTGATGCTAGGTACCTCATGCTCAAAGAATTTATCTTCAAGCGTTTTATCGCCAGGGTTACTTCCAGTTCCTTCGAACAGCATGGCATAATCCTAGAAATCAAAACAACGTTAAGAGGTGGGAAATGGGCTCTCAAAGGATCTTCTCACAAAATAACAAAAGGAGGATATCGTAAATATCAGTTTTAACACTTCTCCATATTGAAAGGATTTTATTCCTTTCAATAGGCCTGGAATTGAAAAGCCACCTTCCCTTTATTTTACCCTTCCTTCTCATTTAACCCTCTTAAAAAATATCCATACAAATTTGGAGGAAGCTTATGATATTTTCTGCCTAACATTAAAATATTGAGCATTTAAAATTACTTAAACTTTATCCCTTTTCAGAAGAATGGCAGCATAAAAACCGATAAGAGAGTTAACAGTAAAAATCCGCAAAATGAGGTTTAGGCAGAAGGGGGCACCTGAATGAAAAGAGTAAAAGATCTACGATGCATTCAATTACTTTCTATAGACTGGAATGTAAGATAGAAAAATTTCACAAACTTAAATAGTTCCATCCTATCAAACATACCGCATAACATTCAGCTACTTCTCTGACTTGCTCTGGCCCTTCAGCGCGTGCCAGCCTGGATAGGCCATCTGGGTACAATTTCCCACACTTTGGATACAATTTGGCACGGTCATCTTTGCTGAGTTCAGTACCGAATGAATTGATTGTTATCATGATTGCACGACGATCTGCTTCAAACTGCAATAAAGAATACATGGTTTCACCTGCTATGTAGCTTTGACAAAAATTGTATAACGAGATCTACAGTATCATTCAAAGTTCTTAGAACACCTGGCATTTTCTTGGAAAACTATTTCCTACCGGTTGAATCGAACAGAAATAGTATCCTCTCTTTAAAGCCTTCACTGTACGATAGGACCATTCAAACCAGGAAAACTATTGAAGATAGGCGTACATCGTTTTAGCTAGGGTTAGGTACAAAACAAACATGGTAAACTGTTGCGCAAGGTACCAAGACCTTTTGCAAGTATTGTAGCTTCTGGTACAAGAAGATACTAAAAATGACAAGCAACGGTTTATGGGAAGCTTTTGATTGCGGAAGTAAGTACTGACCTCCATTTAAACAACACAATTGAAACAGTTTCCTTATACCCTGCATAAAATACTTTTTGATATCTCTGTTTATTGAATGGGAGCTATCTTTTACAACAAAACAATATCGTACAACTTTGAAACTGGAAAAATTAGGTATAAAGAGTATGTATTTAATACTTATAGCGGCTCTAAGGTCATTAAACTTTTACAGGAAGATTTGCTGCTCCAGAAATTCTGTACTAAAAATGCAAACCTGAAGAATCTGACACATAACATCGGCAGTTGCACCTCCAAGTTCTTGACAAAACTTGTAAAAGTTCTCCAAATAGGCCTGAAAAAAAACAAGAAATCTTTAAGCAAGATATTTCTTATTGTATGCAAAAGAGGTTTTGAACTGACAGAGAGGGCATGTCCATGAGGTTTCATTCCCTGAAATTTTGCAGGGTAGGACTAAAAATAATAATGAAAGACTTACCACTAAAAGATTGAAGCAGTTTTTATTATATTAGCAAAATAAAACAGTTTTACAATGTACGAATCAAAACATGATCCTTTAAATAACGCTTTTGAAAATAATAACTAACTAAAGATCGTCTTTGGTCATTCATCTAAACATACTGGGGATAGCAATATTGTTGTTCTAGCAACTTACGATTATACATGGCTGCATTACCAAAAAAAGGTTACGAAAAATATCTAAAAGTTTATGAATAGGACATGCAAGAAGAAAAACGTCGGAGCAAAGAAGGATTTTGATAACGAAATAACTCCTGTTACTCGGCAATGGTAACACTATTATTTATCAATAAAGGGTAACACTATCAAAGGGTTAGACCCTTTGAATTCACAACTTATTGAAAACAAACTGTTGGCCTAAAAGACAGAAAATCAAAATGATTAAGAGAAAATTCATTACCTTGTACAATGTATTGCGAATTATTTCAATATTCATTTCATCAAGATCTTGTTCTGAGATACACTCGACAAAGAATTGGGCTGAAAAAAGATAAAAAGAATACAATCAAATTTACAATGCAACCAAGTGTTTTCTTAAATAAACCTTAATCTGTTTTGAATGACTAAAGAAGGGGCCAACGTATTCGAGAAGACTTCTCAAAAATTTATAAATTGACAGTTATGGGTTGTGGCTAAAATTTCTGAAAGACTGTTTCGATAACAAATGCATGAGGAAACGTTTCTCAATCCCCTTACCATACTCACAGCGTGACAAAATTGCTCTACTTTATTCCTAAATACCATATGCTTTAGAAAGTTCCCTGTACATGGCTTTATTATTTGCAGTCAAACATACCTAGTGGTGTGTCTACAAGAACTGCATTGTAAAGTTCAGCTGGTGTTGATGCAATATTAATGGAGGCCATTTCATCAAATCTTCCAAGAGGATGACATTTTGGAATCAGCTCCTTAATTGATCTTTGATGCAGGGTACCAGTAATCAGCAAGATTATGTTATCAATCATGTAGCTGTAGCTGTTGAAGGATTTTTATTTAGCAAGACATTCACCATAAGAAATTAAAATTGCACAATAAAGCCTTGTTTATTGTGTAGTTCAATTACAATTTAACCCACATAAAAATCATATTAGGCTAAAATTTGGAACATAGATTCCATGCTATAATTAGCAACATAAAAATTTTGAATCCCCGCAGATCAATGTGACACTATGGGACTTGCCCAAACAAGAAACTCTCAATGCTCAATTGGTGGGGCATTTTTTCTTGTCATTCCCAACTAAGATTGGAAAATCTGTGCCGAATTCCAGCTTTATATTTAATTTATCAGGTTTAGAACGTTCTCAAATCTAAAAACACTACACTATTTGGGGAGATCAAGACCTTGTTGTATATTATCTGAAACTTTAAAATATTTGCCATAACAAAAAGGTGAGTGTCTGGTGATAGGGAAACTGATAGGGGAACCCAGTCTCAGGCAAATTTGTGATCGATTTAGATCTTTGTTAGTTTTCTGGCAGTATTGAGGCTCCAGTTAAATCATGCAAAAGCAATCTGAAGTACTTAATCTTGAAAATTTAGATAAAAGTCATATAGCCCAGTTGCCAATTCCATTGTTTGTATTTCATCCCAACTTAAAGTTCAATCCAAAATGATTGTCCTTGCTAACCTCTGAGAGAGCTCCTTTGCCAAAACCCAAAAACAGTTTCTGGCCTCCTCGTAGCACATCAGGCTTAGTATAACTGAACAGTGGTGCAAAACAAAGGAAACTAATTTGGATTGGGGTGGGTGATCTGAAGGTCAAACTAAGTTTGTGTATCTCCGGCCTCATGCTAATAGGAAAACCCCATTAATAAGTGGACATGCCACCTGTTTCAGCAGCTTCTTATATCACATTTCATAGATCTTGATCCCCAAAATACCAATTTTAACAAATTTCCCTTTAACAAATTTGAAGATTCATTGTGGCCAGTTAGTCTTCAGACTTTTTCTTTATAACTTATCTCAAAATGATTATTTCTTTCTTGCTAAAACTTTGTTGTGAAAGAGTTTTACATTTGTCAGGCCATACCAGGAATGAATTTGCAGGGGTGCAGTGAATTACACTCCTTGACAAATCAAGGGGTGCATTGGGGTGCTATGTTTAATCTAGCATGATGAAGATTTATTAAAAGTACAAAGTCTGAAAATGTTACCTATTTGAAAAGTTAAATTTTATTTTGTACAAGGGTATAGATTTTTTTTCAAAGCCATTTACCAAATGGAATATAAAAATTTAATTAGAAAGAATAGAAACGACACAGAAACGACAATAAAATGACACAAAACTGGAGGTTTATCGCAATACTATCAAAAGTTGATACCCACAAAAACAGAGGTTTTTGAAAACACACTGGATCAATGTGTATACACAAAAATGGTGGTGTTTCAAAACCCTCTAAAACAATTTAGGAAAATGGAAGCAGTGTGAATGGTAAAACCACAAAAACAGACATTTTTACTCTGTTTCTGTGAACAGTCTGAATGCAAAAAAGGGGTTTTTGGAAACGCTCAAAACAAATTTACGAAAACAGAGGCAGTGTGGACAGAAAAAACCAAAAAAACAGGTCTCTTTATTTACTCCGTTTCTATAAGCAGGGTGAACGCACAAAAATGGACGTTTTCCTCTCCCTAGACAGAAAAAAAGTGAAAACCTAACAGTGTGAACGCGCTAAGGCCCTGCTTACACGACACTCTTTTCAGTTGACATCAATTGGTTTCATACTGGATCAGCCTTTTATTATACACGAAAACTATCCAATCTGATATGCTTCATACAGTTTTCGTATTTTAAAATGAAAACGCTCTTAATGCAGGATGAAACCAATTCAATACATCTCTTTGCTTGTGTAAAAGTTTGATTCTGATATCAAATGTAAACACTGCTGTGCAGAGATGATAAAACAAAGGCATACTGCCCGCAGTATGGAATTCTGTTGCACTACAGCATTATTGTGCAAGTAGGCAAAAATGTTGTGTCTTTTTAGGAATCTTTATACAATATGAAATGGAAATATTGTCATTTAAACAGGACCTAAGAATGTTTTCTGTAAAGGTGATAACAGCACTTCCTGGGGAAACAAGGCATTTGCCAAGGTGTACACGTGCAATTGCACGCCTTTCCTAGAATGGCCTGATTTGTCCTGGATTTTGATAACAAAACCAAGATGTCTTTATACAAATTTTCATGTCCATGGTCAACAAAAAACGATCATGACTATTTTAAACATATTTCAAGCAGTGAATTTGCTGGTTGATGACTAAGTTTATATCCAGGTGTGCAACAAAAGTAATTTCAGTGGAAGAATGATCTTGTTTTTGACCACTCATTAGCCTCTCGCCTAGTCTTTCCCTGTTTAAGGGAAAACAAACTGTTTCTGACCTGTTTATAGTGGTCTAAAACGGCTAGGGCTGAACTTTTTCCAGCTGAGAAATAAGAATTTTTTCTACAACAGGCAAAATGATATCTTTGCATTAAGTGTTTTTCTTCTAGTTTTTCAATGTTCATTTTGGTTTTTCATTTGTATAAGTTGGACTTTGCATAGAACAAATATATTGCTTTCGATTTCCAACACATGAAAGCTCAACTGCAGAGTTTCTAGCAAGAAAACTTGAGGTATATTGCTTGACTGTCTATCCACTGAAAAGTTTACTTTGACAGCAAGACTCTGGAATGAAAAAGTGCTAGAACTGGATAAGTTAAAACATAAATGATAATCAAAAGGGAAAAACCAATATATTTACGTAATGTAATCCATGAATGTTGCAAGTGGTTCAAAAGCTTGGTTTCTGAGATGATTGAATTCTACCACCAATTTTTCCCTCATCTTTTCATCTATAACAGATACTGCCAGTGGACCTGCTTCATTTGCTAAGAATGTCCCATAATCTGTGCTTTGCAAATGAAGTTTCAGATCTACAATGAAAAAACCAATGACACTGAAGACATATAGATGACTTTGGAGGGGCTAAATAAAAAACAATCACAAAAAATTTGAAGGCAATGTGATTGAACAGTAGTTGATAATGACACATCAGCAAAATCATATAAGTTTTCCAACCTGGTAAATATGCAAAGCAAACAGCAAGGTTATAATGATTCGCTAAAACCTACACCTACTGCAAGTTTATATTGCAAAATGATTTTATTGACACTAGTGTATCCCAGTGTGGAATCTATGTAGCTTACGTCAGAGATATCCGGCGTAGACTAACGGTTTCCAAATGTCTTTCAATTGTTTATTGGCACATGTCTGGCCAGGGGCGAAACTACTGGGGGGGGTATGGGGGGTGCTGCACCCCCCAACCTTCAAAAAAGCAGATTTTGTCGGACGAATTTATGGCTGCCAGTGTATCTGTCGGGCAAATCTGGAAATTTTCTTTAGGTCGCACTTTTATTACTACTTTTTGCCCTAGCTTGGTTTTTCAATTCATGGTCTTTTCCCCCATCTTTTTTTCAATCTCCTCCCAGTTGGGAAAACAAAACAGAAACAAGGCTAGGAACAGCAACATATATACATTTCTGTCTTTCATCCACCAATCAGTGGCGTAGCTAGCCAAATAGCAATGGTCATGCCCTCCCCTCAAATTTAAAAAAAATATGGGTGTGGCCAAATTTTACCACGCCCAATTTTTTAGTTGATCAATGAGTTCCTTTTGGAAATTTTAATTTTAAGGCTTGTGACTTATAAAAAAAAATTTGATTAACTTTTGGAATGAGCTTTTCTTATTTCATAGAAATCACCTTGTTACACCATGAAATGACCTTTATCTTATAGCTGTGACACTGTTTTGGTTTGTTGGTAATTTATACAGACAGAGTTCTGACAATTTCCAAACAGAACTGTACAAAAGACATTAAAAAACATTAGTTTAGTATAGTAGATAAATTTAGCTTAAATCAAAATTTAAGTTATTCTCCTTTTTTTTCAATTTTGCAGGCTGAAATACATTTGTAAATTTTAGAGATAAGCTAAAATTTGTAAATGAAACAATAAATCACATGAAACTGAATGGGAGCTTTTTGGTCATCTTTTCCACAAATAGACTTATTATCAATCTATTGAAGGTATTTTAAAGCCATCACGATTAACTAACAACCCCAATAGAACTGATAGATGAATAAAACAAATTGGCAAATGAATATGCAATGTAAATATTGATATGAAATATAGGAAGCTGAAATAATGGATAGGCCTAGTTGCAAAATGTTTTCTGCAAAGTTAGACTTAATAGAAAAATACCTTGATGTTTCTATAAGTTTAGCTAATAAGTTTAAGTTTAGCTTAACAAAAACATTGATGTTTCCACATATACTTGTGGTAAATATCCACATGATTGGATTGTCCTACTAAATCTAGCAAACAAGGGTTGTAAATGAAATAATTTGATCTTGTAAATTTTTAAATACATCAAAAGTTGAGATAATGAAATAAAACTGTTTAACTAACAAGATCAGTAACATGCTTGACTTGTCTCTGGTCATTTTATTTCAACAGCTATAAGTAGTAAAAAGGTACTTTCAATTACAAGTGAAGTCAGTAGAGTTTGGGTTTGACTTAAATTGTGTGTAAAAACAGTGTTATTGCATGTAATAAAATTGAAGAATAACTTTAAGCAAGTTTTGGCATTCCCTATCCATTAACTACAATCTTATTGTCCTAATAATAATATGGTAACAATGCTTTTAAAGGGCTTAACAGTTTCTGAATATGCTGCTAAATGTCTGGAAAGTTTAAGCTCTCAAATCTGTTGGTTTGGAAAATAACACTGCTATCTCCTCCATCCATCTCCAGTGAACAGACCAAGATTTGACATTCATTAAATTAAGAAGATTCTCTGCAAATGTTCAACTAGTAACAATTGAATACTGAAAAGGCTGAGAGTTCGGTTTGGTTGCATAAAATGATCCTGTTCGCTGATTTTATGTCCAAAAATGGCCTTTCGTGCCTGTCACTTTCTCCACACAGTGCAACACCATGAAGGCTGAAAAACCCTGTCATTGCCATAAATGTTCTGGAGATTAACATGAGTCGTGGCTGCTTGGCAATAAGCTATTCCTTGCATTTTACTTACAGAGAATTACCTCCCAGCTCGTGGATCTAGACATAGCAGCGCCGCCATTGATGCCTCGCATTCGCGTTCACAAAATAACACAGGACGGTTCTGATGATTATAATGATGGTCATGCCCTCTCGAAATGGCATGACTAGCCTTTGTTCTCTCCTGCGTCACTCCTATTGTTAGGCATGACCAAACATAGGGAACCAGCGTTATGGGCATGACTAAAACACAGGGTTTGGTCATGCTCATAGTTATGGGCATGACTAAATTGGAAACCCTCTGTTTTAGTCATGCCCGACAATAGAAGAGCGCCTTCGGAGGGCTCCATATTCTTGCGTGGAACCATAGGGCTCCAAAGGCGAATGGCCTGAGCTACTTCATCAGGAGAATACGACTATATTCTTACGAAAATATAATTTTTTGAAAAATATTATCTCTGGAAATAGATGGTCATGCCCGGCATGACAAGCATGACCGCTAGCTACGCCACTGCCACCAATCAGCCCTTTCGTCCCAAGCTCGATGCGCACATGTTTATCTTTTCCTTGAGATGAAGTCTGAAGTATTGATCGACAGCGAAAGTATGGATGGAAAGTAAAGTGTGTTTGATGCAAGAAGGAAATGAACACTGTGCATACCCCTCCCCCTACTTTTTGCAAAACAAGAGAGCTTTTTTCAAAATCTTTTGTTGTGATTTCTAAATTTTCCCTTGACAAGCCCCCGCCCCCCCCTTTCCATTCTGCCTCGGAGCCCATGGAACACTGACAGTTTTAAAAGCATCATAAATCAAAGTTGTTGAGAAAAATCAATCAATACTTTCTTTTCCAAATGTATGAAACTGTCATCATACATTCATAAGGAGTTAAGCCCCAAAATTATCTTAAGGTTTTACACTTACAGTTCGAAAGTATTGCACCTTTCGCTAGAAAATGGTCATACAGACGCCAAAGTTTTTTAACTTAAAAGATTCAAATAACTGTAACAAGTAACAGAAAGCTTAATCAGTTCAAGTGGGAAATAATATAAAATTTATCAAGAAATTGTAGTTAAGATATGAATTGCAAAAAACTTTTGAGTTTATTCTATTTCTGAACATTATCCATGATTACGAAAACACAAAAATTGAGCTTTAATGATAGGTGTACGTGTAAAATACCTCCAATAAAAATCTTTCCTTTGCTTGAGGGATTTTGTTATGTGAATTTAGAAATACGTACTTTGTGCTTGGGTGTCTAAAAATGTTGAAATTCCTTACGAAGCAACTGCAAGTTGAAAATAAAACTCAGAAAATGCAACTGAAGCTCTTTTTTGTTGAAAGAATGTAATCTGCGTAGCTGTTTCTAAATTCTGAAATTTCCTAGCTGCGTTTTGGTGTCCCACTTTGATAAAATTGAGACCCTACTTCAATCCCCTTTTTTGAATTGCTCTCTTTATAGCTAGGTGATTTAGAAAGTGAAGACTTTTTTTTCTTTTATAGAAAAGACAGGCCTTACAAATGCTTGCTTTTCAGAAACAAACGTTTATAGCCAACACCAGAAAAACTAGAGGCATATTTCTTGACTTAAAACAAACAGCCTGAGCCTAAAGACCCTCTCTCGGGCTTCCAAATGATTTCAGCCCTTGAGGCGTTGTGTGCTCTAAAAATGAAGTTCATGTATGACACGCCCTTTCATCAAGCATGCCACGCCCTTTCGTCAGGCATCTAAGCTTCAAAGTTTCGCCCCTGCGTCCGGCGTGAGCTTCACATGGATTCCACCCTGGAGTGTATCTAGTTTCTTATAAAATAAAAATGGTTTTATTGACTAAAGTGCACCCAGTTTCTTATAAAAATGGTTTTAGATGGGCCTAAATCTCGTCTAACATAGAGTTGACATCCTTTGTTCCACGGGAAATCCCCCCTGCTGTGTGACCCCTAAGCATATTTCTAAAATGTGGCAATTATAAAAAAATATAAGGCAGAGTACCCAAGTGATTGTGATACCTTATTTCACTTTGGAAATAGAGCAATATTTTGTTTATAATATTTGTATACAAAAATTCCAGTAAATCTATTGAAAAACAACATTTCCAAATAGATAAATGCAATCAAAAGATTCATATAAGGTAGCAACAATGGCGTTCTTTACCTTCAAGTGTTTCACATTGTATCAAATTCAAATAATCAGTTCGTGTCAAGATGCCCGATTTGAAACCTCGAACCAAGCCTTCTAGATAACCACTGTCGACATTAAACATCAACTCTGGGAAGTAATTCATGTTGCCGTATCCTCCGTAATTACACAAAGTGGAGTTAAGTTGCTGAATCGATGCTCTACGGATAAACTATGTCATCAAAATTCCATCAGAGTTAATTTCGAATGCCAAACTTCCTATCCCCAGTATTTAGGCCTTGGCGAAATATCCAAAAGGTCATGTGACGTAAGCTGCTTCGCAGTTACCGTGTTTGGTAGTTGAAAATTTCGAAAATTTGCTTGAAGTCTTCTGCTCTACTTGCTATGAAAATGGATCCACGAGTTTGCAGTATAATTGTTTGGGAGTTTCTTTTTACGGCTAAATAATTTGTTTCCAAGGAATCAAAGCTATTTAAAACTTTTAATGTTTTAAAAATGCTTCCCTTGGAGGGAGAAGCGTGACAGGTGCCGAACCTCGTAATCATCCAAGACCGGAAACTTCATAAACACTATAGGCCATCGAGGGGAGTGAATATCAACAATGTCGGGGATAAAAAATTTCTTTCAGAAGCTCAAGCTAAATAAGAAATTTAAGGAAGCAGGGGAAGGACATAGCTTATCCGAGCCATCAAGAAAAACACAGGATCATGCAGCCCCAAGTAGCAGCACTTCTAAGGCGGAAAGTACGCGGAAACCCCAACATAGCGAGAGCACAAACAGGGCTGCAGCAGCTGCCTTGGCCCGTATCGAGGCACAGTCTAAAACTGCCTGTGCAAAACCGAAGTCAGCGAGTACGTCCTGGAAAACTAGGTCTGAGCCAGTTCCAGGAGCCTCAGAAATGCATGCTATAAAAAAGGATGTGAAGATGAAAGTCAAGCAGGACCTACAGGCATCTCAAAGCGCCAAGAAAATACCAGATGTAGTTCCCATCGAAAATTCCCCTGTGGCTTCAAATATCAATTTTGCGTGCCCAATATGCCCAGTAACTCTTCCTGAGACTGAAATAAAAGACCATCTAGAGAAATGTCTTTATCATGAGCTTGAAACAGAGCCAGGAATGATAGCTGCAACAATGATTCACACTTTGAATCCAAAAGATAAAGCCAAACTTTGTATTGAAACATTAAACAGGTATTTGGAAAACATTATCAAGTCTCCAAGTGAGGAGAAGTATCGTAAAATAAGGAAAAATAATAAAGTATTTCAGGAAAGAGTGGCCAATATCAAAGGAGCAAGAGAACTGCTGGTAATGGCTGTTGGTTTTGTTGAAGTGAACCTCCCTAGCTCCGATGACAGCTCAAAAACAGAAGAATATTACCTACTAAGTGAAGGCATAGCAATGGAAGCTGAAAAGCTTGAAGTGATCAAAAGCTATTTGAATGAAGCAGAGCCACTGAAGCCTACATTAGATAGAAATGTAAAAGTTTATGAGCCACTGCCTGGAGCTGGGAGATTGGAGTTTCCAAGTGAATTTTATCGTCTTTCTGGTCAAGAAATAAAGCGAGAGCAACAGAATAGATCTGAAACAGTAGAAAAGAGCAAAATGTTGAGGACCCAAGCTATGAGAGAAGCAGAGTCTCAAAATCAGAAGAAGGTTTATAGATTCACACTTATTCGTGTTAGATTCCCAGATGGACATATACTAGAAGGCACATTTTACAGCTCTGAAAGGTTTTCAGATGTCTTGGCTTGTGTACGGGAATCTCTTACAAATGATTGGCTTCCATTTGCTTTGTCAGATGCATCAGGAAAAAATATTCAGATGCCAGATGAAACATTACAAGCCCTACAACTTGCACCAGCAGCCATACTTAACTTCAGTTGGGACCAAAGTATTGCATCTGATGCCCAAAGAGAAAACTTAAATGTTGAACAATATCTTCTTGATGAACTTTTGGCAAGAAAAATTCAGTTTTCTTGATGGAACTTATTAAAAGCTTTTGTGTCATACATTGTTTCATTGTTTCCAAATTCTTTAAAAATTATATCGTTTTCATTCATACAGTTGTAGTAAGCCTAAGCAACCATGAGTTAATGTTTAAACATTGTAGAAAATGTTTTTGGTAACCTTATGATCTTTCAAACCTTCCAGCAAATATGTCTTCCTAACTATAGTTATTGTAAATGTAGCACTAAACATTGAAATTAACAACTTAACACACAAGTGTTCTGTTATTGAGTGTACAATATTAGATAGAAAGTGTACTCAAAATTAACAAAAACTGTATTTACCTGTTAAGTTTGGTTGGTCATTTGTTGTCACTCCCTTGTATAGAAGAATCAGTGATAATTTTTAAGGTCTCTAATTCATTAGGTAAATTCCCATACGATGTTTTGGATAATTTGCAGAGTAGCGTCATCTTTCCAACAGCAGATTTAGAATCCATGTAAGTGAAAATAAAAATACAGCTACTGTGAAATGGGAGAAATTTAACATACAGTAGTGATGACCAATTTGTACAGTTATTAATGAAATATGTGCAATGATGAAATGCACCAGGAAGCCTATCCAACAGGAAAGAGCAACTGGCAGAATTTACAAAAGCTCTAAATTTGTGTCATTTTTTTAATAAATTAGCATAACATATCAAGGAACCAGGTTTAATGACAGTTGGAAAAATGTTTTTGCGACATAATTTTATTCAAGGTGTTGTCACACCCCTCATTCCTAAGGTCTTTTACTCCAGGCGTAGGCAACATAATACTCTAGTTTACTAGCAAAAAAAGGACAGATAAAAGCATTGATGAGAGTAGAAAGTGTATTGAAAAAGAAATCAAGCTAGAAAAATGTTGATCTTTGTTCAAGTTTTGATAATTTTGAAATGGCTAATATAGATTTACTTACATGCGACTTGTTATTATTGTCTATTAAATTTAAATGGTCTTAAAATGACCTTACTTTTGTAACCATCTGATTCCCTAGCCAGAAAAGATTTTGTAAACATGATGAGATTATGTTATACGGCCTGGCAGCAGGGACCGTGCACTAGAGGAGGGCTTAGCTGAGGGCGATGCTTCTTTCCATCCTTATATATAAATAGTCTGATTCAGAGAATATTTTAATTACTTTGAAAAGGAATAGCAACTTATTCATCAAGCAAGATAAAATAAAAGAACAACAAAAGGCCTCCAGTCAAGAAGAACTGTTACCACAAAAAATCACTAAGAGTGAAATTTCCAAAGTTGCAATGCCTGTTTTCATTTAGAGCAAAAACGTTAGGAAGGTCCACGAGGAACATCATATCTGCTATATTTTTTATGAAAGTTCAAATTTGCAAGGTTATTGAATCTGCATTTTTCATATTCGAACGAAGCCTGGTTTTTAGCCGTCTAGCCATCGAGTAAGTTCTCTCTGCAGATGCAGACATTGCTGGCTTAACTTGCGGAAGCTAACAAACAGTTTCACTTCGCCTATGAGACGAAGTTCTGCAGGCTTAAAAATTGTAATTCTCTCCAGAATATGGTCGAAGCTTACCGTTACGGATTCATTTTCTCAAACAAAATTCTATAATACAAACTTAGATTTCGAGCCCACTTTTGACCCAAAAGTACCTTTTTAGACTGACTTTTGCAGTAATGGAAAATCCTTGAAATAAACAGAGTCTGTGCGGACAGAACAGGTCAGTTTTCAGCGTTCGACTCTTTTGGTAATTCTATGCAAGTGGCACTGATTGGGCAATCTCTACAGTCTTATGCTTGCATTTCGGATTGGCCTTTTTCGATTGACAACTGGGTATATATACATTATAGCTTAGAACTATCGTTAATTATTGTGTCGGACCAAAAGCTTCAGCATGTTTTAACATATTTGCTTTTTTCAGAGCCATTTGTAATTTAATCGTGGGTAAATTGGAATAGGCTAACAACATCAAAGAAGGAAACTAGAAAAAGCGAAACTGATAACTTCGAACTATTTAAGTCAAAAACCAAATGAATTGTCAAAGAAAGTCTCCTAAACTGTCAAGGACTTTGTTTTGATTGATATCCTTTTTATAAAGTACATTTTCAATCGAAGCAACAACTGATTTTTTATTTGCAAAATGTTGCATCGTTACATTCTGCAAAAATCCGTGAAGGGCATTTGTTGTTCGGGCCAAACTATGCCAATATAATTTATAAGACATCAATTATGATTTTCCTTGACAAAAGAAAACTTGTCCACGATCTATACATCCTGCTCCTAAACAAAACACAATAGATTTTACTTGTGAAATCTATTTACATGAAAACTTCGTTTCATTAATTTTCAAGTCTTTAGCGAAGTCTTCACTTTGAAGAACTAATTTTTAAAGGTTTTAAATGCGAAATTATATTCAACCTTCTGCGCATTTATCAAACAAAAGAAAACATACGGCTGGAGATTCGCATAGCAACGCATTATGGGTCTCCGGAATGCGAACTTTGAACGGGCACGTGGTCTGTTTAGAAGCAAAGGCAGAAATTTCGTATTATCTCATTTGCATTAAACTCGGTAAAAGACCTTTCGTTTGTTCACAAAATTCAGTTTCGACACCAATCCGCATGTTTATGTGTGGTTTTATTGAAATTGACAGTACAAGGGTCTATTATCTAGATTTCGCTTCACATATACCATCAACAGAAAAAGTTCACACAGTAACAAGATCAGAAAAGGTAGAGATGAGTGTCAGTCCAGAAGATTTCGTATCGTTCCTCAGCTTGCTTGCAAGCGAAAAAGATATCCGCGTCATGGTGCATCACGATGCAAAGGGCGGCATACTAACAGGCACATCGGCGACAGTCGGCGGCATCTGTGGCGGGCCGATGGGAGTAGTTCTCGGAGGATTATTCGGTGGAACTGTTGCCGCCATTACATGTAAATCGACACAAGAAGATGTGGCGACAATTCTAACCCATCTGAAAAAGGAGCAAAGAGTGGACCTCTTCAAAGCATTTGCTGACATTTTGTGCGAACTGAATCCTAAAAGTTATACAGAGTTATGCTCGGCGGTAGAGAGGAATCCAGACATGAAGCAAATGATCGTGCGAAAACTGAAAATATATGTTCGACAAGCATGGAAGGTGGAAATAATTGATTCAAGGACACAACATGGGATTTACGAGTGAATATTCGGCAGTAAAAATCGCAACTTAGTTTGTATCAACCGGACCCAAGGAAAGCAAAGAGCAGAGGAGGACATTTTTGAGAAAACAAAAAACCTAAACAGCACTTCTAGCTGGTATCATTGAAATAAAAAACATTGAATTTTTCAAGTAATCGCCTTAATCAGAGAAGGTCGCCTCGAAACTTCTTAAATTGGTGTCGAATGAGTTTAAACAATAACATCTACAACGTTATATGCGAATCACTCATTGGTGAACTTGTCTTTGCTTTTACCAATCAGCTGAAGCTAGTCGATCACGTGTTATTCAGAATGGATTATTTGAACACATGACTCAATTCGAAGTTGCTAAGAAGCAACCAAAGAACTTTGAGAATATTGGTGAAGCTGTAAACAACATCCCGAAGAAGAAGACAACCGAATGAATAGCTACGTCAGGAACAAAGAAAACATTAACGTATCGTTTTTTCCTGTTTTTAGTATTTTCATTACCAATGATTTTGATTTTCCCCAAATCTACAAACTTTGTCATCATTCAACAAACAAAAATCGTTTCTACCTACTTTCGCATTATTGATCTAAACATTTGATGTCAAAAATGTAACAAGTTTGCCTTCAAAAACCTTTTGATGTTACAATGATTGAAAAGCTAAGTAGAATTTGTAGATTTGGTAAATAGAAAATAGCAGCAGTAGTCTGCTAAGTAGAAAATAGCAGCACATGGGAGAAGACGATACTACGAGAGAATCTAAGAACTTATAGGGAGGTTGCATTTGCAGTAGCCTGCGCCCCAGCCCTGCGCCCCAGTCCTGCGCCCCAGTCCTGCGCCCCAGTCCTGCGCCCTAGTCCTGCGCCCCAGTCCTGCGCCCCATTTGTAGACTGAGGCACAGGCTAATTTGCAGACACCGGGATACAATGCAAAAAGCAGCGACTTTGTTCTTATGTCAGTTTTATATAGTCATCTCACATCAACTTATACGACAGTTAAAAACCAGTGATCGTTACAGGCAGGGCCACTGAGAGGGGGGGGGAGCAAGAAGGCAAATTGCCAAAGGGCCTCGATGTCTAGGGGGCATCATAAAGTATCGAATTCCGTTTTTAAAATAGAATTAATTAAAAGTAACACCATAATGGTTAAATATTCAAACGATTGCCAGAAAATGATTGAATTTAAGCAAATCCAAAGTGCGTGGTCACAAAAATTTCGCCTTTCGGTTTTGCCCCAGGACCTCCATAACCTCTCGGTGGTCCTCGTTACAGGACTCAGAAAAAAATTTACTTCAAAGGAAGTTTAGATACACAAGAGATAGGCAAACCAGCTTCAAAATGTGCTTAAAATTGATTGAGACAGTATGCTGACCGCTAGTTTCCAGTCTCTTTGCTGTAATTTAGGATGAAAAACGTCGAAGTTCAGTTTTTGTATTTTATCCAAGTAAAATGCGCACGGCACCTGAAAAGAACAAAGAACTTTGTGATTAGATTTTAAATTTGGGGCCTGGCAGAATCACCTTGTGAGAAAACCAAAATAGCTTCTAGGATCTTGCAAACGATAAGGTTGTTAAAACATTATAACAATCGATCAGGTCGGTCAAAACAAAGCTATCATATATGTAAACGTTCACAAGAAAATTTTGCAAAAGTGAGTAAACAAGTAAACAATTTTGGAACGTGGAAGTACTTGGGTTATTACCAGTTTGACCGTGGGAACGGAAAAATTCAACAGAACATAAAGGCCACAACGTAGCAATGTATTCACTTGCTCCCTGGGACCTAGTCTTCTATGTAATTATCAGTGTCGCATTGCCACTGACAGTCTATATGCTGGCTCTAGATCAGCATTGGGTCCTCATTCAGTTTAGCTGTACTTATGAGCTCTGACATGGGGCGAAATCGGTATACAGCCGACGGTTCGAGGTTTCTATGGTTTTCCTTACTTCATACTTCTACTACAACTTTGTTGGATGGCTTACAGCCCACCAACGCTTCAGCAATGCTTTGTGGTGCGGCTCTTTTTAATAGGCTATCGAGTCTCTAAAACTCAGGCATATTTTTTACATGTAATTGTTAGCTACTGAATTGTATTTTTTCAGGATAATTCATGAATATATAAAAATAACGAAGCAGCAAATACATACCGCAGACAAGCATACTTTTCGCGCTTCTTTCGACAAGCCGTTCTTCAAATTCCTCGCCTACAAAAGACAGTCGATCAGCAAGGACTGAGCATTTGTCACAATTTCGTATAGAACTTCATTCTTTGCCAATGAGAGTCTAAATCTACCAAAGCGGCAATTTTTACATTGTCTTTAAATGATTTACATTGTTACGCGGCAAAATTTACATTGTCGTGCAATCTAAACATTCTACAGTGTGAAAGACTTACTTTACCAAACGTTTAACAATTATTGAAAACAAAGAAGTATGTTGGCTGTAAATTGAATAGACATTTTAACGATATTCAGAGTATCGCTAACAATTTTTAAGAAAGCAGATCTTAATATATATTTATATAGGAACTGATTTTGAAGAATCATATAGCGAAACGCTAACCAAGTTGTTTTCTTACTGACTATCTATTTAAAGACTTCAAACACATAAGAGTCCATGAGAATATATATACATACAAATATCTAAATTTACTTGGCTAAATAATATTGCAACACAAAGATTGCAAAGTCAGCAAACTGATCATGGGAAGTCATATCGAGAATATATCATTGTTAAGATATAGAAATCTATCAAAAATTTAAAATTTAAAAAGCCAATGCCAACCAACAAAGGAGTAAATTTCATTCCATACCATAACGTTAAATTCTTTTACTTTGTTATCTTAGAGTTGTATTCACAGAAGTCATCTACATTGGCAATAACTTTCATCTTTTTTCAAATCATATCTAAATAAAACATTACTGCTCATAGGATCTAACTTTTTCTAGTGTTTTAGCAATGCTAGAGTTTTATTTATAAAACTCTGGTATTTTTGCACTGTGCATTTCCTTGTTAAACGCCTTTTAGTAAGGATGATAACTTACCTTTTCAAGATGAAAAAAGGCCTGGCTGGCAACTTCATACACTAGATCTGATAAGATTTGTGGATTTTTATGTCGAATAATATCCTCTTGTGGCAGTTTATACTGCAAAAGATTCAAAGAAACGAAAATATCAATCAGTAGCGAAAGTTAATAGCTTAATTTTTCACAAAAATTGGAAATCACTTTTAATAAAACAAGAGTCAATAGAACAAGGAATTTCATAACAATGGTTGTTGTGATAATATAACGTTGTGATAAATAGGTACAAACTTATATTGGTTACTAAGAATATGTGAAATTTATAAAAAAAACTTGTTTGAACAATTATTGTTAAAGCAATATTAAAAAAATATGAGCATAGTCAATTGAATAAAAGACATTATATTAAGCAGAAACAAATTCTTGATTCACTATTGATGATTGAGTTATTACGTATTTAAGCTACTTTAAAAATAGATAAAGCATTAGAAACACCAGTACTTCTCGATCTAAGTTGCAAACGTATCGTTTAATATTGATCCAGCAAGCCATTACAATCGCCAGTCAATACAAATTACATGATATATACATGAAAATTGTTAATTTGTTTTCTCTATGAAAAATTGCAGAGGTACAAGAAGTAGTAAAACAGCTGTTTGTACCTTAATCAATAAATCCACAGGAAGGAATACTTTTCGCCTCTGTGCGTTGAATGGCACAGCTCGTAAAACGGTTGTCAAGGAAATCGCACGTCCAATGTGACTGGCAACGTGATCTGTATTTATATCCTTTATTCCTGGAAGTTAATCAATTAAACAGCCAATAATTTCCTGCAAAACTGATAGAAAGATTATCTTTCAGAGTCAGTTCAGAATCTCGTTTAATCGGTGGTTTTTCTTCTACACAATTAAGGTTTTATTAATTTATAATTGACTTAAGTTTACATGACTTCTAGAAAGGAATATAAGAGGATCTCATTTTTCGACGGACTGTTCTGTTAACGAAGAGTTTGAGGGTTTTCTATTTAAATACAACTAAAACCCCTTACCCTAAAAGCATTGCTATCATCTAAACTTGACAGTAGGATCATATTACGGTTTACGCTTGTCCATATCTTCTTAATTTGGGGGAAGGGGGGGGGGGTACAGAGGAAGTCATCATTGAAAAAAGCAACATTTTCTGGGTATCGTACAATGTTGTTTGTTTGGTAGAGATTAGAGTAAAAACCCGATTAAACAATTAGAACTGAAGATCTATTAAGTGTTCAAAGGAAGAGAATTCAAGAAACTTTTCTTGGTAACACTTAATGTTGTAAAGCAGTAATAGAAAAGATTGCACATGCGTTTGTCTTTCCTCAAGTTTCCTAAAATGCAATCTTTTGATGATAATAAACACATACTAACCTCACCTAAACTTTCTAAAATTAAGTATAGAACTGGCGAGACGGAATTTTCACCATACATCTCTATTTCTTCTATTGTCATGAATGGTTTATCATCCAGGGTTTTTTCCTGCAAAGTTGACAAACTGTGAGATAAAAATTTCAATTATAAGAACAAAATTATTTCTTCTTCTAGAGTATCAAAGTGAGGACGAAAATGTTCGAAAATTCTCTTTCTCTCTCATTTTTCTGAATGTTCTACCCCCGTGAAATGAAAAATATCTTCCGAAATAGACTCACGAAAAGCGAGGTCGTTTTTCCTGTTTTTTGAAATGAGGCAGGTATGTTTTCTGTTTAAGGGAGCTCTGTAAATTGAATACAGAGAAGCTCTGCAATCCTGCGGTAGCCATTGATAGGGCTTGCAAAAAGCACATTTGGCGTCAATTACGACGACACAAAATGCAATAAAACTTTAGCTTATTGCTGAGAAGCTTAGACCCTTTGCTATATTTTCACGTCCGGATACGGTTTAATACTGATTCTTGGTGTCGTTCAAATACGTTTTCTGTGTTTAAATACGAGACAGACACTGATGGAGTGTGTCGAATGCAGGGACCATGACTATCCAAGTTCATTAAAATAAAAGGAAAGGATGACGTCGTTCTGTAAAGTACGCTCGGATGCGCATTCTAAGGGGACGTCTCCAGAAAAATATTACGGTGTTGTTATAAACGAAAATCCAGTCATGAAAGCTACTCGAAACTGTGAAAGAGCATAAGTTGCCTGCAAAGGTATGGCTTACAAAGTACAAGAGATATGCTGTACTGTGAGAAAAGGGTACATCTAAAGTAAGCAAGCAGCCTGTGCTTTGGTAGTGCTACCTGAGACCGATGTTGTTACGTTATCAGGGCCAACAGTTGCAGAAAGCATAACTCGAGTGATGGTGAAGTGTGTGAAAAAACTGTCAATCTGCAACATTACCATAAATAACATGTCTTAAAGTGCATAACCATCTCCATCAACAAAGCAAAATGACAGTTTTCAATGAACTGTGTATAGAACAAATGGAGCTAGTAATGTGGTGATTTTAAAAATATGCCGATTAGGAAGAGAACACGAAGGAAAAGACCAGGCCACTCCTAGTGAGTTCAAATTAGATCCTACAGGGCGGTGTAAATTGTTGAGACCCCCAGGTAGCTTTTCTACGCTAGATAAAAGTAGAGAAAATCATTTGGAAGAAAACAGTAGAGCAGTACGCAAATAAAATAACAGGATAAAAATGTGCATACAAAAAAGAAGCTTAGTGTAGTAGAAATCTTGAGGATACACCAATTAGGCAAAAAGGGCGAGGAAAATAGCTGGCCATTCTTAGTGAACTTGAAAAAGAGATTCGAGAAACGAAAGTTCATGATTAATCTCTTCAAAGATACTGTGCATGATTGAAGCAAACCCAAAGCATCAGCAAGAGCAGACCACTAAAAGAAAATCGAAGCTGGATGGCTACTCCCTGCATTCTAATTTAGACCAGCCTGGGGCAAAAAGCATCACAATATCTGTCTCACTGTCTCAGCCTATAAGATGCTTGTCATTTCTAGAATGGTTCAGAGAAAATTGAAAAGAAAGTAAATTGGTTAAATGAGAGTTTAACTTATGACAGCATGAGTATTAGGTCGACAATAAAGTAGAACTTAAAAGTAAACAATTGGATAAAGACTGTAAGTGATAAGAGATGTGGCCATATGTTGCTGTTTTAGCAAACCAGCCATAATGGGGAATGGTGGCCTAACCATCATTCGAGGAAAACAATCAGCAAGTAGTATCCTCAGGACAATCAAGGTACCTTCTTTTGCGAACGCGTTGAAATAAGGAAGGCATAGACTAAACCAAAAATCGAATAGCCTACAATTGATCTTCACAAATAAAGAAACAATAATAGAAGATCTTTAAAGCATTACATCATCGTCTTCAAGTGAAAATGTCACGTTAAATATGGCATCTGCATTCTATGTGGATATTCCTTTAATCGACGAGAACAAGTTTTTTATGACAATAATGATTTGGAAAATTTAAGAAGGCTAGAAGGGATATTAGGAGAAATAGCTAAAAGTTAAGACCGGAGACATTAAGAGGGCTATCATAGAGACGTTTTTAGTGACATAAGTTTCAAAACCGCAGACCCCTCGCCACTTCCATGGCCACATAAAAGAGCATAATAATATCCATCCGACGAAAGAACAAAGCATGAAAAACATCGAAAGTATCTTATCTCGACTTCAAAACAGGAGCTATGGAGTTAATAGTGATGAGAGGTTGTTGATACACCATCAGTGAATCTTTTAAGAATTGATAGAATCATTCTAATCTGCATGATAAGAGGGCATCAATCTGCCGTTCTCAACCAAAACACATCTTTAAACGTTCCCATTATAACATAACCTAAAGGTTTCTCCAATAACACATACCCTCGCTGCAATCAAACGACTGAACCATGATTTGCTGAGCTTATTTGTTTGGATCACCTAAAAAACAAAACAAAAACGATAAAAGCAGTCAATTATTTTAACTGAAACAAAAAAGGTGCTTAGCTTTACAAGAAGAAACATTTCAATTTGATGAAGCCTAAAGCCAAAAAGTATCTAATTGCGTTTTCTGCAAAATCGGTGCTATTTCAGCTAAAAAAGGACTCACCTGAGCAAGGAGCAAAACAACTGGGTGTGCCCTTGGCTTTCCCTAAAATGTGAAAACACATATAATCAAACACCGCTCGATCTTCAAATTACATTCAGTGAGTCTAGTGGCTCATATGCAATAGTGTGCAAGCCCCATGCAAGCTCCATGCAAGTCTCATGCAAGTACCATCTAGCACCTTGCAATTATGCCTCTGTGTGTCCTATGACGGCAATAAAAAGTACCTTCATACAATCTTTTGTTTTCCAAGCAGTGATACTCTGTGATGAGATGTGAGTTTCTGAAGGTAAAGGCAAGATTAAATAAGGAAGTCCAAATTTTGAAAAAAAAATTGAGCACAGACCCGTTGAAATAGGGAACTGCTCGTGCTTCCAATTATCTTTACTCTAATTATCACAATATAAGTAAGAAAATAACCTGGTTGTAATTTAAGACTACACAAAAATGAAAAACATTAGGTAACTACTTTTCAACAATCTCCTGACTTGCTACAAACAACTAAACTTATGTAAGTTTAGACAGCCTGAATATGTGCTGCATCTAATTGAATATCACTTTCTTCCACTGGTGTTACTTTTTATTAATTCCTGTTCACCTTTATATCTTACCAAAAAGCCTGTAGTTTCGAATGTTAAGAATCTTTCTTATGTCAAATTTTGAAATATTAAACCATAATTTGTGAAAGTTAATGGAGATCACTTTTTAACTGGTCAGTTATATTGTGTTGAATGCTGTATACGACGAGCTGTATACATTTTGGCATGAAGAAAAGGGCAGTTCTCAGTTGCAACTCTAATTTTCATACTTAATGAGATCCTCAGGAATGTGTTATATCTTTATATTCACTCACATTAAACTGCTGGTGAAAGAAAACAAAGATCTTGGAAACAAATTGATAGTGCTTACTTCATATAATTCATTGATTACATCTTTCCAAAACAGCAGTCTCATGCTGCCAATGTGTCTATCACTCACGCTGTCTTTAACCTAAAGGTATTAAAATGTTTCTGGTGGTTAAATGACCTTGTGCATTGCCACTATGTAAAAAACAAACACTTTATACACACACAAATAAAAAACACATAAAGGTGTTTTATTATTGTAGAGAAGATATTGTTTCATATTTGGTTTGAATTTTAATTTACAAAAGAAATGAAAAGTAACTATAAAATCTATGAGTAGCTAATTGTACTGAGAATATCCCAATTGGATTTTTCACTCTAAAAAAAGCACAGACTAGATTGTCTGCTTATGAAAATAGCAAATATATACTCATATTTTTTACCTTAGCAAGTTCAACATTGAAAGCCCTTATTGCAAATGCAGCCAGTCTTGCTTTATCAGGAAGTCTCAATGTGCACAGATAGTTCTCAAAGTCATTTGTCCTGAAAAGAAGTGCTGATTGAAAATCATGAAAATAGAATCTTTAATGGTTGAAAGTTTTTTTGAGCACAATAAATCCACAATAAAATAAAACAGCTAAAATTACAAAGAAGGACACAAAAATTATGCTACAAAAATATTTAAAAAAATGCAATAAATACACAAATCATAAAAAAGTAAAGAAGTAAAAGACGAAAAGGTTTGTTTGTTGCATAGTGATTTGCAAAATAGATACAGCTTTCTGCCTCAAAGGAGCTGTATGCGAAACTTGAATAGCACTGTGCAAAGGTACTAGAAAAATAATAAAGTATTAGAAAATAAACATTGAAAATTCAATATTTCATGTTTATATACTGAACATATATAATCCCCATATAGACTAATAATTAAAGGACAAGTTAGCTGATTTTCCTTCAAAATCAAAACATGGTGTTAGTCTAGCCAAACAAATGCTTCTGAGCAAGCTTGACATTTACTTTTAAATTAGCTTCATTTTTCTTTCGTCCATTGAAAAGACAGAATAAATAACAATTACATGCCCTGGGCAAAAATATGTGGAAACCAAACTTTGCAGCCACAGAACAACAGAGCCAAGGATAGTCTTCTCTCTTTTTCTTTTTCCAACCATGAGAATTCTTTGATCTCCACAAAAGAATAAACCAAAACAGACGAGGCTAGACATAAATTACTATTCTACAAAGTGTGCATGGGTGGAGAATGTTCCTGGATAAGCAATGAATTTCAAGATTTCACTAAACCAAACTGATTTTTTTCCTGAACTATTCATCGTGAAATTTCTAATGTTTATTAATCCAACACATGCTGCTCATTCCCATAGTCCATCTCATTGTTTGCAACGCCATGGTGAAATTATATTGTTCTATAGAATATTTGAATCCCTCAGGTAGGGTAAATCAGCAAAAAATTCATTGTGGATAGAGGCAGCTCTTCTATTTTTTGCCTCAAAACTTCTTTAGAATAGATAAAAAAAATTTTAAGAATGAAAATCTGAATTTTGCTGATTAACAATGGATCTTGCTTGTGCTACGTAGAAATTTAGAAACCTTGAAGATATAGGCAACCATTGAATTGATTCAAATTTTGTCCCATTTGTGTTGATTGGCGTCATTATCTCTGACATGGTCTATGCATCAAAGCCTGCCAACTTTCCTGCCCTGTCCATTTTTTCCTAGCCTGGACTGCAGAGTACAACAGTTTCCAACCAGATATCAGACAAAAACAAAATTTCAAGCACACAAGTGTGCACTTTGGTATAAGTGTGCACTTTGATTGTGTATATAGTTTGCACAACTAAGCTAGAGCCCAAAGATATCAATAAGAAACTGAATATGATTCATAGTTTTTTGTCGATCTTAAGGAAACATGATTCTTCATTTGCCCAGGCAAAAGGCCACACCCTTGTCACGCCTGGATCTACAAAGCCACTCCCTTTACCAGGTGTGTAGAGAAATTTTAGAAAAAATATTTCAGGTGTGCACTTGCCATATTTGGCACACTGGGTCACTGTGTGTATAACCATGTAATCTGTTTTTCTCTTAATTTCCTTATGATGAACTTACTAACCCAAACTGGAAAGTTTATTTCTTGCGCGGACAAGTTGTCACTTTTAACATTTGAAACTGCGTGCCTGAAGTCAACCTCACTCTGAAATTTCTGGTGTTTCATTACCTGGTGATTTTGCTGCTCTCGACACAGCCAATTTGCACGCGGAATGGGAACAGTCTGGCTGCTAACAAACACTGAATGCAATGCCAATAACTAGTTCTGTACAACACATTGATAGATAGACGAGAAGTTAAGAGGCCAGTTGTTCTAGATAAACTATTATGTAATTTTATTATTCAGAATTAATTCATTAAAAAAGAGTCATACTAGAAATAGCTCTTGCTAGTACTGCCCGTAAACAATTAGTTCCTTGATAATGATTGTTTTGAAAATTTAGGTCAGGATATTCGAAGAAGACACCATCTTGGGTTTTCACAATTTTATAAAAACAGCTGCTCTAGTTGATGCTAAAATATTCTTTTTATCAATAATTTTTGGTGTTCAGTTTGCCTTTGATTTAAGTCCAACGCCCTTTTGAAAATCATGAAGTTTTTCGAGGGTTTGACATTTATTGTTCTAGATAAACTATTATGTAATTTTATTATTCAGAATTAATTCATTAAAAAAGAGTCATATAATGATGTTACCTGACAAGTTCAATGCAGTAGTCAAGTGTTGTTTGTTTATTTCTGCTTCCATTTGCAATATTCCTTTGAGCCGTAAAAATTTGCGTACACCTAATAAGACCTGGATCAAGTCTCCTCGTGAGTTTGAACCCGAGCATTTCTGTATTCCTTTCCCTTCTTTACGTTGCATGTGAATGCCAAAATATTAGGCCTAGAAAAACCTCTTATTGGAGCAGGCTTTGGTGAAAACGAGACCACATTACAAACAAAGATTTCGCTCAGGTTAAGAATGGCAAAAATGGGTCCGATGGGGGTCCGATGACTCGTAAAATGTAAAATGCTTTGCTATTTACCGTACCTAACATATTTGAATAATGGGGGGAATTTCGCAAAAAGGGCGTTTCCCCGCATTTGCGAGTGTTTGAAGGGCGTGGTCCAAAAAGTTTCTGGGGGCTAACTACTGCAGCCCTGGGTACGCCACTGTTGGTACAACAATAGTGAATAATGTTTTACGGATGTTTTATTCGTTTAGCCAGGCCTTTAGAGCACTGAGGCATTGTGGCTCCTAGGAAAAGGCCGAGAGAAAATTATGAGGCTTTATTTATTAAATTTGAGGTACGGGGACATGCCATTACTTAAAGGTACTTTTTTTCAAAAAATGAGAATTATCGGTATCAGTTTTTGAAATATGTCAAAAATTATGCAAACCACTTGAAGAAATGTGCAGAATTATGGGTACCATTTTGGAAAATATTGCAAAATTTTTAGGAGGAAAATCTACAATCACTGCCAAAATTACTTGGAATACCCAACACTTTTCGCTGTGTTTTTCTATTTTTCATTTGTTTTCCCGAATACAACTACTTCCTTCCCTCTTTCCCTCCAAAACAATGTTGAAAGTATCGAAAATATCATACAAAGCACACGAGAAAGTGTACTCCACAACCCCTCCCTTTTTCCTATAGTATATCAACATTGTTCTTAGGGGGAGAGGGGGGTGGCTGAATTTGCCTTTGAAAACCTACGTTAGTGTTCCAAGACTTTTGGCATGATTGTAGCACAAACAAAAATAATGTCCAGTTAGGAATGAAAGTCTGAGATATGTGTAATATTAAGATTTTAGAGCATGGGATTTTGTTGTCTATTGAAAAATCTTCTTTACCTGACGGTATTACAGGTCACATTTTCTAAGACATGTGTGTAATTATCGTTCCAAATTTTGAACCAAAATTTCACGTCGCCGTCCAAAGATAGGTTTAGTTACCTCACTCGTTCGTTTCATTTACTCTGATGAAGCCCTGTATGCCGGGGCAAAATATTAGTATTCGTTTAGTTTAATTTATTTGGAAAACTCATCTCATAACATTGGATTCTCGTCGCCGTTTTGCTTTGTTTCTGAATTTTATCCTCGTACTTATATTATGCTCATTGCAAGTTTCACAGAATCCGGCGGACAGCCTATCCTGCGGTTCTTCCTTTTCACACATTAGTTACCTCCTCTCTCCCCCGAGATGTGTCTACTTAAGAAAACAAACAATCAATGAAATACTAAAGAATTACCAATTTTTATTATTATTAAAGGGGCATCTGCTATATTTTACAGAAGTGTAAATCCCTTTTCTCAACACATTGAAAATAAACACAAATGTCACATAGAGTTTACGTGCACTTGGAGATACCTCCCAAGATTTAATGATGTTCATTTATAAAATTTATTCGACTTGACATCTAATGCACTTTATACTCTAGCACTGCATTTTCAAAAGTTTTCATTGAAAAAGGTCCAAAATCGATAATTTATGGTAAGAACAAATATGAAAATTTTACGGTAAGAGCATCAATGAAATTTTAATGCTAATGTTAAAAAGAAACCGCTTTCATGCTGCCATTGATTACAGTAGAAGGACTAATCGAGGAGAGAGCATTCCATTTAATCAATGATTGCTAAAACGTTCAGAAGCAAATAAAAAAAATATAAAATAAACATGACATTGGGAAAAAGACTGTCAAAAACAATTAAAATCTCTGAATATCTTGGACTCAAATATATTTTTTGTGTTTAGAACTATACTTTGTTTCGATCTCTACAACAAGCTAATTGTATGACAACTTGTAGATGATTTTCAAAAGTGCCTCCCTTGTATTATAACCTTTTCTAAAAACTGCCTATAAACTGATAAGCTTCCACATAGCCTGTTCCACCAATTCAAAGTGGGGGGAGGCAAAAAAGGGGGCTACTTATCTAAGGCTATGGCTCCATGGCCCCCCTGTGGCATGCTTAAATCCTTGATCAAGCATGCAAGAGCCTGTAATTAATCTTCAGACCTTTTGACTTCAGTGCTTACCCAAAAACAGCTTATTTAAAGGTATGAACACAGAAGAAGGTTTAAGCTTGATGTTTATTTAAAGATTCAATGAAACCCACTTGATAAAACAATATTTTGAAATTAAAGTGAACTTAACAGATTAGCAATTTATGGGGCAGCTCCTAAATTTTATTGCTGTACCCATTTTAAGGGGGGGGCTTATTCAAGGGGGCAAAAAAACAAGGATCTGCAGTAGTGGTATTTGTGATCTGTGCTTGCTAAAGATATAACGGCCCAACAATACTTTTCACATCTTTGCGACATAAAAATCTTAATGTCTGCATGAATACTGAATAGCAATGTTTTCAAGATAAAATAAAGAAACTTCTAAACTGCTGTAGAAAGCTACTCTGACTTAGGTTTTTTCTTAGAATCAATAATAGATTTGATGGCATACACAAATGATAAAATGACTGGTATACCAACTGGAAGGAACAAGGGAAGGTAAATTGCATATTTTTGGTCATCTGGAAAGTAAAGGAGAGCTAGGAGTGAATGGTCATAAAATGCTTTTTCAGAGTTGAATACAGCAGCCCTTGATGAGTTGAATGCTTTCTCTATCTGTCCATCTTCAAGGAAATTTTTTGAGTCTGTAATATTTAAAACTGCAGCTTCAATTAGCTCTTTGATATCATCCCTTATCACAATGTTTGAGATTTTCTCAAGAAGCTCAGTCAGTGAAACAAGTGTTGATGTTGATTTCTTCAGATTAGAAACAGTTTCTGAGAGTAGCAAATGATACATTTCCCATTTCATCACACCACGTCGGTCAATAGCAGAGACTGTCCTACCTTTTGTAGCTTTGTAACTTAAGCCAATTAACTCCCTGAACTGCAAAACAAACATTTTCATGTCTTCCTTTACATCTATGTCAACATGTTTAACAGTTTCATTTTCAGATGTACCAATGCTATCAAGGTCAATATTCTTAATAACAACTCCTCCCCATCTTGGACTCAGGAAAGCTTTGTGGTTATTCCCTTTGTTTCTTATTTTTAGTGGCATATCTGAATTTGGTGGAACATATAAGATGAAATTCAATATTGGATTGTTTGATGTGTACTCACTCAGCCTTGTTTGGAGAGGGTTTATCAATAAAGGTAGCATCTTCTTTGAGTAAAAATACCCCTCTTTTTTAGATTTCTTTGGAGATATCCCAACATCAACAAAATTGAGTACTTGTGATGTCACAACATATGGTCCAAAGTAGGCTAACTCTTTCAGAAATGGTTTTAAATTGTCCTCTATTGCTTCCTCTATGTTCCAGTCAACGGTAAAATCAAAAGGATTTGCATTTGCCAGTGAAAAGGCTATTTCAAGGCCAGTTGCACTGTGAGTTGGTGCTATTTTGCTCATATTTTCCAAAGCATCTTTATTGGTCAGATTAAATTTAATTTCAGGATATAAACCATTGAAATCTAAAGCAATTTTTTCCATGCACTTCTGCAAATCGTCACTTTTAAGGTCAGCATTGTTCAAAAGAGCAATCAAATTGGTTGTACCCAAAATCAGGTGACAGTCGTTAGGCCCTGAAAATGAGTTATTCCCTCTAGTAAATAAGACGTTCTGCTGTAATAAATCTTTAGAGTCTCCTTCATCTCCAATTAGTTCTTCTACAAGATTGCTCAATGTATATGCATTCTCTGGGGTTCCATCAAAAGTGTCAATAAGATATCTCAAATCGGCGTTTATTTTTTCCAAAAACGAGAGATTTGATTCTACGTTGTAGCTCGCCAACCTGTATTTAACTGCTAGGTCGAAAGCATCTTTCAATCCTGCGATATTTTTTGAGTTATTTTGAAATATCTCCTGGTCAACGAAAATATTCCACCTACTTTTTACCGTCAGTGCAACAGACTTTGCTAGCGCGTTTAGTTCCTCAAAAGGCAAATTTGCTCGATAAACTTTGGTTGTCTGCCACCATACTGGAATTCCAATAAAGCAAAAAAAAACTGCAATGGACACTGAAACAACAATCTGTGGGAGTTCCATAACAGAATATCATCGGTGCAATGAGGTCCCACAACAAGCAGAAAATCTCCATTCATGTCCTACCTCATTCTAATGTTTGCTGTTACACTGGACTGAGGCTGGACGTAACAAAAAAATACAAAATTCTATCTAGTTGGCGAAAATAGGTTTCTTTACTTTTTTACCTTCATCGTACTGCGAAACTAATGTCACAGTTAAATTCTCTATGAAATTTTGATACATACGATGAAAAGTAAAATTTTCAATTTATATGTTAAAGTTCAATAAATCTTTGGGATACCCCTACCTTGAAATATGATACCTAAACATAAAATGTAATAAATATTTTTTGGTTGATTATATGGAATATTTTTGAACTGCTAGTGTTTAAGGCGAGGGTTAAGCATTAGTTTTCTCCGTTTCTTTTATGTTCTGACAGTATGATATAATTTTTGGCTTACAGGGCCTTCGCTAACTCTTGTATTCAAAGAAAGCTTCTTCGATATCGTTATCATAAATAAGAAACAATAAGGTACCATGACAAGAAGAGCCTTGGAAGCACACCAACATTTTTATTCTAACAAAGTAGAATCAACATCTTGAACCTCCAAAGCTGTATTCGATTGGAAAAGTAAGATTCAAACCATGACAATTCACGACTTTGAACTCCATAATGCCCAAGTTTTCTACAAGGAGTTTTCCATGGTGTGTTTATCATGCGAAAATAGTATTAGAAGCGTTCTTCTGGTTTAGAAATGCAAATAATTGTACCATCAGTCACCAGCGTTTTTAGCAGACAAGTTGATGCTGAATAAAGCTTACTTTCTAGAAATCAGATTTTTTCATGCCAGTGTTTTTGGCGGAGATATCATTGTTTTAATGGTCTGGCGGGAGGTTGAATTTTAATTCTGTAGTCTGTACTAGAATGCCAGTAAACAAAGTTTACTGTATTCGCTTTTCAAATCAATTTGTGAAAACACACGGTTTATGAGCTGTTTAAAACAAAAAAGAGTTAGAATTACTAAAGACAGAAAATATGCGAATGTCGAAGAATTTCAGAACGTATGATCAAATTCGAAATATTCACGCAAAACTTTTGTCGGATAATAATTTTCCCCAAAACAAGGATGAAATTAGCGACATAAATTTTTCCTTGAGAATTCAGCTTAAAGTGGCGTTGGCGTGGAATCCTACCTCGCCCATATGCCTGGAGAGAATATGCGGCGGAGAGAAAAGATGGAATGCACTATGGGCTGTTACTAGTTAGCTATAGATTTTTTAAAAATCCCTTAACATGACTTGAAGGTAATATATTGTACGACAGTTGGATGCGTTGAAGAAGAAGGCAAGACAGTTGTCGGTAAACAATAAGCCACCTTTTAGAAGTAGCAAGATATATTGTCATCCTAAAGCTCTTTGCCATCCTATTGCACCTTGATGTCACCTTGATGTCGAATGCAATAGCTTTGTAGCAAACTTAGCATTGATTCTATTCATGGGCAATAATTATTACTCTTATTATACCAACTTATTAAATGAAGCTGTTCATTCTATGCAAAACACTAAGATTTGCAACAGTCACCAAATTGGAGTTAACCGGTAATTGAAGATTTTCACTTTTTTGAAGTTACATCATCAATAATTATAAATATTACCTTTCAAATGATGTAGTTAAGACATAAATCCTAAAACAAACCTGCCTAGTGAATCTGAATGGACTTAAAATTTGCATTTGGTAACTCTGTTGCAGTTCAAAATTACACCATCCTTTCAAAAAAGATACTTCAGAAGAAGAAGAAGAGAAGAGGAAGAAAGAGAAGAAGGAGAGAGAAGAAGAAGAAAGAGAAGAAGAAGAGAGAAGAGGAAGAAATAGAACTGGTCCCATAATCCACAAGCCTTGAGGGGTTTTACAGCTATAGGCGTTTGTTCAGATTTTCAAAAAACTTCAGATGAAGTATTTTTTATTTATATACTTTCTAGATGATGGGTACATATGAGAAGGTAAGAAAGGGTTACCCCCTCATAAACATCATGTCACTGTAAAGCTAAAAAAGTCAAAGGATCAAAAATGTCACTGTAAAGCTAAAAAAGTCAAAGGATCAAAAAAGACAAATTAAATATTGTACATCTTATACTTTCGAATAGACCTTTGACACATCAATTCATACATTTAACTTCGCGGTAACACGTTCAATAGAAAATAACTTCGAAATGCCACTGGTAATTCTTCTCATCAAATCAACATCACAACGAAGCACATTCCTCTTTTCTAGATTCTCATCTGCAAGTTTTAGAGCTCTTCCTTCACTGCAACAACAAACTGGTCAAGAACATTCTTTCTTCTGTACACTCCATCAACTTTGGTACTGCTCATTTGACCGCCTGCAAAAATCACAAAAAACACATTTTAATCCCTAAATAAGTTTTTAAACATTCTGAATGAAGGAAAAATGCATTTTATTTTTTAACATACAAAGGTATAAAAAGGCAAAAGTTATGATGCATTTGGAAGATCGTTTTCACAAAGTGCACAGTCTGGTCAGCCCTTCTTGATAACTGGTGAACTGAGAATAAGAATCCTTGGTGAAATAATACCCATTTTAAGACTGCTTCTAGAGTCTAAATTCTGTCTCAGGTAATGGACTGAGATAGCCCTAAATAAACACATAAGAAAAACCAGCTGAGTTACCGGGTCCTTGAGCGGGACCTTGCATCACTAAAACAAATTTATACCATCATTGGTCAGATACTTACTAAGCATGCGCTCCAGTCTTTCGGATTCAGTCTTTGGGTAACTGTCTCCTTTTTCAAGTATTTTCTGCATCACCCTAACGTAATACTGTGCAGCCCTGAAAGCATCAAACAATACCTGGATAATCAACACATTTAAGTATAGCAACAATCATTACAATTCCTTAACAATGCATAAAGCTTAAGTCTTGTAAATCTAGCTAAATTACCTCACTGCTTTAACATCATTCTTGACACATGACCTAAGTCGTCATTATTATTTGAATTGCTTTCTTTTTGTTAAAATGGCTTAATATAACTGTCTGCGTATATAGCTGAAGGAATGACTACGCCTTGACAGAAGAAGATATGTAAGCTGACTTGTATTGATTAGGGTTTCGGTTGACCAAAGAGTGTCATGGCAAGTAGTCAATGACACAAAAACTCTTAATCAAGCAAGACCTATTATAATCAATACGAGGACGTCTGTCTCAAAGAAATTTTGTGTGCCTAAGTTCACTCTCCACAATTGTTAACTACATGATAATGGAAATGAGAAAAACGAGGTTGGACATCTGGGCGTTTTGTAGGTTTTCTGGAAACCACGTCGGAAGATAGGCCGAGGTCTTCTGACCATTTCCTTTTGAAGTGGACATCCAAATGAATTGAAAAACTTGCTCTTATTGAATGTCAAAATTACTTTCATTATAAAATTATACTGTGCTTCCACAATGTTCATGTTGCTTTTTAAAATTTTTACACGTCTCGAATGGCCCAGTGTGTGGCATATTGGATAAAGGTTGCGATAAACATGTTGGCAGGATTGGAAAAAAAGAATGGTAATTGATTGTGATCTTCAGCATCTTTTTAAGTGATTTAGCAGTTTTCAACTAGATGATCGTCGTAGACTAGGTTGTCAATGTTTAAGTTTCCTTATTTTCTTGAAACATATCCTGAATAACTTAAGTATATATATGTTGTAAGTATATAATATAACTGTCTGCGTATATGGCTGAAGGAATGACTACGCCTTGATAGATATTTCAAATGCAAGTCACTGTCCTTCAGCATATTCATATTCAATCAAATAAAAGATTTTCAAAGGTTAAGAACCTGGTAGAAAGGAGTCGTTATTTGACGGGAAACAATTTCCTAAAAAATTCAACTCCCATTGTTCTGTAACTCGTATTATACAATGAGCTTGCAAACCCAAAATAAAGTTCATGATTTATTTGGATGTAGAAAAATATATCAAAGTAATAATATTTATTTGAAAAAAATATGGTCAATTCATGATAAATTGAAAATGTTTCAATGTCCCTACGTGTTATTAATTTCCGAATTGAGTTTATACGCTAAAAGTGAGCAGCTAAAAATGCCTATTTCTTTCCAACTTCAATACTTTCCTATCATATCACAGTACCAGCCAGCACATAACCTTCGTACATTTCACTAGCCTCAAACTTTCATATATCTCGGATCAAAGGCTACATAGATCTCCTCGAATAGTAACTGAACAAGATAAACTGTCCAGTTCGAGCATGATTTGCATTCAAGGAATCAAATTTAAAAAGTATCTATTAAATAAATAACTGTCTGTAAAACTGCTGCATGACAAAAAATAGCCACATAGCCACATGCCTCAAATAACAAGGGGCTGACCCTTTATCAACTCACTTTTGATCAGCTTCCCCATCAACTGCTGCAGTAGCCTCTTTCACAATATCATCTCTTTTTGCCTTTAAAATAAGATAAATGGCGGAAAATCATTATCAATACAAAAACAAAAAACAAGATACTTTAGGGTAAGAGGAAAGCCTTTTCGTGAAGAATGAATTAGCTTAAGAGGGTCATCACCCATCCAACAATATTTGTTAAAAGAAGTTCTTCAGAACCTGAGGGGGAACTTGTGCATTATCTGTCCACAAATGACTAGCCTGTGTGCGATTTTAGCAAATTTGTAACCAAAATTTTTGACGCAATGATGATAATGGTCATTTCTTCAATGCTCCTCCATTTTCTTGTGGGCAAGACATGTTAATGAAAGGGCGGTCAATAGCAAGCATTAATAATTTGATGATGAGGACAATGGTGAGGGTGATCGCTGGCATGAAACAAAATGGCCTGGTAAGAGAATATGTTACAGAGATAAAACTATGTTACTAACAATTTTTAGAACCTATAAACTGAATGCTTAAGTATTTAGCACTTTCAGAAATTTGTTAGCTCTTAGCTTAAGATGATTTTCGTTAAAAAAGATCATGTAGTTGTACGAATACACAATGGAAAAATAAAACTCACTATTTCAGTCATAAATCTCTTGGCAAGCTCGTCAAACTTATCTATTCTCCCTTCCTGTGAAAAAAACATAAATTAACGATAGGAATTTCAGAAAAATTATAAATTCATTGACAAAGACATGTATTTAAATAGAGTAAACATAATATTCAGGCCTGGCCATTTGAGGAGAGTCATAGCTCTTGCTCCCATCCTGGCTCCCTTCAAATTCTTGAGGGGGGCTGGTGATTGCTCACCTAAACTGTTCAAAAAACAAATTAACTTCTTTGAAAACAAATTTCCTCTCACTTCTATTTATATATCTATAAATAGCTCACCTGGAAATTACTAGGAGATCTGTTTACTACTCCCCTTCTAAAAATCTTATGGCCAGGCCTGATCACATTGACAGATGTTTTCTGGCATTGATCATTTAAAATAAGTATCAAATATAATATAAATCATACCTTTATGAAAATTTAATCCCTTTACCACCTAGCCTGTAGAATAATGTGTCTATGTGGCCCCCAGCTAGAATATTTGCAAAATATGTTCTTTTTCCTTTACATAGAGAGCTAGATAGGAAGCAACTGATTGTTAGCTTCTCCTAATATTTTGTTAACTCTCTTAATAATAATATGTTCCAAATTACATCACACATATATATACAAATAAACACATACCATTTCATTCAATGCCCCACCAGCTCTCCTGTGTAGTTTGCACTTTTTATTTAAAAAGTCAATTAAGTCTTGCTCATCTCTTCCACCATTATACTAGAAACAAAACAAAAACTATTAATAAAACTGAATTTAGGGAAATATATAAAGAAGGCAAAACTTCAAAAGGAGAAGCTTGCTTAGTTGCAAGTAACTTCAGAAAGCATATCTATATCGCAATTGCTTAGGAGCCTCTTAGTCATCGAAAATAACATATTTTGCATAGTTTGGAAACAAAATTAAAAATACCATTCTGGAAAACTTGTATGACATTGCTCGCACCGGACCAAAAATTTCAATGTTATACATATAATACTATAACAATTTATATGTGGGCAAGGTTGCTTGCAGCTCAAATATTTCTGCTCGCAGGTTGCAGCTGATAAAGTGTTTTTGGTCACAGCAATGCATCTTGGCAAAGTCATACATGATTTCCAACATGGTGTAAAGGGGTTTTTAGGCCTTTCTTGGAATAAATTAGCACAAGGTGTGGCATTTTGCCCTCCTAGACTGTGGTAGGAGTGTGATGGTGTGCGTTTGGTGTTTTGTCTTATTTCTATAAAAAGTTAAGTTACATGGTGTATAGACTATAGAGCCATAAAAAACCTCATTTCTCAAGTTATTTCTTCAGTTCTTCCACAACTTAAACAAAATTTATATGTGGTTTTAAACAAAAGCAAGGGTAAGCTTTAAAAAGTGGGAATAAATACTGAAAATAGGGCATGTCAAGCTTGAAGCTCTCATCTATCTTTATCAGATGTGCCTGGTAATTGATTGTGTCATGTCATTAATCATGTTTTTAGGAAAGTGTTCAATAAAATTTGAAACTTATCCAGGTGCTTTTCGAGCTGAAGGAGGGTCTCTTTGACTGCAACAACCACTGTTAAGCATTTGGCAAGCAAACCCTTGGCTTTTTAAGCCATCTCTAATCAGGAGGAAATATGTTCTTTGCCTAGCGAGCATCAATGCAGAGAAGAGATGATGAAGAACTTAACAGTCCTTAGTTTAAAAGTGCTTCCTCTTTGCAGCCATTCCATAGAAATGACACATATTGATGAAAAAAAATATTTTGGAATTTGAATATGAAAAGTTGCTTTTTAAGTGGTAAAATACCTTGCTTAAGCATATTTATGATTTTATTTCCCAAAAATTGCTGATAATGGGCGTGGCTATGGTTATACCTGACCTTACTATTGCTAAAGGTCATTGACAGACACTTGTACCATTTTAAGAAAAAAGCTCTCATTATTGACATAAATGAGATTTTGTGGTTATTTTCATGTTTGTTAATTCCTTTTATATGAGAGAATGTCTATGCAGTCAAAAAAAAATTTTAAGTAATGAATAATTATGTAATGCCACACTGAAAAGACCCTCTCTGAATGGTCACACGAGTCACACTTTTCATAATAAAAGTACTCTCATCTTTCTCCCTTTAATTCTTGTTTCATTAATTGGAGCATAGTTTGGCTTTCAAATGAAAGTCCATGCTGACCTAGAAACTGAAATTGATCAACCCAGTAATTTTCACAAAAAATCACCCTCAAGTTTTGTCACGCGAGTCACAATACATCAGTCACATTAGACTAATGGGTTGGATTTAGGTCTAGACAATTTCAAGGAATTAATTTCTTTATTTGGGTACCATATATCAGTTATAGACATGGATAATACTCAATGATATGGAAGAATACTAGTTTCTCATGCAAATGAGGCTGTAAATCTCTTTTCCATGTTGGTACCCAGTGCCAATGAAGTTGAGAAAATACTAGAAAGCTATTAAGGTGGAGACATATCATTTCCCAAATTGATTGAGCCCAATATAGGTCATTGGTATGCTGTTTACTGGGAGCCAACAGACTATTGGTTCCTGGGGCATGTAGTGAGAATTGACTCAAATGATGATGTCACAATGGAATTCCTATAGATAAAGTAAGATAGGCAACTGCAAGTAAAGACTTTCAAAATGTGATGGTCACACGAGTCACACCAGATGAACAAAAAAATTGCAGAGGTGAGCAAGTTTTTTGGAACAAAACATTGCCAACATAAAAAATGGCTCAAGGGGATTCTATTATTGTATCACAAGCTTTGGAAAATAATTCTGACTTTACTAGACAACTAAATATGTGTGTGACTCTGTCACGCGAGTCACTATGGAATGGCTGTTTGAAGGATTTATCCTTTCCTCATGAATTTTGGCCGATTGGAAGGAAAAAGGGAGGCATTGTTAACTAGATGCAATAAAGAAGGATTGAAGAAGGCTCTATCCCTGTCATATCACTGTAATTCTGTTTCTGCTCTAAATTTGATGAACCATGCCAAACTAGCAGAAATCTAAAGTAATCTTAATATCATTTATTAGCCATATAGCTTTTCCAAATTGTAACATATCTAACTAATATTGTGTATTTAGAGATAATTTATGGTGCTTTAAAAATATAGTTTTATGGCGTTACACTTATTTATCAAATCCTTTATTGTCACTTCTCACCAATTCTAAATGCTTTGGAAGTTAAGAAAAGTTTAAAAACCGTGTAAGTGTATTCAAGGCAACGTCTGGGACATTTTTTTTAGTAAGTTGAAAGCAAAAATAACAGATGAAGGTCTATTGATCCATATTAATCTAATACTAGGGAAATCAAAAGTATTTTTTGTCCATTTCAGAAGGAATTTTAAGCAAATAGAAGTATATTTTTGGGCAATTGATCAAGCAAAAAGTGTAAGTATTGCAGTTTAAACATAGTAAATAACTTGATTCAAAGACATTCTGTCATCTTATCAGTTTCCTGCGTTTGGGTAAAAAAGGAATAATTATAAAACAAGTGTGTGATAAAACGAACTTCCAATGTAGTAGGCTTAACGTAACTGTAACCTCAGACCTGGCTGTTTGAGGCAGGCGATCGCCCACACCTCCACGCTCGCCTCAGGTTAGCGAGGTGAGCTATTCATTGCTCGCCTCAATGTCAGTGTTGAATTATGTTGATTTGCGGATATATGAAACTATCGCTTTATTTTTGTTGGAGAATGGCCACCTTGTTTTGTAAACTTAGCTGATTAAGAATGTTGTTTATTCATATACTTTAATTGACAATTTTTAAGAGACTAAAAATCGCCCACCTGACTTTACTGAGGAGAGCGATGTACTGCACGCCTGCTAAAATGCTCTTGGCCAGGCCTGTAACCTTGTAATAGTTTAACCTCATTATCATATGTGTATAAGTTGTACAGTTTTTTTGTGTTAAGATCAGTCAATCGCTAACCTCAAGCATGCGTCGCATGTTATTCTTTGAGTCGCCTTTCCCTCTCTAGTATCAGGATTACTCTAGAGTCATAGGACACAGTATATCCTATAACACCAGGGGGGGGGGGGCGTGTATAAATGCATGCAAGTGTGTTTGTATGCCTTTTCCAGGAAGGCTTATGGGTCGTCTAGGAAAACTTTGCAGCATTATATTGAAGAGGCCTGTCAGTCACACCTTAGTCATAAGCTGTGGTTCTCATTCAGCATTTGTCTTTTTTTATAATTATCAGAAAAATAAATGATAAAGTGAAGCTATGAAAGGGCTTTGGGCAAAGGATGTTTGATATGGCTTAAACCAAGATAAAGAGTTATATAACTTGGGTTCTCTTATCAGCACTCATTCATAATGCAACTAGAAATTTCAAGAAAACCAAGCAGGTAGAAAAACAGACTGACCTCTTCTCCATCTTTGTTGTCTTTTGGAAAGAATTTTATAGTTGGAAAGCCAGATATGCCATATCTAGAAACAATTATTAACAAAGATATCCAAAAATAGTAATTGCTTAAAAAAATTAAAATCATCAGTAAGTACAGCAAATGACAAAAAGAAACAATTCTAAAACAAGAAACAATGAGCCAAAAACAAAGAAATTGATTCTGATGTATTGGAAATCTTCCCTCTTTTGTGAAATTACTTTTTCACTTTTAAGAAAATCCAGCTCCTTGTTAGAAATCTTATGCTTTTAAAGCTGAATGCTTAGGTTGATATATTTGGTTACTTCAATTATATTTCAATTCTATGTTATCACAGAATATCAAAGAGTAAACATAACTCACTTTTCAGACAGGGGCCTATTGACACTGTCATCTGCATCTACGCTTGCAACAACACACTAAAGAAAATTATTGTTAGGAATTTGATGCCATCATAACTTGTTAATCAAAATATGAAATTTTAAACAATATATATTGTAACAGAGTTAGCTTTATGCAAAATTTGAATTTGTGGATTGGTGTGTTCAAAGATTCTGTGAACAAGGAAGGGAGTTTTAGAGGTCTGTGACAGTCAATGTCCTTCAAGGACAAGATACTAAATTTTGAACCGATGTATCAGAACACAATTTCACTTGAGTAGTTTGACGCAGCCATAATATGTTTGTACTTTAAAGGACCAATCCTTCCCTTTGCCCAAAACTAGCTGGATGAACTACATTACCACAGGATCAACATTGTCTGGGGGCCAATGGGGGCCATTGCCTTCAAATGATTTTGTAAGATATGGTATTGCCAAATACTATTCTAAAACTTCATATCAAAAAGATCATTTTTCCCAATTCCCTAAATCAAAACATATTAAATAGTTTAAAGTCCTTTAGTGGGGGCCTTCTGATATCTTAATTTTAGGGGCTAATACCAATACTTTTATACTTTTAGCCGCCCCTGCAGAAAATCCTCCTAATGCACTATCTCTACCATGCAAAGAGATGCAAGAAAAAATGCAAATACATCAAAAGTAAACAGTATACAAAATTAAAATGGTTGGTCCTCCTTCCTCGATTACTCTTGAAGCTTCTGCCTGTAGCAAATTTTGGCAACTCATTCAACATTGACTCAAGAAAGTTACAGCTCAAAGGGGTGCTGAGTGCATTTACTGACAGAGAGGGTGAGCTACCCCTTAATTGCTAACAAGATGGAAAATTTGCCAATGAAGCTCCTTGAGAAAACAAAAAACCCTTGCATTTGAAACTGAACTTTTTATGGAAGGATTTCACATCTCTGATTCTTGTAGATTTCTAATTAGAAAGATAATGAAAAACCTTGTAGCTTAATGGATGTGGCTAGAAACCACTCGGGAAACTGCAGTGTTGAATGTGTTTAATTCGAAAATTAATCATTGCTTGAAAGTTTGATATGTATATATGTGATGGTTACTTCTTATTTTATAGCCTACAAAAATAGGAATATAATTTTTAATGGCATATTACAACAAATATTTTACAAAAATGGAAAGTGAAAAAATTATTTAAACTAAAATTTGAGATTGGTAGCAAATCTCAATTTTCAACATACATTTTTATCATTTTTGAACGTCTGTGCAACTTTTTCATATACTGGAGCTAGTCTTTTACAATGACCACACCCTACAAAAAGGAATTACAGTAGTGATTATAATGGAACATATATGGCATTATTTCTTAAAAATTCACAAAACTGAAACAGATATCCAAATAACCCGTTAGTCGGGTTTACGAAGAACACAGTTTCAACTTACATGGTGCAAAGAATTCAACTAAAACATCCTTGTTTGGATCGAGAGCTACGGCATCGAAGTTTGAAGCTGTGAGTTCTGCCACATCTCCTGCTAGACATGCCGAAATAAAAGCTGCGAAAATAGAAACTATGACAGATTTCATCCTTGAACTGTTTAGAAGGCAAGCGAGTACGTGAAAAAAGTCTGTGTACAAACGATGGCCTAAAAGTTACTTTCCAATATGGAACAAACGTGTCTCGTTACTTTGTCCCTTTGATGCCTCGCTTTGACAGAAAGTTCGCAAGGAACTCTGGGACTGTTGAAGACTTCGTCGATCGAAGGTGTTTTTGAGACATATATGGGAGATGGGGAAAAGAAGAAGAACAGGAACGCAATGTTGTGCCTTTGGCTGCAGGAAAAGAAAAAAGAACAAGGTGGATCAGGAAAGAAGTGATAGTGAAGGAAGTGAAGACGAGGAATCGCAGAGGAAAAGAAAATTTCCTCGTACTTTCCACTCGTCAGTATCCTTACTTCATTTTCGTGATCAGGCCATCTTTCTTGCAATAAACTTACTGTTAAATCCATAATTATAGGATCACCTTCAACAAGTAGCGAAAATAGTTGTAGGAATTTTTGAAGGAGCTTTCTTATATGAGGTTTTACATGCTTTTCTAAATATTGGGTGTTTCTTTGGCTTCAGTCACGGACTTTCCTTAAATTTTCGCGCCAAATGTTCAAAGTTTTCAAAATCATAACATTGCATTTGGCAGAGTTTTCTTCATTCAGTTTGACTCAGAGCAGCAACTATTGTTCACGAACATGGCACGTTGATCATAATAAGCTAGAAGCCCTTTAAAATTGTTTGGAATTGTTAAAATTAGAAATGCCTTGTCTTGAGAAATTGATGCATTACAATGTTTTGTATTTTGATGCATTACGATATTAGGGCCGGTTCAAAAAATATAGTTGCGGAGCATGCTGGTTGTGCAGAAACCTTTAAATAGCTGAATACCATGATTTCCATAAGTTTGTACATTCCAGGTACTTAGGCTCAAAGATCTTTCGGCGTACACTCAGGTTTTTTGGCTTTCGGCATGCAAACCAATAAAAAGTTTTTTTGCATACGTAAGACTTAATTACATAGTTGACATGAAAAGGGATAAAATAAAGAATCACACACCACAGCTTCTTTATTACACAGTTTTCTTTGCCTGGCATGCAATATTTACAGTTTTATTAACTGCTAATATTTTTGGCATACAGTTGACATGAATACCCTGGATGATTTCAACAGAAGCAAAAAAACACACTTGTAAAAACATCTTTATGTAACCAAGATCTCTCCAAATTGATACATTTTCCAGCCAGTATGTAGAATATGTCCATTGCACAGCTGATTTTCTCACAAAAAGCTGCATCATTAATGATGTAATTCTTGCCAAAACTGTTTGAACACTTGCACAAAGCGAAAGGTTTTTTGAACAATCTCCCCTCATCCCTTATCTGTTTTACCACGTTGTTAAAATGTGCTGTTTTGATGCTGAAAAAAAGATTTTTGTCACTGAAGCCTATTCAAAGGTACTGAGCATGGTGAGAGGGGGTCAAAATTTTGCAAGCATCAGTGAAATATACAGAAAGTAGTTTTATCTGCATCCATGTAATTTATTAGTACTTTTAGGCTGATGACAGGGGCGGATCCAGCAAAAAACCTGACTGAGTTCCAGGCCAAGGCTAGGGACTTTCAGAAAATGCATTTATCATTATGCATAAGACAACATTATTATTCATATTTATCCATTTTGGCACCATTGAAGGGGGGAGGGGGGTAGGTACTATCTACTCACTAAATCTAGATTCTAGATTTCTTTCTGACAAAAAACAGCGCCTCTGTGAAAAATTTTTCAACCCCCTCCCTTTCTCAATACCCTTTGTTTGTTTTGGATGTCACAGCAAAGTTTTTCCCTTTTGTTTTGCTCGTAATTTGTTGTTTTGCCTCTGTAGACACCAGCCTATTCATCAAAATATGGTGTTCCATCTGAGCATAGGTTTTATGTGCCATCAAAGACTACAATTCAAAGCAAAGGTAGTTAACACTCCTGGAAAATTAACGATATCTCCTAGTTTTATCTCAAACATTTAATAATCTGCTAGAATGCTGCGATGGTCATGAGTATAAGACATATGCAGTCGCCATTTCGAATTCAATGTTTTGCAGTTCCACAATAGAACAGAAACAATAGGTAGCCAATGAACTACGGGCCATTGTACAGCTCTCTTACAAATATGGTATCATTTCCAAGTTCCAGATGCTGTTTTGACTGAGTTCCATCCGTGTTCCAAACAAAAAGTTTATTGTTTCAATTCATTCACTTGTAAGGCACAAAATGTTTATTTCCGAGTTCCAGGATTGACCTGTTGTCCTCCACAGTGTCTGGAAAATCGTTTCCAAATCAGGACTGAGAAGAAACTGGCAATTTTTGAAGAGACTGTGATAAAACTTAGAATTTTTAGGTTTCAGTTTTTTAATTTAAATATTACTTGTTTCAGGCAACACTATTTTTAGCTGTATGTTGGAAAACTGACTGAGTTCTGTGCACCAAGAAACTCACTCTGGATCCCCCTCTGGATGAAGCTTTCTTGTAGCAAATCTATCAGCATTAATTATTTTTCAGATTTCCATATGATCCAGAAAGAAGGGAAAAGTGGGTTTCAAACATGTACAGAGAAGACTGGTCACCAACTATCTACTCGAAAATATGTTCTGATCATTTTGTAGAAAGATTTTTAAATCGCTCTGGACTGCTAAGAGTTGAAGTGAGATGCAATGCAGTTCCAACACGATTCAAACAGTTGCCTAAAGCTATAAGAAAGGTACACATTTTCCCATTATGCAAGGGTATCTTATGAAAGTCAATCATAGTCTCTTAGTTTATCTATTTTAAAAAATATTTATGTTAATATTTCAAAACACCCATCATTTAATGAAAACCCTAGTCAGTCTTTGTAATATGAGGTGTGTCGCACACAACCAAATTGTCTGGGGAATGGGAAACATTGCACATGCAAAATAAAGGTACTCCATGAAATCAAGGTGCTCTATTTCACACTTTTTTGTAAAATTGCTGTTTGCAAAAATTGGGTTTTCTTAAAAACATGATTCCGTTTTTTAATGATTAAACCCCAAGTTGTTTTTAAGGTTCTATTTACTATTATTGGAAATTAATGTTTTGATTCAAAAAGGTTTTCGTGTAGACATGGCCTTATAAGGAACTAGATGTAAAATCTAGTCTTCAGAAGATTTGTAGTATGAACACTTATTAAAATCTTATAAACCAAAATATTTCAGTCAATTGAAAAGATTGTTTAAGTTTTATCAACATTAATCTCAAACAATATTTCTCTGCGGAACAAAATAGTTTACATTTTCAGGTGCTCCTTAAATCACTCCCTGTGGCTATTCCAGGGCAAGGTCTGAAAAACAAAACATTGCCAGGAAAAGCCTTCAAGTTCGAAACCTTGTTTTGAAGATGTTTTGAAGAAGTAAAGTAGCCCCAACAAACAGCAAGGCACCCATCCCATGATATGAGTATCAAAGGGGGTTTCTCCAAATCCAAGAAAAGTGTAGGTTTGCCACACAATTGCAGTCTTTTTTCTCGATAGAGGGACAATAATTATTGTCTTTCGATTCCTCTCCTCTACCTCTACGGAAATTCCTCTTATCAATTGGCGCTTAATGAATATCTGCTATGATATGCACAACCTTAGAGATCATACTTAAGGCTGCGTTATATAGTTGGATCATGGTTACACAGTGCTGCACAATTTTCCATACGGATAGACTTTACCTTTACATGAGTACAGATACATCAGATTTATTCAAATGATTGCAAAACAATTATATGATTACTTCTTGGAAACTTAAAAACATATTAAATTTAGCATCTTAAAAGAACAACAGAAACAGTTTCTCCATCATTCCAGTGTTGGTTTCTGCTCAGTTTAAAGCACACAAGGTTCCTTTAAAGCAGTACCTTATATTTCTTGATAACAGGAATGACAAATGATGATAAAAAAGTTGTTCGTATTGCAGGCTATCGCATGTGCCAAGTAATCAAGACATGCAAAATGCTGCACGCTGCCTATTTTCATGTTACAAAGACGCCTGTCTATAGGTTTGCCCATGCTGAGGATATGAAAAAAATTAAATGTTTATAATTGTTAAAAAAAGTTTTTAAAAATTGTAAAGCTTCTATTTTCAAGAAATCGTTGCCCACTAGAGTGAAATCATTCATGCATCATTATTATGATCATTGAGGATGTTATTTATGAAAAGCTGAATCCTGTTGCTTTTATTTATATATAATTACATAAAAATTAAAAAAATTAAAAAAGCCATCTTCAAACCTTCTATTGTGCACAACCGATAATGTTTACCCCACTTTTCAGTTATTAAAAGAACAAGAATTAACTGTGGAAGTTGACACACTAGAAAGTATTAGTGCAAATACTATCAATAATGGAAAATGTTCAGAGGAAGTAACACAGGAAGCTGGAAATCTTGATGCTCATCATACTTTGTCTACCAGAAATACTGCCACACAAACTTATGGTAATCAAACCCCTTATAATGACAACAAGTGCTCCAGTAAAGGAAAAAAAGTCATAAAAGAAATTGCTGACCATCAGTATTACATTGCTGATACTCCTAAGAAACTGAAAGCAAGACTTGATAAAAGTACTGATCACATAATCCTACTCAAGAAAAAACTGAAAAGTTCCCAACAAAAGACAAGACGGTTACAGAGTAGGGTGAAATCACAAAAGACGCTAATCAAGTGCCTTCGGGGAAACTACCAACAACTTGCCAAAAGCTACACAGCTATGCAAAATTACATTTATGCTTCAAGTTCTGCAGATGGGAGCCAAGTTCAAAAGCATGGATAGATTTTAAATTTGACATGTTGATATGCTCGTACATTTTCATAATTAGATAGAAATTTAAGTTTTATTAACAAAATTCTATAAGTACTATCTGTGCAAACCTTCCTGTTTATGCCAGTCTTTCCAATTATTATTTTATTTTATTCATGATGTATCAATTTTAAAATGCCATTGTTTTAAATATAGACAACAAAATCAGCATCATTATATCATATTCTTCCAGGGACTCTTCATCTTTTTGATAAACATTTGCTTAAGTTTAGCACATTGATTTTTTAATTATATATATTTAAAAACATGACACGAAAGCTTAAACTACCACTGTTTTGGCAGAAAATGCAAAGGGAAGGCAAATAGAAGCACTATCATGTCATATTTCCTCAAATTTAATTGATAAAATTAATGTCACAAAACAAAACACATGTTACAATATGTTAAAGCTTGTCTTAAAAACACACATATGTAGACAAGGTTGCTACGTTATGTGCAACTATCGTTTAAATGTTTTGTATTCAGTTTAAGAATCTGATCCTACACACAAAAGAAGGAAAATGGAACTCAAAACATAAAAAACTTTGCATAAATTAAGTTTGTAAATTTACTCAACAGTACTGATCAATTAAATTAATTACACTCAAAACTTGATTACTATTCAAATTAACATTCTGTGTTTAATGCCTTCAAACTGCCAATCAATTAATATGCAGTTTGTTGGAGAGAAGTGAAACAATACATTACCCCCAACAGACTGTTTGGGTAACCTAAAGATAGACTGTTATTTGTTTGTTTCTAATTTGTGAGGTGAGAGAATGTCGTCTCATTCCCCCCTTCTAAGTGAATGCAATTCTTTATGACATTGTTATTAGAAAACAAATAGTGTGGCTTTGATAATCTAACAATATTTTGTCTAAAAATGTTTTAAATAAGAGAACCAATACATTTTTGGTACTCATTAAGATTACAGTTCAAAATTTTAATTTCAGTTTTATGGTGTATCAAAATAAGTATTTCAAATACTTTGATAACCATGAATCAATAAAGGTTACAAAAGCCATGAATCATTGAAGTAAAACGCAACAGAGAAAATATTTACTTGTTTGTGTTTTATATGCCTGCGCTTGCACCATAATGGCTTGTTCCAATTCTGATATATCAGCTCACTTTTCTTCAATATTTCTACTTTGCCTGGACCTGACTGTTCTTCGTGGCCTTGAATAATTCTCACCAGCTGTACTTTGAGGTTTAGAGGTACCACCATTAACCAATTCTCTAATCAAAGGGAACTTGATCAAAAACATCTTCCAAATGATAAACCAACCTATGAAAACATCATGTCAGTCAAAATGTAACCCAAATTTCAAAGCAGAATAAAGTACTCAGTTTGAAAATACTGACATGACTATTGATCCTCCTCTATTTGGTGCAGTTGCTAAAATAGGTGTTGCTAGCTACAGTGGTGGCTCCACTAGTGTTAGTGGCAGGGTCAGCCCCTGTGCTTTGATGGGACAAAATTAAAAAAACTTGCCAACACCCTTTCTACTGCCAGAAAGCTATAGAGGCATATCACAAAAAATTCTTGTCAAAAATATTTTCTCATCCCTCCCTCAACATTTTCTCATCAAATTTAGACAAAATACAAAATTGTTCCTTCTATGAAGTGTGGGGATATGTGGGGCTATTGCTTTCTCTACAAAATGTCAGTGTGACTTTAATGGTTTCCACTCAGAAACCTGAAATACCCTAATGTCCTAACTTATCTCCATTTGAGAAAAAAACTAGCATGACTAATCTAAATCACTCATGATCTACCTCTACGAGTCTCGTTTGGTTTTTTCTACATGGTGAGCTCCACCTAAATCAACCAACCTTGACAACTACAATCATACAAAGTACACCATTTAATTCATTTTCAACTTGTTGTTAGGTGTATTTTAGTTATAATCAACTCCTACAATCCCTGCCAACATAATAACTTAGACCACATTTCAAAGCGTTCATTTCTCTTCTGAGAACTACTTTATCCATTTTCAATTTTTGCTGTTAAGTGTGGTTTGATCTGGCAATTGACTTTTGGATTCAAATATGAGACATGCATGTCAACTTATATATTTTTTGCAATACTTTTAGAACCAATGAAAGTAACATAAAAATCTCAAAAACCCTTTCCTGTGCTAGATAATCCAGACTTCCTCTTATGACACACACAAATTTTCTTCTCTTGCTACTTGACTTGTTAAATTTGATACATACAACATTTAAATACAAATGCACGCATACGTGTGTAATAGTTGGATCACTTTTTGTAACGGGGATACACATTGATCACCTGCATCAGTTATTTCAGTTCAGTGTCATATTTTAAAATGCATGGAGACAGGGATGGGGCCAGAAAAGAAATGCTGGGGGGGGGCTGTAATGTCAGAGTGCCGACAGTGAGTGAACCACCCACAAAGATGTAATATAACACCATTTCTGCTGTGGTAATTCTAGTTCAAAAAATGAAAAAAAAACTGAGAAAAAAATGAAACAATGAAAATATAAATTAATCACAAAATGGAAGTTATGAAAGTGCAGACATTACGTAAAATTTTTAAAAAATTGAAGTGCCGACAGGGGGGCTAAATGAATTTTGGGGGGCTCCTGCCCCCCAAGCACCCCCGGTAGCGCTCTCCCTGCATGGAGATGGAAAAACTGAATTTCAGTCGAACGAAAGTAAAAAACTAAATGCGATGGCTCGAAATTTCAGTAACACATTTGTTAGCTACATTTCGAAATTAAACAAGTTTTTAAACATACTTACCGACGAGTACCACCATTAGAACTATCAAAAGAGCAATAATGACAGATGATAGCCCAGCGATAATTTCAGTGATGTGGATTTCCCCCATCCCAACACCAGTCCTTTGAAATTCAATTGAAAGTAAAATCTACAAACATTTAATCACCTAAATTCGAGAAAACTTTAGTGACTAAAAATTTCTGTCATTGTTCTCTCTTGTTCTGATATTCTGACATGAAAACTGCTGACAAACGTCTTTCATTACCATCTACTAAACACCACCTTGGTTCCTCAGTCATTCTTCCAACAATTAATTTTGTTATGTTAACTTTGTATCCCTGTCCTAAGGTGGAATCAATTTAAGGTGATTCATTTTCCGTGTCTTCTCTGGAAAGGAACCAGTTTGAGGAGGAACTGTAATTTAGATAAAGTGAAAGACCGGCCTCAAATTTGAAAAGCTGTTTTATACATAATGAAGTTTAGATTCTGTGGAGATCTTGATTGCCCCGATTGGCTGTTAGCAGAAATCAGCATTCTCTCAAAGATATCATCAGTTAAAATGAAACTTCTCTGTGCTCAAGTTGTTGGGGAAATGTTGGGTGGCTCGATCGATTATGCAAAAGCCGCCAAGCTCACAGCTGATGCGAAATTTGAGATTTCCGACATTAAAGCTGCGATTGCTGCATTGAACTTCATCTTCTCGAGTTCTGCAAGGCATCGTGTGGAAGGGGAAACAGTATGCAACGAACTGCAACAACTTGGTTTGCCAAAGGAGCATGCTACTGCTCTCTGCAAAATATATGACGAAAAGCTCCAACAACTGGTGCAAATCCTTCGTGAACAAAGTATGCGTATTTCCAGACTAAAGAAAGTCGATTGGAGAGTTGATTATGTACTAAGCTCAAGTTTATACGACACTATAAGTGAACCAGAAGTTCAAATTAAAATTTCAAAGGAAGACAAAATTATAGACAAAGAATGTGAATTGGCCTTTACTGTTAATGGAGACGAATTCAGAACATTGCTAGCTGAACTTAAGCAAGCTTACAAATTGATGGAAGATCTCTCTTAGTAAGAAGAATTGTGTATGACACTGACCTCTCATAGATTGATTTTTGGCAGTAAACAAAGTATGTGATCTACCGTTTTTGTATGTGTTTCAAAAAATCTTTTGGAGAGTAGCAAATAGCTTAGTTAATGTTAAAATAGGTTAGAATCATTTAACAGCATGATACAATCGTGCCAGACTGCAAATTTTGGGTATGTGCGGGGAACGCCTTCCCCACCCAATAATTTTTTGCTCAAATCCCGTCCGAGCATTTTTGCAAATTTAGATTAATCCGAGCAGCTGGAACATGGACTTTTGGTGAATTTTGCGCATCGCCTAATCTTGAGGCCTAAAAGTGCTATTTAAAAATAAAATCCCGCAGCTTTTAACCTGTCATTTTGCAACATGATTTGTTCCCACGCATGCATAAGCGATAGAAAATAATTCCCTGCGCACAAAACATACTTTGCATTCTGGCAATCGTGCTATGGAAAAATTGAAATCCTAGACAAAATAAAAGTTGTATCTTCTTCTTGAAGCAGATGTCATTTCATCTTATCTAAGTGATTTAATTTTATTGTGAAGAACAAGTATAATTCCATGAAGAACTTTTCTACATAACAAAGAATAACAGCTTTTTCTACTGTCTAGGGCTCTTTGTTAAAAATAAATAAAATCTCAAAATAAAGCAGTTTAATTTTTAAATTGTTTCTAAACATAACTGCATGTTTGTTGCGTCCGATGCGCTATAAAACAGGTCATCTACATTGTTATGATTAAGTTGACCATGTTTGATCAAATATGTTTTCCAATTTTCTCTCTCTGGGTGAGTAGTCATATAGACCTGTTGGTTAACTTTTGGAAATGAGGAATTAGTTGTATTAAAAAACACACAATGTTGCTTATGTTTGCTTTGTACTTCAAATGAATATAAAAAAATGTTCATTATAATTATGAGTAAATATTGACTTTCTTGCCTCTATTCTTTGCAAATGATTTTTAAAATAGGATGTTTTGAAATGAATCAAAATTCAGTAAGCCAAAAGGTTTGGCTGAATTTGAAGTTTAAACCTTGTCTTTGGAAGTAAAAAATGGGACCTTTATTTGAATAAAGAAGGTGATTGACAGTAAGAAAAACTAAGCAGAAAAGGAATTGGGACTTGATACACTACAATTCTTGCAGAGCAATTTCAATAAAGTCGAAGTTAGACTTTTTGACAATTTTATTTTTGAAAAAGGTTGTCAAAATAATCTATGGTCCAATACATGTATATCAATTCTTTCGTTTGGTTAAAAGATTTTGCTTTCACTAAAAAATTGAAAGATTCTATGAGCCCATAAGGCAAAAAAAGGTCTACATATGAACGGGTAAATCAGCCCTTTCATTATTTTTAATCTAGAACAATGTATTTTAAAGCAGAAGATCCTTTGCATAATCTTTTGTTAACATTATTGTCAATTAATCCAACCCTGTCTAAAGAGTATTTGACAAATCTAGAAAAAATAATGGCACCATTTAACTTAAGGTTTTGCAGTGTAATGCTACAAGGATAGAATTATTGGGGAGTGTGGGGTGTGTGACACCACCTCAATATTTTAGTGCTCTTCGGTAAATTCTACTTCAATTCAGTAAAAAGCATTTTTTGTAACCATTAGTAACAAAATGATGCAAAAATTAACTTTGTTTATCTTCTTGTCTTCTTTATCTCAAAGGTGAAAACTGAAATTTTAAAAATGGGTGTTTCCATCTAAAGTTTTGTAATGGTTCACTGATTCGACAGGCATGCACAAGCATTTGTGTATTCCTTGTATTTTGCTTTCCTCTAGAAAAATACTGATGAATGACAAATCAAAGAAACAATTATGGTTAGTTGTAGAAAACCACGATTCCTCTGAATTAATCGGATATGACAACTGAACCTTTCCTGCTGCTTTCTTATGACCCCCTCTTTAACAATTTGTATGCTTTCATGCGCTGATCAAATTCACACGAAAAATTTACTGATTGGTTCTACTGATTTGTGTTTGAATGTTTCACATTTCTTGAATTGCAATTTCCAGAACTGTCTATGAACAATGAATGCCCAAGACACATTTTAAACCAAATAGCTATTTAGTTGTAATAAAAAGCCAGTTCTTTGACCAAAAATTCCTTAAAGATGCAATGTACCTTAGTTTTAACTTAATGCCATCACTAAATCATTGTTAAATGCTGGCAGCAAAGGGACAAAGAGGGCTGGGTTCATAGGTTAACAGGACTTTTTCTGAACCAAGACCAACATATACATTTAACAAAGCATCACATAACTTTCCAATCACTTGCCAGTCAAATTCCTTGCCCTGTTAGGCCTGTAACACAGCTGTCCTGAAGTATAATAGATTATATGGTTGTGAGCTGAGAGTCACAAAACAAATAACATAATCTTTATTACACAATTCCCTTTGTTTCATGGAAAAAAATTAACATACAACAAAGTGTGTTTCAAGTGACCAGAAATGCAAATTACATGTGGTTACCATAGAACAGCTTGCATTTAAACCTATTCAGTGTATGCAAACCATTATATTCAAAATAAGCACTTTGGGCAGTTCTTTTTCCAGATTTAAGTTTGGATAAGATTCAATTACAATTCTCTTATCACTGCTTATTTTTCATGGCAGCACGCTTTCCTGTCAATGCTTGGAAGCCAGATTTGATGCTTGCAACAGAACATCTTGAGCCACAGGTTTCACACTGCAAGAAGAATAGTCTTGTTTCCTTGTGCAGAATTGTGTCAGGTGACCTACAGGTATGGCATGTCACATACTCCCCTGTAAAAGACACAAAAAATCATTCAGTACTTTAAAAAACTCAATTCATCTGTCTAAATTTAACTTTAAATTGCACTAAGTTAATTCCTTACAGGCTTATAATTACAAACTAAGTAAAACTAAAAAACTTGGCATTATTCTTATCGCTATTTCCTACAGTTAAAACATTATTATCACCCATTTGAGGGGCTAGTGACATTTTCCTCCAATAGGGAACGGTTCCCATTTTCCGCAAAAATGAATCAAAACTGTTTTAATGGCATTTGAATTAACATGTCCTGCTTAAAAGGCATCCACTTTCTTAATAGAAGCAAAATCATCCATCAAGATAACTAGAATGAAGTTTTAATTTCTGATGCCAACTCTCGTAAAAACACTGATGCTACGTCTCTACTCACTTGAAGCTAAGTTGAAAATATCTAGGTTAAAACTGATCCATTCAGAGATATATAAATCTTTTTTTATAAAGTAGGTTAATGGTGACACGAAACATTGGATTACTTTTAGACTTTTTGTTTTAATGTATGCTGGTTGAAGGGCTGTAGTATGGGAACCTTTTAATCTAGTGCAAATACGACTAAGGGCTCTAATCATAGGTAGGTTCATATGTTGTGTTATCCATCAAACACCTGCAAATTAAGAAATAACAAGACAAAACATTGATAAACAATTTTATGATAATGATGCACATAAGTCCATTTCAACTTGCAATAACTATCAGTGATTTCCTGTCAGTGATTTCAAAAGTAAGAAAGGGCCCTGTTTGTGGTTATAAAAGAGTGTTGAAGGAAGGGACTGATCAATATGAAGGCTGTACATCCAAATTTTAGAATATGTTGTGCAAACAAACAGAATAATATCTATATATGAACACAAATATATAAACACAAGAAATCTTACTGATGTATCGACGTAATACGTTTTCAATTTGCTTTTGCTGAAATCTTCCCTTGATAATAAGCTGGTTCCCACCATCAACTGAGCCACTGAGGGTAAATTAGATTTGTAAAAAACAAATTTAAAAATGCCACATAAGTTAAGACTCTAATACTTTTAGTAAAAACTAGAAAATCATTCTAGTTATTCTAGAAAATTTACTTATTTTTGGATCGCTTGTCAGGAATTTTCTATTCCGTACCACAAGCAACACCTATTAATGGTTTATGAATAGATAGCCTTGATAGCAAAGTAAAAAATTCACATGACCAAAAATAATGCTTAAAAGTACTATTTCAGTACTATTTTCTGGGTCATTCCATATCAAATCATCAGATATTTTTAAGATTTGTAACCCATGGTCTTAGAATTTCTTGATTTTTTTACCACAAAGAGCCATTTTGGAGAAAACACCACATACAAAATTTCATCCTTATATCTCTTACGGTTGCGATTTTGTAGCCGTTTCAAAAGTGACCCATTTTAGCCAAATATGCCACACCCAGTTTACCAAGTGATGGGCGCGGCTTTCTATCAATAGCTGTAACTTTTCTATAGTTGTCAATATTTACTTGAAAATAATGTCAATTATTGATTTGATACTGTAGATTTCAAATATTGCATCAGAATTTGTCAATTCTCTAAGGTGAAGCAGATTGTCATATGTTAAAGGTTATCACTTGTTTTGAAAATATTCCCAACCGATGTATATAAATATTGAAAAAAAGTCCTGTAGCTGGAATCATAGCATTAGAAGCTTGCTATATTCTGAAAGTGTATTCTTTGGGCTATCAGAAAATGTTTAAGATTACAATTGCAATTGAAGTATTTTGAGTTAATTGCACCTTACAAAATGGGTATAATTTTGCAAGAATCGTGAGCAAAAAAAATTTGTATTTAAGGTAATATTGCATGAAATAAAAAATAGCTGCTAAAAACATTGAATCAATCATGATTTCACATTCAGAGACAACAAAGAATAATTAAAAATGATTCCTAGCCATGGACAAGCTGAGATACTGCTTTATTGTCACTGTAGCTGAAGCTCTAAGTTTGACCTGTAATTGTTTTGGATGAATCAGTTTTGCAAAGCATGTAAATGTGATACCCAGCATATGTATGATCTGCTTGATCATGTAAAGTTCTGAGTGGGTTCAGGTGGGTGCATGAAGTTCATTTGAAAGTCCCCTTCATCTTCATTAATGTCATAGAAACCCACCCATCATTGAAATATAGGCAAGCAACATACTTTATCGTTCGAGTCCAAATGCCATTCTCTCCCTTCTTAGAAAGAAAAGCAAAGTTTGCTGCAAAGTCTTTGTCATCAGAAAATTACTTGAAAGCAATCTTTTCATCTTAAAGTAGATAAAACTGGGGTGTAGCATGCAATTTTGCTTGTTCCAATGGGCTGACTGAATTTCATCTTAAGTGAAAAATTAATAGTTTTCGGCAAAGTCAGCCAAAAAACAAGAATCATCTTCATTTCTTCCTTTCACTTAAGGTATTTTGACTGCAATTGTGTAAGAAAAGAATGAGAGGTCAAAGCAACAATACACTTTACAAGCAGCTCAACAAAATAAGCAATACTCAAGAACCGTGTTACTATTTTTGATCTATATGATAGTGATGTTTATTTCAGCAAGGTGATAACACTAGAAGATCAAAAATAGTAACCATGTTACTATTTTTGATCTATATGATAGTGATGTTTATTTCAGCATGGTGATAACACTAGAAGATCAAAAATAGTAACACGGTTCTTGATCTATATGCTATTTTTGATCTATATGATAGTGATGTTTATTTCAGCAAGGTGATAACACTAGAAGATCAAAAATAGTAACCGTGTTACTATTTTTGATCTATATGATAGTGATGTTTATTTCAGCAAGGTGATAACACTAGAAGATCAAAAATAGTAACACGGTTCTTGAGTATTGCTTATTTTGTTGAGCTGCTTGTAAAGTGTATTGTTGCTTTGACCTCTCATTCTTTTCTTACACAATTGCAGTCAAAATACCTTAAGTGAAAGGAAGAAATGAAGATGATTCTTGTTTTTTGGCTGACTTTGCCGAAAACTATTAATTTTTCACTTAAGATGAAATTCAGTCAGCCCATTGGAACAAGCAAAATTGCATGCTACACCCCAGTTTTATCTACTTTAAGATGAAAAGATTGCTTTCAAGTAATTTTCTGATGACAGAGACTTTGCAGCAAACTTTGCTTTTCTTTCTAAGAAGGGAGAGAATGGCATTTGGACTCGAACGATAAAGTATGTTGCTTGCCTATATGACAATGATGGGTGGGTTTCTATGACATTAATGAAGATGAAGGGGACTTTCAAATGAACTTCATGCACCCACCTGAACCCACTCAGAACTTTACATGATCAAGCAGATCATACATATGATGGGTATCACATTTACATGCTTTGCAAAACTGATTCATCCAAAACAATTACAGGTCAAACTTAGAGCTTCAGCTACAGTGACAATAAAGCAGTATCTCAGCTTGTCCATGGCTAGGAATCATTTTTAATTATTCTTTGTTGTCTCTGAATGTGAAATCATGATTGATTCAATGTTTTTAGCAGCTATTTTTTATTTCATGCAATATTACCTTAAATACAAATTTTTTTTGCTCACGATTCTTGCAAAATTATACCCATTTTGTAAGGTGCAATTAACTCAAAATACTTCAATTGCAATTGTAATCTTAAACATTTTCTGATAGCCCAAAGAATACACTTTCAGAATATAGCAAGCTTCTAATGCTATGATTCCAGCTACAGGACTTTTTTTCAATATTTATATACATCGGTTGGGAATATTTTCAAAACAAGTGATAACCTTTAACATATGACAATCTGCTTCACCTTAGAGAATTGACAAATTCTGATGCAATATTTGAAATCTACAGTATCAAATCAATAATTGACATTATTTTCAAGTAAATATTGACAACTTTAGAAAAGTTACAGCTATTGATAGAAAGCCGTGCCCATCACTTGGTAAACTGGGTGTGGCATATTTGGCTAAAATGGGTCACTTTTGAAACGGCTACAAAATCGCAACCGTAAGAGATATAAGGATGAAATTTTGTATGTGGTGTTTTCTTCAAAGTGGCTCTTTGTGGTGAAAAAATCAAGAAATTCTAAGACCATGGGTTACATGGGTCTGATGATTTGACATGGAATGACCCTTCTACTTAACACATCAAAGCTATATATAAATTATTTTATGATTCGAATAAGTCCAAGGGACCCCAACTCGGTTACCAGGGGAAGGGGACTTATTTAAAAAATTCATTTTTTCCAATAGGGAACTTGTTAATAGGGGACTTTTTCAGGTCTTATTTGGAAGAAATTTCCACAAGGTATATAACCTGCCAGCATTTGCCCCTCTTCAAGTCTACAAGGGCAATTGCCCTTACGAGTACATAAATAAAATAAAGAAAGCCATAAATGTAATACATGAAAAATTTTATGAAAAGTTACATAAACAATTGTAAGAAAAAAATAATCTACACAAAATGTTACATTTTTTGTGTGCTGAAAGTTTTTTCACATCACGCATCAAACTGGTAGTGATATCAAAGAATGTCAATAACATTTTAAACTGTATGTCTATAAACTTTGAATTGATTTGTTCAGCTTCGTGAGAAAACATCTGCTTTCGGGTCAAATAAGTTCTGATACGATAAATTTTAAAAACTTTGGCGGGGATGGCACTCCACAGACAAAGTGCAGGGGTCAAATTACTAAAATATCATTACCTAAAAGAGCCACAGAATATGCCCTAAGGGCCACATCTGACCTCTGCGCCATATGTTTAACACCTCTGCTCTAAAGTTTCAAGAAACATATAATAGGAATTTCCACAATGCCCTTTACTCATTTAGCTTAATTTCTATATCACTCAGATTTCCAAAAATGTTTGGCAATTTATCAGAATTCAAATGAAAACACTGCAAAAAAGCATGCACACATTGTTTTGCTAGAAAACCCGATGTAACAGTTTATGAGTTGTCCATAGTGTTTACATTGCTGCATAGGCCCTAGGGAAGATGCTGGAAGACTCTACACCGTGCAATGAAAAGTCCTAATTATGTACTCTGTAGGATAGCAAGGGAAAGGCAAGAGGTAGCAGATGCCCCCTCCCCCAATGGCAAAAATATCTTTGAAAAGGGCCTTTTTTGGCTTTCCAAAAGGTGTGGACCCCCATTTTTCTCTTGCTCAACACACCTTCATACCCAATCTTACCAAAAGTACTGACATAAATTTACCCTCTTGCATTTATTCAAGCATAATATTACTAAAAAAACTAATACTAGCAATCCCATTCAATATATACCTTAAAAAACTAACCTTGTACCCAGCTCAGCCAATAAAAATGCTAGAAGATGCTTTGGTTGTCGATGTAGAATTCTGCAAATATCTGCAAAGTTTACAAAGGATGTTTTCTTTGTTCCAATACGGACAACTTGAGGTGGCTTCATAACAAATTTCTTCTTACCGCCTTCTGCCATTGCAGGGTTCTTTGCACGCATTATTTCAAAAACACGGTTTAAAAGCTGCAAACATAAAAACAGCATCTTTAAGTTTTTACTTTTAAAGTTATTAATGCTATTTAGAAAAATACTCACAAAATGATCATGGGAAGGTTTCAAAATAGTTATTTCAGTACATACACACCAGCGGGGGTAGTTAAGATTTTGCCATTAGAGGGAGAGGGGATTTTTTTCTATAAACATGAAGAAAAAACCAGATTAAAAACAACATACAGAGGTAATGTATAAATAAACATGTACAAGCAAACCCAGTCACGTGTAAGAGGGCTGGTTTTGGGACCCCTAGAATATTGGGAGCCTAGGCCCCCTGCTCCCTCCACCTACCCCCTTGATACACACACCACTAAATATCAAGTAAATCCAAGGAAACTAAAAAAACTGTAATACTTCAACCAGGCAAATACTTCCTACATCAAACCCACTTGAACTAGTCTCTTGTAATCACAGAGAAATTATGCTGCTCAATAACTCACAAGGGGTAGTTGTATTGGTACTTTCTTCCTCTGTCATGTAACAATGCAACTGATCTGCTCAGGTTATACTTTAAAAAATTTCCTAATATAATATGCTACTACAGCACAAATAACATATAAAGACTACAAATAACATATAATTACTAACACAAATGGCAGGCAATAAATAATAATGTTGCTTGCCAGAAATATTTTTAGAAAAGCATCTCATATTTGTTCTCAACTGTTAAATTTGCAGTTTCATTATAAGTAAATAAAAATGAAATAATTCTGGGGAAAGACTGACCTCATCGTAAGTGTAATCTCTGTCCTCTGCAAGAGCAGCTGATGGTTTCTTAGCTTCATTATCTGTTCAAAAGCAAATTTAGGTCAAATAATAAATTCCACATATTAAAAGCATGTGATGTACTGAAATACCTAAGGTTTTTCTGCTAAAAACGCATCTATCACATTCAAAGAGCAATTCTATCCTTGTTAAAAACAACACATTTCATTGGCAGGGGAATCATTACCTTATGTAGATAAAACAGTCAGGCCTGCTGACAACCAAAAACTTTATAGTATGTATTCAGACTTAACTAGCATAGTAACAATGTAAACAGTGAAAATACTTTATTAGTTAACTTTTTACCATTTGCTTCATCTCCTTCCTCTTCATTTTCATCAAGCTTGAAAAAAGCCAATAAAAATGTAAACGATTAAATAACTTTGGAAGGTAGCGCAGAGGTAAAATATATAAGGGAAAGGGTATTCAGGTATAGACAAACTGGTGAACATATAATATTTAACATTTTTGGCTGGGCCACAAACAAAACCTTACTGTGCTAGTAGGCCAGAAGAATATATAGATTATTCAGCTGCAAATTTTATATTGAACAGTAAATAGATTAATTGTACCAGCTACATCAAAAATTAAATTAATATTTACATTAACAGTAAAATGGAAAAAAACAAAGTGAAATATTTCATTATATGTTTGCCAAAAGTTAATTAATGCCACACATAGAACAGATAGTTGTTATGCGTTGTTAAGAAAATAAAATGATTGTTTGTAAAGGTAGATTGTAGCTCTGACTTGTTCAGCTTAATAAGAGAAAAAGTTTGCTTTTAGATCAAATCAGTTTGCCTTATAACTAGAACTTGTTTTTAACTTAAGATTTTATAAGTCTTGTGGATTGAAAGTGCACTATAAGAAAAGTGAGAAGCCACGAAACTGATTTATTGTGTCAATTTTCCACAACTTTTTTAAAAAAAACCCTTGGGTCTCTAGCCTCTGACAATCTCTAACAACTAAGCCTATTAGATGATTCTAACCGCTAGATAAATTAAACATTGGGAATGATCAGGCCTTGCAAGGAGAGGTGCTTTAGCTTGAAGACTCTAGGAGCTTGATTGATCGAGTACATGTCGAGTTATGCTGTCTAAAAATTAAAAGCAAAAAACCAAATTTTGTTATTGATGATATTTGATGATGCTCATTCGAGGGCTTAGAAAGTTGAAGGAGCTCTGTTTGTTAAGGCCCTGCTTTTCGCTCATCACAAGGCCTGGGCATGATATGACACTATATTCAATAAACTTAATCGAACAGGTTCATGACAATTCAGCATTGTGAAACATTGTTTTGCAAATACCTGTTTTGGCAAACACCAGTTTTGGCAAGCACAAGGTCCCCATGACATAATATGATAAAGGTGGTGCAATTACTTTTGAACAAGTCAAAACATTAACCTAGTCACACAACAGTTTTCCTTTATTTTATTTGGGCCATAACAGACAAAATCAAAAAATCATTTATATATTTCAATTATGAATATCTAATATCTTATTTCTCTTACAAATGCATCCTTGGGCTGCTTTTTGGGCTTCTTCTTTTTGGCCAGAGAAAGATCAAATTCTTCATCAGCCATTGGCCCCTCATTATCTTGTTTATTATCTTCAGATTCATTGTTTTCGACCAATGCTTCCTACGACAAGCATCAATATAGAGCATCAGTAAGATATGCAATAATATCAAATGAATGGCTGCCATTTGCCTTCAAATGAAGCAACACACAGTCTGTAGGAGGTCTTTTTTATTTGAACTTTGCAGAATCTTACAGATCTATCAACTTTTTATTTTAGGTATACAAATGGAAAAGACTAGAATTCAAAGAAAAGTCTGGGATAATAAAAAGCAATAATAAAAAAGTGATGATAAGTATATCAAACAAAAAATATGCAAAACCAGAAAGAAGAGGTTTTTTTAAATGGCTCATGATGAATAATATATAAGGATGGGCATCCATTTGCAAACTTATCTTTGAAATAAAAATAACTTTCAATAATCAATGTATTTGAAATTATATTTTTCAATTTATCTTGCCTTTTGAACAAAGCCTTTTAAACAATGTAGGCATACACATAATACTTAAAACTTTCAAATTATTTTTTTAGAAAAATACCTTCTTCTTTTTCTTTTTCTTTTTCATTTTTGAAAAATCATCAAGATCCAAATCAATATCTGTTGATTAAAAAGCAATTTTATATATAAATGCAAAATTAATCTCTTCATTGAGGCAAGTGGCACATTTACAATTTTTTAAAGAACACATTTTCATTATTCTGTGTTTTTGCTAAAATATTTACTGCTTTCATGTTGACTCACTGAGAAGTCTGGCTTTCAAAAGGAGCATTTTCTTAAAAAATCAACAAAGAAGGCTCCAGGGGCAATTTCACAAGAAAGTGTGTGGTTTCCTATCATCTCACCCATATTATTAAAGATGCAAACATAATAGCCAATGCTTGAGCATGCCAAACTGTATAACCATGAAAACTTGCAAAATATCATCATATCGCACGCCCATGCCTTGACACACGCCTTCCATTGCACAGAAGTGCAGTTCATCGCAAATCTTAAATAATCTGAACACTTGAATTCAGATTATTTTTGCTGGGGAGCAAAATAAACATAAGTCAACATCATAAAAGTTGACAGACATATTGCCTAATGCTTCATCAAAACATCTCAAGAGTTGGCATGTAGGCAGCTCTTGTGTTCCAAACTCTTTTCTACTTGGTTGATAACATTTTTACCACTCTCATCAGTAAAAACTGAATAAATGTCCTGAAAAAACATTCTTAGAATTTTTAGAGCACCCATTTAAACTTTCTAGAGATGGCCATGACTGGTCTCCTGAGCTTCCTATTAAAGATGGCTGCCTTCTAGACAAAAAGAAAGTCAGACATTGACCTGCTTCTTTTTTCTTCTCTTGTATATCTTCTAAGTTATCATTCTTCTCTGCTTCCTGACTTTTCTCAGGCTCTGGTTGAACAGGTACATTCTCAAAATCCTCAAAATCAACTGGTACCTTCTTCTTCTTCTTTTTCTTCATCATGGGGTCAAATAACTAGAAATTTGAATATGCAACTGTAAGATTGAGCAAATTGTTGAGATCTGAAAGAAGGTCTACAAATCAACAAAGAAACTTATATCAAGACTACACCAACTTTATAAATAAGGATAATTTTTACCTAGGTATGTAATAGCATTGACAATTGTATGAGCCTTCAAACATTAGGCTAGGAGAACAGCATCAAGATGTAATCTACACAATAGCAAGTCATGTAAATATACTGTGAACAGGCAATTGACTTGAAAATTTTCTTTTGACATAAAATGTTTCTTTGTGGTTTGATTATTAAGCACGCTGTTTCTGTATGTCTATATGACAAGTAAATTGGATTCAGCCCATTTTACAAAATAGTTTTCAGAAGATAACAAACTACCAGCTTGGGTGAGCTTAAAAGGATGATTACCCATCCCACAATGTTTGCATCTACAGCCAACAACTGTTGGCTTTCTTAATGGTTAACACCAATTTTTAAGTAAAATGTAAAAATTATCCTTTGTGTTAATGCAAATTATAAATTATCCTTTGTGTTAATGCAAGTATCTATTAAAATTTACTTTTATTGTAGAAGACTCTAATGATACTTTAAAAGTCACGGAAAACATAGAAGCTTCTGATGATACCAAAAAATTTCAGGCTACAAATGCCTGTCCTTAAAATAAACATTAGATTAAAAGAACCCAAAGTACTATGGTACCCATCAGTGTGTGGTTACATAATAAGAGTAGGAGATGAGTACCCATCAGCTTCCAAGAGGTGCCAAACTGCATTAGTGCCCATACTGTATATAGCCAGGAGCAGAGCTACATTTAATGGCTTAGGTGTTGGCTTAATCTATGAACAATGATTCTGACTTGCCAAAGAAACCATAAAAAGACTTTAGAACACTGTGAGCAAAAGGTGGGCTCCAACAACCAAAATCGCAAAAGCTTTAAGAATCAAAGAAAAGAAGGGATACCAAGCCTATTACCTGGCTTTTTATTCAAAAGAGACCCAAATGATTATACATTATACTGTGATGACCACTGCAAATTGCAAGCATTTGCTTTTGTATCTTATTCATCTTTACAGAGAAACATACTAACTTGAATAATGAAGTATTATTTGCTAGGCAGGCCCAACTGACGACTTAGGCAAGTTTGGTTGACTCTGAACATTCCAATGCAATAACACTAACTATAAGGAATAACAGTACCTTTTTACAAACTATTCGAATTACATTGTTCCATTTTGTATGCTATAAGATATAATAAAAGAGTCCAATACAAAAACAATTTTATTCACAATTACCATCTCTTCTTCCGCCATTTTGAATGTCGCGTTGTGGTCTAGGCCTTCCTTTTAAATGGAATGCACAGAATATACGATAAATGTATGTATAAATCAAAGTCTTTTTATTGTAATTTTCAGTAACTGCGACAGTGTAGTTTGCTTCTTTAGGGCATCAAATGAACGCTAAAACCCCTTCCTCTACATGATTGCGACCATATTCCTCAGCATTGTGATCAAAGAGAGAACATGTGAATTGTTGCATCATTCATTGCGCTTGCGCACTACTCAACGACATACCTTGACGAAAATGGCACGATGCAAGAGAACGGCATCTTGACATAAAAGGGGGCCCAATGTATCTTGGCGTTATTGCATGATCTGCGTATTTTCGATGCAAGTATTTGCGAAAAAAAATTTTATTATGTGTAAATGCATTGAAATTACATTTGCGCGTGACCTGTGAATTGAAATTACTATTTTGCTTATGATTGCTGAAAGCCAAGTTTGAAATTGAGTGTATTTTACCAGCAGAAAGTCTTGGTTTCCTGTACATGATTCAGGCACGTAAATAATAGGGGGGCGTGGGGGGCGTGACGCCCCCCCAAAGTTTGGAAAATCCAGTTACAGTTGGAAAACATAACGGTTGACTTGGAATTTTATCTTAGGACCAAACTTGTGAATTTTATATTTTAAGAAGTTTTTTTATTTTAAATGTAAAAATTCTAAACATTAAAATTCACAGGCTGAAGCTGACCCGTCTCCACTGGATCCAAATTGCACAATTGCCCTGTTTGCTTTCTTTCTGACGGGAGTTGAATCAAATTACGAGCAGGCAAGGTGAATTTCCGGATAAGAAACTTGAAACTTTACAGTTTGGAATAATAATTCCCGTATTGATCAGAAAGTATTAGAGTGGGAGTTTTTTAAGAAACTACGAGTAGTTAATTCAATAAAAGATTAATAATCTTTCAGTACTAAAAATTCTCAACGCTTCTTATAAAAACGAGTTTATGCTAAACTCCCCCTGTTATTTGTTAACGCCCTTGACTCCTTATCATAAATTCCTATGACAAAACTGCTGTAAAGCAAGAACACATTGCAAAAACTGCAGTAGAAGTATTTGATCAAAGAAGAGTGTTTTATCTTTCGGATCAGGCATATGCACAAGTTTGTTCTCAAATCATCATTTCAATTGTAAAGAATGAAAAGGAATTTGGCCCTCTGAAAATTGTTAGTAGTTTTATTCGATCAAGAACAAAAATTAAAGGCTCAAGTTCTTGGTGCTTCTATATCGTGAAAAAATGTATTTTAGATAAGATTGATCTGCGCCAATTGATTAATTGATCTGAAAGAATACTACTAATCATTAAGTATATCTAATACTGGTTTTGCTTAAATGTTGCTTTACTTCTTACTGTAAGTTAAAATGTCTGTTTCATGTTGATCAAAATTTAGAGATTTAGGCTTTTATGCTTTAGGCTAATTATTGAGTAAAGTTTTGGTAATTATAAAGAAAATAGAACTATGGTGTTCGGGCTATTTACAAATATCAATTTAGTAGGTACAGTAGATTTACTGGTCAAATGAAAAATTTCTTACTTAGATTGGAATTTTCATCCTTCCACGCCCCCCCCAAAATTAGCAACTTGTTTTCGTCCCTGACATGATTAATGTCTCCAGTCAGTGGCATCACCTCATACTTTTTGTTAGGGGGGAGGGGTGTGGCTGCCTATTTGCCCTGCAGAAAAAATTTTGCCCTGGCAAAAGTTGGAAATGTTGGGAACTGGCCCTCAGTTCCCGTAACACTAAAATACTTCTCAAGGTAAGTTGATCCCGCTTTTACTTAGGTCCTTGCTCAGTGTGTCCACAAGTTTACCGATGTGTTTGCCTACCCTTGGGGAGACGAGCAAGAGAAAGTTTGTTGATGAGTGAGGAGGCAACCCTCCATCCTGGATTCAAAGGGCATGCGCTCATTTTTTACAACACACTTCACACTTTCGATATACACACTAGCATTTCACAAGATGAGGGCATCAAAGCCATCAAAAATTATTATGGGAAAACTATCCTGCTGCATATAAAATACAACAGATGGTGATTTTATTCTCAAACATAATTATGTTGCCTTTACACTCAGTGGCGGACTGGCCCACCGTAGCCTGCGTCACAGTGTTAAATCACTACTTTGATCTAACATAAACGCGTGAGTTCTAATTAATAAGTAGAATTAACTTACGTCCTTGGGCAGAAGAACTCGAATGAAGACACGTCTCGTCTAAAACGGCAAATGATTTCGACCGATACTCTATTAATCAACAGCTTTCGGCGATTCTCTCTAAAAACTACGCTACATGATATATATATGAATATCTAGGGGCAAAGGTTAAAATTAGGAAAATAATATGTCTTTACTAAATATGGTTAACATAAATGTATTTAATGTTCCTGGCCAATCAGGGAAGCGATAGAAAAATATCTGATGCAATGTACATGAACCCGGCACAAAGTACAACGTGTGATCTGATGTCTGATGCAATGCTGGTATGCAGCAAAATCAATAATCGAACAAAACAACAGCAACAGCATAAAAGCGATTGTTTAAATGAACTGTCTATTTACAACAGACCATCACCACCAAGGAGGGGAGTGATGGTGATGGTTGTGATCAGAGTTGTGATGATGATGATGATGGTCCCTGGGTTGTGATGGTGATGATGGTCACTCTCCTCCTTGGTGGTGATGGTCTGTGACGCAGGCTAGCCCACCGGCCCACCGGCCCACCGGCCCACCGGTCCTAATCTTACAAAAAGGGCCCCATTTTGCTGAATATGAGGCCTTCTTTTGGATGCTCCATTACTAAAAATGGAGATTTCACAAAACGTGAAAAATAAGTGCTTATTTTTGATAAATAGATAATAAGTGATAGACAGGTCAACAGACGATAAAAATGTTCACTTTGCCAGGGATAGTGCTATGGGGGGAAGGGGTAGTGGTGGTGTGACAACCATTAAGAATGATGGATTGGCTCAGCAGATTCGACACTTTTGGTGTTTTTTTACTCGGCAAACTCGGTGGTAGCATAAATTGGAAAATGGATGATAGTTGATGGTATATTTAATTGTTTTTATTCTCATTTCTATTTGATCCTATTCGCTCATCAGCACGTTAATATTTCAACCGTTAATTGGCAAGTTGAAACCAGCGAGAACCAACTACACATTACAATGTTTCAGGGTTGGGTGCACGAATGGCGAGAATAAATACCAGAAAATCGATCAAAACCATCGAATAGCTTCGCTTGTGAGTATTATTTCTAAGAGGAAGATTGTATTTTAAGATTTAATGAGTGCATTCCAGTGAACTGGAAGCATCGAAATTCAAAAATTTCTTTCTCTTCTGCGGCAACCATGCGCCTCAGGTAGAAACGTTCGTGTTCTTTTTCATTGCTCGTGTCGCAAAGCTACAAGAAGCTAACCTACCTCAGTAAATATGGCTCCTATTCTGTTTGATGATTGAATGAAGAAAGTTTTGTGATGAAGATTTGCCTATCCAAATACTCGTTTTAGGACTGGCCTTAGAGCGCGCCTGTGTCAATTTACGCGCAGACAAATTTTGAATTTCTGTTTACAGTAACAGAAGAAAACCTTTCAAGAATCACAAGCTCGTTAGGTAGTTTACTTTTGAGAAGGTACCTTCCATTTTTGACAACAAAGAATGCCTTCATTTTATTTCATTAAAAACACAAACCTTCTTTGCAATTGACCACACCATTATTTCTGGCCACACCCACCAAGGACCCCTTAAGTTTTTCATGGCCAGTTGAAAAATAGATTTACAAAATTATCCATAAATGAAAATGGTTGTCAAACGGCCTTGTCACTATTTACAATATTTGGTTTTATAAAATCACGGCTGTTATAAATGGGCTGGTTGTAAAATTTTGACTGCCCGCTAACTTTTTCTACCGACTTATCCTCCTTAGGTTCCTAGAGTACTTCTGAGGGAACATGTCTTTTGTTTATCATCTATTATCTTTGCCGCTCTCCCTCTTGTGACCGACCTTGTCACAGACAAACTTTTCATTCTCTGCATTTTTGTGCTGGTGTTATCATCTTTCTAATATTTTCTAACGAGAGTTGTCCAAGTGGTCATCAATTATAGATAAGATTCTATAGAATTTTCTTATATTTCGGGGCACTTCTTGCCCCCACTGCCCCTCTTCGAAGAGGGCAAGAGAGGCAGCTGCCCCTCCAGCCTCCCCCCTGTTTAGGCGCCCCTGTATAAAGTCGACTCCCTTCAAGTCATGTTTCTGGTTACAGTCAAAGCAAATTAAGACTCAAATCTGCAAAACTATTTCATCAAATTTTGACCCAAATGGCCCCGTTTACGGTTTCTTAGTTTTCTGGCAAGAGGTGCTTGTCTTTTTTAGTACGGTTTTTAGATAAGACACAAATATCAACCAAGGGTGTAACCATAGAAATAGGTGTAACACTAAAGGTGAAAGGAAATTAGAGTCAATTTAGAAATCTATTCCATCCACCCCAAGGTCACGCTGGCAATTTCTACTTCGTGTCACTGGTAGTCTGTATCATTTTACTTTTGGAGTAGACAAATTACAAGCATCGCCTAATTTCTTATCACAGTTACATAAAAAGAACAACAAAACAGATCCGTTGGTAGAAAACATTTGCCTTGCAAAAATCAGTTTTGCGCTGCGAAAAGGTCCTACCGTCGTGGTTTGGGGGGGGTGAACCATCTTCCCATGCCCCCATTCAAGTGACGCCCCTGTCTCCAGTATACAAAGATTCAAATAGAGGGGATTCGACAGAGCGAGGTAGAATGACAAACGAAAATAAAATATGAGAATGAGCAGAAAGCAGGACATATGGATATATATATATACTTATTTTGACGTTTTATGCTGCGAGGAGTGTCAGACGAAAAAGCTTTTAGCCAATGTTATAAAATGTTTGCTTTTTTCAAAGCCATCTTCAAGATATTTATACATTCTTATCATATCTATTTATATGAAAAGAGAAAGTGAAGAAACTGTTATTGGAGATAAGTAAAATGTATTTTAAGTCCAGAAGGACATAATGTCCAAAATTTAGCAACAATTATAACAAACCTAAACTTTTCTAGACCTATTAACAACTCAATCATCAAGTACTGGTTTAAAATGAAAAAGATAAAGAAAAGGTACTTGCGATTTTTACATTTAAAGGTTAAAGTTTCATTTTTAATAGCTGAATCGATGGCAACGATGGTGTTATTTTTGCTTTCATATCATGGGAATATTTGGCAAAAATATAACAAAGAAATTGAACAGTTTCTTGAGACTAACTGGGTTCGATTTATCTTGGCAGATGCTGAAGTATGCAACTTCAGAATTTATCAAGTGACTAAAAAAAGTCCCTCAAAATTCCTTTTTTAAATCTTTCTGATTTTCATATGCCCACAAATTTAATTTTTACTTCGGGGAGTTTTATTGCAAAAAAATTTCATTGTAAAAACGAGGAGTTTTGTGTGTATAGAAGTGCTTTGTCGGCAAATTTTCAAATTTGTCGGCAAATAAAGGATGGCTCACTCACTTTGTCGGCAAATGGGATCGGAAAATGCCACCACTATATGCCTTTACAGCATGGTACCAGCAGAATTGGGACTAATCGTGGGTGTAATAGACAGAAATATTAAGCACAGGGGTAGATTGGGACTGAGTTTATCGCTATCAGATTTCAACTGGGACCGGGTGGTGAAATTATTGGGGGTGTGACCTTCCCCACACCCTCCTCATTTGCACCCCTAGGCGGATGGTTACAATATAAAAAGCAATTTTACCGTTTTATAAAAATAAACTCAAATGATTCTGTCGCA